TCGACATCATCACGTTCATCGCGCAGGACTCACGCGTGAAAGTCGTGTTGGTGTTGATGTTGTCCTCGTAATTGTTGTTCTCTATCAAAAGCAAAGATCCCCCCTCCCCATATCGAAAAGGTATGTTTCCGCAAATTTGTGCTGCTGATTTGAGGTCGCAAATCACATTTGTATTGCAAGAAGACAAGGGCAGAAGCTTCCGCCCCACTATGGAAGCGATTTGTCATGCTGTTGAGCCTAAAGGGGAGCCGCTTGCCATGCTGAACAACTAGACGCGTACGCCCCTACCTAGCCTGGGGATCTGACTGCAATGCTTTCCCGCAATACAAACCTGATTTGTGTACTCAAATCCAGCATCAGAAATTTCGTTTTGATGTGGGGAGGGGGGATTTTTCCTTTTGATATTCTCATCTTCTTCTTCATGTGCTGCAATTCTCATGGCGAAATTGCGGAGATCCCCCTCGCTGCAGGAACGAGCGCGATTGAAAAACGTTCTGGAGGGCGGCACAGGAGATGTTATCCTGAGTAAAAACGCCCCCATACCAGAGTCAACGTGGAGAATCTGCTAGACAAATCGGCCAACTTTGGTTGTTTCGCATGACAGGTTTGTCCTCGTAGTGTAATCCTGTTTAGCTAGTTCAGCAGCATCGCAGATCTAGCATATCATGCTATTTCTAGCATGACAAATCCCAAAACACGACTAGAAAAAGCTTCTCATGGGGCTTCGCATGAGAAACTTTTTTGGCATGCAAATTTGCATGACAACTCTGGGGTGGGGATGTTTTTACCCGGAATAGATGATAACAGTTGGTCATCTTCTTCATTGCCGCTCGTTGTAAGAACTCCTGCGCTCATCGACGTTCTTTGACGTCCTCGGGTAGTAGTACCTATCGTGCTTGGGCAAGCAGCGCCGGCAGCGGAGGTGCGGCAGTCTTCATCATTTCCTCCTTCGAGACAGAAAGAACCGCGGCCCGGGATAGTGTAGTTCTTCCCGTCCTCACTTAGCGTCAACTCACCCTGCTCCTCGTCGTCCAACAACAATGGCAGCACGGGTTGCAGCGGGCAGCTCAGCGTCTGACGGGGGAAATGGAGAAAAGCTTCATCCGCATCATCTGAAATTTCCTCTTCTTCAGCGACCATTTGCATTTGTTCGCACTGATGTTCTCTTTGCTGCGACAACAGATTCTCGCTGTTGAGACGATAGATCACTTGGTTCACGAAAGACTGCTGCCCCTGCTGCGACAGGTGGCACAAACTCTCCTGTTGCGATGATGAAAATGCGTGGCCCAGCAGCATCTGCTGCCCGCCGTTGCAGAAATTGTATTGCGGAAAAAATTGTGTCTGCGGCTCATGTTGGTGGAGGTTGTCTTCTTGCCCCCCGCTTTGCGCGGAATAGCAGTGCTGCGTGTCCTCGTCCTGCACGACGGCCTCCGCACAATCCTTTCCACCAGCGCCCCCACAAAACCCGAAAGCAGTTGGTGCGTGACACTCCTGGTCAAAGAACTGCAGGGGGGTTTCGTCCTGCATCCCCTGATAAGGGCTGTTGCAGGCAGTTGATAATTGGTTCTGGTAATCTTCCGGATACGACGTAAACAGGGAGGAGGAAGAGGACCCGCAACGCTGGAAAAAGTGCCGTTTATTTTTTCCCGTAAAACAAGCTGCGCCCGGGCCCGTCGGAGTCCTTGTGCACGACCACGAGCCAGCTGGCTGTGGTGCTGCCCGCTCTGCGGCGCTGCTGCCAATGCTGGTATCGGTCAGCTCCATGTCGCAGCTGGTGCTTGTGTCTTTGGTGCTGACAGTGCCGGAAAAAGGGTTTTTAATATTTTCGACAAAATTATCCCCTCCGTCTTCAGCAGCCGAGCAGCCTGAGAGCGGAATTAGGTTACAAGTTCGAGTATCCACCAACATGATAGATAGATTTCTTTGTCTGGAGTTGCTGGTTAGCTTTAACTATGAGGATGCACTCCGAAGAACTCGATAGCAAAAATCTTCTAGCGTTTTGAATGTTGTTGCACTACTCAAAAAAAGAGACTATGAATGAATGAATGATTTACCCAGACTATAGTATTCGATGCTCTAGTACCAAAACGAAGATCTGAAGATTCAGATTCCCCGTCTCAGCTGGGTTGTTGGTTGCTCTTCAAAAACCTAAAATCAAAAAAAAGTTGTCAAAAGTTGTTGTTCCAAATAGGAAAATGCGGCGAAGAATCTATATCGTTCTTTGCGTGCTACTTTTATTATGTTGCCGTAGTTCCGAGCTGCGAAGGTCAAACTGTTGAAGAATTTGCCTCCCTGTTACCTGTTGCTGTACTGTTCCTGTTTTGTCGTTCCGAAAACTTATTTATTCAAACGGTTGCTGCATACGTACTAGTACTACGGTTTTCACCACGTCTAGTTAACTGGATTTTGTTCCTTGATGTTTGGTTCCCAAAAATGTAGTTGTGAATTTCGAATGTAAAAAAAAGGTCTTAAAAGCCCGTCTCACAACTCCAGTACTGTCTCGTAGCGGAGTTAAGCGATAGGAACTTCTAGAAGAAGGAAAAGAAGAAGGATATAATCTTGAATAGCGTCAGTTTATTTTCTAAAAGAAAAAAGGTACGGTGCTGGTGGGTTGGTACTAGAACAGTGACTACTACAGCTTGTGACAGAGACAGAGCTGGCTGCTCAAGAGCGAGGAGCGATTTTCTAGAAGAAAAAGCGGCTAGAAAGTAGAGATATCGGGACAGCTGTAAAAGCAAGAATTGTTTTATTACTTACAAGAACCAGAACCACTACTGTGGTGTCTGGGTTTTTTGTTTGGAGTCTGCTCGGCGGCGCGGTTATGCTCTACTTTACTGTCGTACAACTTCCAAAACTAATGCGTCGGTCCAAAAAATAGTGGCGCTGGCGCTCCTTGTTGATGAATAAAACAACTCTTGAATATCAAGCTGACAACTAACTATACTGTTTTCTATTCCGTGGTTCCCAAAAAATGATGACTATCACTCACTGTAGCTCACGGCTCTTGATACCCGTGGTAGTGAAAGGTAACGGATCGGAATGATGAAGAAAAGTATGAATTCTACTGCTAAAAAAGGTCTCTCTGATTGGATTTTTTCCAAAACAGAGGCAAAATAGCGAAATTTTATGCTACGCGAACCAAAACGGCGAGAGAGTTGTTTACAGATATCTGTAATAGCTACCCCTCCTCATCGATATTGAAACTACGGGTAGCAAAAAAAAAGCTACTTTGGTATTGGTATTGCGGTATGTATCACGAAAAACGTAAATGTTGTTGTATTCACAAAGTATGATTATTCACCTCTTGAGATGATACTATGATAAAAAGGCTCGTACTTATTTTCAGATTTCAATGTAGTTGTTAGTATGTTCCCAGCAGCAGCAGACGCTCTTTGCTCTCTACGATACGCAAGGGTTGTCAACAGTGATGAGTTAATGCAAAAAATCTAGCGCAGCAATCTCGTTTGGAGACGACCCTGGATTTTTTTAAAGTAAGAACCAAAACTGACTTGCGAAGATGAGAGGGTCTACTCTGGCCGCGTGGCTGTGGAGGTTTTTTTACCAAACCAACCTTGCGGCTTTACTTTTGATTTTGCCTGACGAAATATCGATAAAGAGGACGTAGTTCTTGGCAACCTTTGTATCAAAAAAAAGATGGCGTAAAATTCTATGTTATTGTACAACGTAGGTTTTAGTCCTCGACCTCGATATTTTTCTGTTGGAGCAGGCTTGTCGCGGCGCTTTAGTATTGTCAATGTTGTTGGTGTTGAGAAGTGTGGTCGTGTTTGTCAGCAATTTTAGCCGGCGTATTTAATTGTTCGAAATCCTTCACAAGTATCAAATTTAACTCAGAGTATCAATCAACAGAAATATGATGTACTGCGGTATTGAAATTAGTACAGAAGTCAAAACAGATTTTGTCGTCTTACAAACTTGTAGTGAATGTTGTGAAAATGTCTCGTAAGCCAAATAAGTCTAGCGCGTCTGATGGAGCTCAACACTGGTAAATAATGAAAAATATGTAAAGTAGATAGTTTTCTGTCTGCTTAAGATGATTGAAGGAGAGTCTTTTTGTCTTCGAAATGTGTAGTTGTTTTTCCTAATATTCTTCGTTCCGGTGTATTTTTTCGCCCGAAATTTCTTTCAATCTCTCGTGGTCTAATATTAAGCGACTTATGGGTCTAGTGTGCGTATTTTTATTCTTGATTGTTTGTTGTTGGTACTAGAGCTGATTGGTTGTTGTAAAGTTTGTTCAGATAGAGTTATAACTCAGCTCTGCTATAGAAATTATCGAGAATGTTACGACACACCGAGGCTTTGCGCTCAAGTCGTGTTTCTTGACCTGGAGGTGGTTTTGGGAAGAAGTTGAAAATGGAATACGAATACGATGTAGCAGAACAAAATTAATTGAAGCTCATCATCGCCTTTGCATGCAAGGATAGGGATGGGTAAGATCCACCGGAGGGATCAGCATGCGATCACCGTCAAGATCTTGCTCACGTCGAAGATGACCTTTGCCACTATCACGCGCTATTTTGACCAACTGCTATAACATCTGCTCATGTGTGGAATTATTTTGATTTTGCAACATCCACGGCATGCCTTTCGATCTAATCTCCGGTCATCTACTAGACCCTCGAGAGATCCTGACCCATGTTCCTTATGCAACCAATTCCGTGCGAGTGTGCCTTGCTCAATCGTGGTGGAGAAGATCCGCGGTTCTTGCAATTTTGATTCTCAACTTCATTTTCGTTCAGAGTCAGAGTAATTGCCGGGTTGATATGGTAATAAATGGTGAGTCAGATCCTCAAGCTTCGATCGCGCGTAATTTATCAGAAAGGCATGGCCAACCCTTAGAGCCATGTCTGTTTCTCGTCATCTGGTGAGATCCTCTATCCGGAAAAAGCACGACGCTCCACCAACACATGCACAGCTGTGCGACGTCCGTGGGAGGTAGCTACAACTAGGTGGCGCGATCGATGTTGGTCAAGATTACATACTTATCTTTTTATACCAGTCTCCTCAGCCAAACCTAAATTGGCCGGTCGCCACGTGAACGAAGACCATGCCGGCAGGCTGCAGGCGCGCCGGCTGAGGTAGCATCTACATCGCGCGGACAACAAGCCGCGCCATGGCCCGAGGTGGGTGCCCAGCGCGAGTACCGGGCGGGCGTGCAAGAGCGAGCATAGATACATAGGAGGGAAAGCCGGCGGCCCGGCGCGCCTCAGGGCCGACGCAGGGGAAAACACCCCAAGGCACCTACTTCCTGTCTTTTCCTTCTGACGTTCCAGGGCGGCCCACCCAAGGCACACAGGGGCGAGCGGGCGGGGACCGGGGCCGCCGGCGCGAAACACAGAGGCCGCACACGCACGGGGGCAGGGCTCAGCCCCCCCCCAACCCCCCCCCCCCCCCCCCGCAGACAATTACAGGGCGCGCGCGCGCCCGCCGCCATTTCTTGCCTCGAAAGCGGGCGCGTGCGCGTCGCTTTGTTGCCTTTTGCTTGTCGCCTTGCGTCGGTCGCCCAAACCCGTTCCATTGATGTAGTGCGCCCGCGCAAGCACTGCGCGCGGGCCCGACCCCGGGCGGCCCCGCGCCTTTGGCTTTGCCCGTGGGAACAGCTACGGCGCACTGCGAAAAAACCGGGCCCAGCTCCGCAAGGGGTGGCGATGAAGCCCGAAAAAAGCCGGGAAGCGCGGGCCCTCACAATGTCCCCATCGGTTAAAATGCTATGGATCACCGGAAGAGCGACGGGGACATTGCATAAAGAACGCGCAGACGCAATGGGCGACCACGCCACTGCGATTGTAATAGCTCTGCTCTCGCTCTTGGTCTTCTCGCTCAGAAGAGACAAATCCGACATCTGTCGCGTTCTCCATTTCTCGGAAATGGGTCTAGGGTTGATGACCATGATGCTCACAAAAAACAACTGCGACTGCCACGACCACAGAGAACAAACTCTGTATCATATTCTCCGAACAAGAAGGCCCATGGCCATGCAGAATTGGCGCAGCAACGCCATCACCTTCTGCAGGCTAATGACCTCGGGCGACAAATACAAATAGAATTTCTCTGGATTATTTCACAAAAGAGTTCGTGTCCTTTGTCGACCAAAAAATACTGAAGTTGTTCCGAAACAACCAAGCAACAGTAAGCAGTTTTATAGAAAGTAAAATCCCAAAGGAAAGTCAAAACAAAGCCAGAAAGTCAAAGAGCGGCTATCGCTAGATATTGATGGTAGCCTGTTAGTACTAGAGGTGGTGCGAGCAAAGAAGGATAGTTGATGAAGGGCTACTTTTTATTCTTTACATTTTGTTCCTCGTGGACAAACTTTATACCTTGGGCACAGCGAAGCATGTATTGTTTGTTTGTTTGTGCTCATGCGGGAAGGTGGGAACGCGTTTACACACCTTTTTTCTCTAGCGCTATTTCAAGAAAAATCCCTGCTTCGAAAGCCTGTGAAAAAAGACAACAGCTAAAACCTCTTTTCCTACCTCTGCTTGCTACCGAAAAAACCAACTCTTACGCTAAAATAAAAGCTATTCCCACGCTGAAACTTGAACTACGATGCTTTGATCGTTTCCGCTTACTACTCTTTACCTCGTCCTTTCTCGTGCTGCTGTTGTTGCTCAACCAAAAAATTTCACTACTGTTGTCGAAATTAAAGTTTCAGTTTTAAGGTCTACAAGTCGCAAAGTCTATAGTTGAATTTCGATCCTAAAGCTTGCTTTCGTTGTGGAAAGTTTCCGAATGAGACACAAGTTTTCTGGACTTACACTGTTTTCCAAAGTCGTTCTGTTTACAAGTTTTTCTGAAAGTTACGCACCGGAAGTTGCAGTACTATTGGTTCGAGTAAAGCGCTAAAATAATCTCTTCGTCTTGATAAAGCGGGGACAGCTCCTGCAACAGCAAATGCTGGGAGAGCATAGCTCCATCTCGTCTGTGTTTTTTATCAACATACTTTGTAGTTTTTTGATGCCTTTATTCTTCGGTCGGTCTGATGTGAATTTCGTAGTGCATGCTAATTATCTTGGAGTCGTGTTTTCATTTTCAAGGCCCCAAATTTCTAAAAATCATACGTGCTATCATATCCCTTTGCGCGAGGACTCCGAGTCCTCGGATCTACTCCACTGTACTGCCTAGCCAGTTTATCCTGAGCAAAAGTCTACCCAGGGCATAGCTGTCACGAGAAAACTTGCTTCGATTTGGTTGCCAAATCGCCAATAAAAGCTCACACATTTGGTGAGCGCCGTAGCATGCGGATTAGCATTTTATCCGTTTCCCCGTGTCGAGTTATAGACCAGGGCTGCGGAAAAAGTCGCGTCCCTGTGTTTTCCTTGGATGCGCAGCAGCATGCGGATTAGCTCAGGGGCGTGACCCGCGAGGACCGCCATACCATGCGGATTCAGTTTTTTTACAAAAAGCGACGACGTTTTTGCGCAAAAAAAGCGAAACCCGAAGGCACGGCCGTGGTTTGGGTTTCGCCCACTATGTGAATCCGCATGCCATGGGCCCCCTCGAGAGATCGGCCCAAACGCGCGAGCCGGGGGGCGCGCCATACCATCGGGAATGCGTTGCCAAAATGAAACAAACTCGGGGAAGCAGTTCGCCGCGTTGCCAAAATGAGCCATCCCGCATGCTGTGGCCAGATGTGCCCATAATCAAGATGGGCGAGCAATCTGTTCGCTTTCTGGTTGTTTTGTGTTTCCGAATATTGTCAAATATCTGGCGAGACCTGACCATAAAGCTCGCCCATCTTGATTATGGGCACATCTGGCCCACATTCCCGAACCGATGGCATGGCGCGCCCCCCGGCCCGCGCTTTGTGCCCGACCTTGCGAGGGGGCCCATAGCATGCGGATTCGCGTAATGGGCGAATCCCAAACCACGGCCGTGCCGTCGTGTTTGCTGTTTTTTTCCAGAAAAAATCGCAAAACTTCACAAAAAAAAAAGCCCGCCCGAATCGCCATGCTATGGCCCCCCTTGGGGGGGCCTGTGCCCACATTGCCGATGGTATGGCGCGCCCTTCGGCTCGCGCGTTTGGGCCGATCTCTCGAGGGGGCCCATAGCATGCGGATTCATTTAGTGGGCGAAACCCAAACCACGGCCGTGCCGTCGGGTTTCGCTTTTTTCGGGCAAAAAAGTCGGCACTTTTTGCAAAAAAACTGAATCCGCATGGTATGGCTGTCCTCGCGGGTCACGCCCGTGAGCTAATCCGCATGCTGCTGCGCATCCAAGGAAAGGACAGGGATGCGATTTTTTCCACCGCCCCGGTCTATAACTCGACACGGGGAAACGGATAAGATGCTAATCCGCATGCTACGGCGCTCACCAAATGCGTGAGCTTTTTTTGGTGATTTGGTAACCAAATCAAAGCAAGTTTTCTCGTGACAACTATGCCCTGGGTAGACTTTTGCTCAGGATACAGTTTTAAGTATCTTCTGCCACTTCAAAATCAAATAGTACCCGCAAACGTGGCTACAACTTCTCCATCCGACGAATCTGTGTAGTGCCCGTCCATCAACACCGCAGCAATTCCTCTATCCTGCAACACATGTCTTTCGATAAAATTCAGCATGTCTAGCCGCAGCTGCAGCCTCCTCGGAACGTGCTCCGGCAAATGCGCTTGTAGTGCTTTCCCTGATTCTTTACCACTTCCTCTGTCAAGCTGTAGCCTCGGCGCAACACAAATCCGCCAGAGCAGGTTGGTTTCGTCTCTCGTTTCTCTGACGGCCACGGACAATTCGTGCAAGAAGCTGCTTACGTAGTACTTGATTTGGTTGTGATTTTTGAGGTGCTGGACGTTGTCCTCGTCGTCGTCGTGGTGCTCTTGTGAAGATGATGATGATGTCCCTCGTCTACTACTACTTCCACCGAATTTTTTTGAACTTCTTGCCCCCCGCTTTTTTTCCTCCTCCGCCTTCGCCACCCGCGCCGCGGTCTCCACCAACAGCTTCAATAATTTTCCACTCGCTTGCACGTCTTCCGCGACTTCTTTTCCACTCGCGTTTCTCCTTCCCCAGGGCTGGTGGTCCCGGACCACGTCGGGAATCGAGCGAAACAGCAGCTCCCACTGAAAAGCGTAGGGGAGCAAGACTTCCGCTCTTTTCAGCATATTTTCAGCTGCGTTTAGCAGAGTACTGCTGTTGTCTATTCCGGTATAAGGGTGGTGGTAGGGTGGGGGGAGAGGATTTTGGCTATTTTCCAAGTCGGCTTCTTCAACCGGCACGGGCATTCCGGATGTGGGATGGTAGAGCACGTGCTGCAAAGTAGATGAAGCTCCTGCCCTCGGGTCGAGATTCGCATCGGACAAGGAGAAATACAGCTGGTCGCACATTTTGCCAGGCGTGGTTCTGTTGCTGACTGCACCGCCGGGCGGGAGGTGAAAAGGAAGCCTAAAAATAGGCGCTCTCCATCTGTCAACATCGGCATTCATCCGCTCGTCCTCGGGAAGTGGTCTTCCTTGATTCCAGAATGGATGTTCTGGGCCGAGGTCTAACATGTCGTCGAAGGGCTCTTCTTCGATATCCTCCTCGTCCGACCGCTCCGGTTCCTCGTAGTTCATCTTCTCGGAGTCAGATGCAGAAGATTCCTCTTGGTTCTCAAGCATGCCATCGATTTCGTCATTGGCTAGGGCCTCAACGTCCTCCATCTTTTCATCTTCCGCGAGAATCTCAAGCGGCCTCTCGTCTTCAGCCGGTGCGACAGTCGTTGCAAGCGAGAAAAAGGCGCTTCTGGCCGTGTTGCCACGTTCGGTCGATTTCTTGGTGGGAGAAATGCCGCATAACGGCGAGCTGCTGGAGCTGGAGGAGACGCCTCCACAACTTCCCATTTTATTTCTAGACGAAGTAGCTGCAGCAAATCCCGATCCTGTTCCTGTTCCCGAGCAAGTAGTACGCGTCCTGTCCGAAGAAGAAGAAGCACTAGCACCGGCTCCAGCTGAAGGCGAGGAAGAACTGTGTTTATCATTTTCCTTCTTTTCTTTTTCCACCTTGACCTTCAAATGCAGCTTTTTCATCATCTGCGCAACACTCTCCACCTGCGGGTTTACATCAATTTCCATTGGGAACTGCGGCAACGGCCTTGCCACGTCACTCGCAAAACTCTCGAAACAATCCCCCGCCAACATCTCCGCCCGATCTCCGTCGCAAAAGTGCTCTCTTTGCCGCAAATCCGCACAGATTCCCCCCGGGATGATATTACAGTGAAAAGTGCCCCCCACCCCTGAAATTGCAAAAATTTGTGGTGCGAAGTTGCCAAATGAAAACTTTTTGTCATGCATGAAAGGAATATGTATATGAATCCTTCTGATGCAGAGTCTAGGCGTGTATCGCATCGCTTGCATGACAAGCGCCGCTCTTGCTGGGGTCTGTTGCAATACAAATTTTTGCTATTCACGATTGGAAACCTGTGATGTTGATAGATGCAAGAGGGCGAGTGTTTTATTTGGAAAGGTTTGCAATACAAATGCTCCCAAGTTCGGGGATGAGGGCATTTTTCATTGAAATAAATGACGTCTTGGCTGCTTCTTTTATGCACAACGGAATACAACGCCGGGTCCGGGCCGTGGCCGAGGATGGGATACAGATCCGCGAAGAGCACGTTGAGAAAAAAGATGTGTGCGAAGTAGAAAACTGGTTGATGGAGGTTCTGACTATCGTCTTCTAGATGCAATCTTCCCCGTCCTCCCCTCGGGCGAAACATGTCCATCAGGCCCTCTGCAACCAGCTCTGTTCCGCGCGTTTCGAAAAGTTTTTTCGCATCTGGCGAGGAGTCGAGCAACCGTTGGAAAACGTTGGTGCTTAACTCCGTGAAGTAGTCGACTTGGGAGAGGAAGCCCTCCTGGGCAGCTCTTTCTGTAGAACTTGTCTTTGATTTCTTCCCTCCTCGTGCTTCTCGTACAGGCATGAAGTAGTCACTCGTCGGTTCCAATTTTGGGAATAGCCGAATCCCCCTCCAGGCTTTTGCAAACCAAATGGCCGGCTGATTGAGATCGAGCGTGGTGCTCGCCCACGGGCTGGAAATCATTCTCGCTGGAAGTCCTCGGATAGTTGTGCCTGGCGATGTTTGTTCCACGGTGGAGTTCTGTAGAAGGCTGACTTTCATCTTGTCCGCAAGATGAGAGGTTTTCGGCGACACGGCCGCAATAAAGCCGGATGGGGTGGTAGTACTAACAGTGGTTTGATTCTTCCCGGTTGTTTGCCGGGCATCATCTGCGGAGCTGCTGCGGCTCGAGCGACCTCCTGTCGAAGAGCAAGCGCTTTTTCTACTAGAGGAAGTCGAGTGGCTGCGATCGTTCCTGCGGCCTTGCTTCGACGAAATCTTCGAGCTCCTGCGCCCTTCTTTGTTCCGAGAGCAAGACCTTCTAGCAGTTCTACGTGTACTACTAGTACTGGCCGTGCCTCTAGCTGGTCGCGCCGCTGCTCGTCCTGTCGATTTCAACATCACTTCGCCCTCCTTCGGATGATCCACCAGATGATCTTCATCCTCGAAAAGCTTGTCCTCGAGAAGCTTCAAAAGCAGCAACCGCTTGGGCACCCTCGACCACGCACTTTGGTCTTCTCCGCCGTGAGGTTGCGACGCTAAAACGGTTTCAAAAACCGTCAACAACGGCTTGCCCGCCTGAACCGGAAGTTTCGTGGGGCACAGCTTCTTCGTGCGGAGCAGGTGTTTCTTGTTCTCCCGGGCAAGAATTTCAGTTGATGATGTACCGGCAACATTTATTTTCAAGACAAAATCCAAAAAGTTCCCCAGCAATTCCAGTGCGAGGCGTTGATGCGAGTTTGTTTTTGTCAGGTACTCTTGGATCAAATGGCAGACCAGAGGTTCTCGGCCGAGCACCATTCCGCTCAAAGTCGGGATTACCTGTTCTTCGAAATCATCCACTAGTTCGTTCAGGTACTGTTGGTCAATGTAGGTGGACGAGGACGTCGTCGAGAGCAAGTCTTTTCTATCCTGCGCCGTGATGTAGGCCTCAAACCTTTCGTTCTCGTCGTGTCCGGCTGGCGCAAAAGGCAATCCGAAGACGAGGTTTCGGATATTCCGGAGTTCGTGAAACATGCCGCCCTCGCGAAATAACGTGCGCAAGTCGGAAAAAGCAGGGAAAAAGGTAGACGCGTCGGCGGGTGGTCGTGAAGATCCTACTTCGACAGGATCGACGTCTTGATGCTGTGGGTCGACCATATTAACCCGCCCAGCGTCGAAGGAGATCGATTTGTCTTCAGTCAGGTGATCTAGCGCTTTCGCTTTTCCTTTCCCTTTCGCGGGAAGATTCCTCGCTAGCCAGGCGTCAAAATCCAAATCTGGAAATCGAAGTTGATCAGGTCCCGGCGTTGGAGGTGGCTGAACCCAGCCCGCGTGGTCTCGCCGGGCTGTTCTACGATCAGCTCGCCGGGCTGTTCTACGATCAAAAGCGTCGACGTTCTCCGCCTCCTCCTCAGCATCTTCCCGTTCAAGCGTCAGCAGATACACGCTGTCATGGTTCTCATCCTCGTAGGAAAGTCGGTGCTCGACGAACATGGCTTCCAAAGTTCCGGGCTCCACGAGCAGCTCATCTACTTCTTGCCCCCGTACAGCCGGTGGGCTCAAAAATTCCGTCGGGATAAGTAACGCACTGTTCTTCGGGCGACTTGGTAGTAGCATTCCAGCACCCCGTGCTCCTTGATCTACTTCCAAGCCCGGGGGTGGCAGGCGGATGTGGAGGGGCGCCAAGTTGTTGTGCTGGTGGATGTGTGCGTTATCTCCGGCTTCCTCTCTCGCACTGTGCAGGTCGATCAGCTTCCTGTTCGAGGATCCAGCACCCGCGCCGAACTGCGGAAAGCGGAATTCTTCCGCCTCGGTTCGGAGATTTCTGGGGCTTGGGAAGTGAAAATCCAGAAGCGGGGTGTTAGTATTATCAATGTCGGTTTGCTCGTCGTTGTTAAAATCTACTGCACTGCTACGAGCAGATGATCCATGTACGTCAGAAGCCCCAGCTGCTGCCGCCATCAAAGCAAAATTATCGCGTTCCTGCTCAGCGGCCAACCGCAGCTCGCGATGCAGCGTCTCCCAGCAGGCAGTGTTGCTGTTACTCTTATGCTGTGCAAAAGTATCGCACTCGTAGTAATCGCAGTCATGCATTACAAATCTCCTTCTTAACCTAAATCCGCACTACAAATTCCATTTTTCATGCTGAGGGAATTTGTCATGCGATTTCTACTAGTACGATGCTTTTACATTTCATAACTCTGCTCGCGAAACAAGAACCGGACAACCCACTGAGAAAGCCGCTCGGTCGTGTCGACCCGCTGTTTTACCGCGGGGATCTGGATACTGACGGGAGGAGAAGTGGCGTTTGCCTTATCTTCGGCCGGATTTTGGTCCACCTCTTCGGAACAACAGGAAGACCCGGAAGTTGTAGACCACGAAGATGTGCTACCATTTAAACAAGCTCTAGCTGCAGCTGCACTAGTCGCTAACAAGAGCTTCTTTTTGTCTGACAGTTCGCCGGTGGTCGCGTTTCTCTCTCCTTCGCACATTTCCATCGCCTCCTGCAAAGTCGCGTTTCCCGGTAGAATCACCGTTCGACCTTGCCGACCAACGTTCTGCAAGTTTACGTACTGATCGGGCAGTCCCGGGACGAACAGCAGGTCCGTGGCGAGCCAACAGGTCTTGTTCTGCTCAAAATAGAACCTAGCAGCAGCTCTTTCCTCGCTTAATATTTATTTCCCCTCTAGTTTCACCATGTAGGCGCCAGAAATGCCGTTTTCTTGGAGAAAGGCATTGACAGTGGTTTTTGTCAAATCATAAAGCTTTTCGTGCCGTTTGTCCCCACTGAGACCGATTGTCAGTTGGATTGTTGTAGTAGTTCTGCTCGAGGGCGGTTTAGTATTCGCTTCGCGGATCGTCTCTGGTGGTCCACCGTGTGCTGCTGCTGGTCCGCGCCCTGTGGATCGTCCCCGTTGTGCCGCAGGGGTCGTACAAGAAGGCGACTTTGAAGAAGACGAAGTGACTTTGCCAACACTACGCGCCACGGTGCCGGGCAGCCCTTCTTGCGCTCCATGGAGGTCGTTTTTCTTGGAGATGCTGGTACTATGAGTCAACAAAAGTGGGCTCTTGCTGCTTCTAGTACGACTCTTACTGGGTATTTCTTTCCTACCAATACGGGGGCGAGGAATTCGAGAGCCGCTAGCACGATCATCCCGGCCGCTCCTGCTTTTTCCGCGCGCAGCTGTCGTCTCGACGTCCACGAGGGCGTCCTCAACTGCCCCGGACGAGGACGCTGCTGCTGCTGCTACTGCTGCCCAAACATAGAAATTCGGGTCGGGGGAGGTCGTAATAAAGAGCCACACAAGTGGCTGGAGGAACAAGGACGTCAGCATTTTTCTTGTGGACGATTTTTACTTCGAATCTAATCTATGACTATGTTCGGTAGTTCTTTGGCTCGTAGTCAGAGACGGTCTGTTTTGGTTTTGCAAGCCGGAAGCTACGAAGCGAGTTGTAGTTGATGGAGGGGTTCTAGTTCTTGGGCAATTGTAGTAGAAGAATCAATGTACCACAGCTCAGAAGTCTTTACGCTACAGGCACACACGATGTTGGATTCAAGTTCTTGTAAAAATAATTTCAGTTTTAATCGATCTGTGCAATGAGTAGATTCTACTTATTATTAACAACTCGATGGGATGAAGAAGAAGTGGACAATATCAAGCGATAGAATAGTGGATCTGGCTGCTTGCATTTCTACTGTTGTAGGACGATGAAGGGAATAGCTTGAGCAATTCAAAAGTCATGGGGAGTAGACCACATCAACAAGGAAAAACTTGAAATGCGGCTCATCGAAGATTTCGCACTGAGGATTTTGATCTTCTACTCGCTGCTTTTTTTCCGAGGTGAGATTTGATTTGATTTGATTTGCACACATACAGTCTGTTTGCCGTGCGTAGCACGTAATTCAAAGCGTTTGTCTGTCGTAGCTCTTGACTGCAGGTGTCAAGCAGCTTGTGCTCCTGGCTGAAGTAGTACCAGGCAGCACCATCAGTGTTTGCATCACTCCATTACGTGATTGGAGTTCATTTGTGAACGCATGTATTTCTTCCAGTTCTCAATCTTCATAATCTTCAAACATGCGCCCCAGCGAAATCACGCACAGGACTGTCGTGCTTGCTGGTAGTCGTTATCGCGTGGTTGATTTTGTCGGAGAAAGTGTAGATGAGATTCACGCACTGGCAGGTAGACATAATTAGCGTCATCATGTCATTACTTTCCGTTTCCCTTTTTCCCGTTTTTCCCCTTGCCCTTCTTGCCGCCCTTCTTCTTGACGTTACCATTGGCGCCGCCGTTGCCAGCGTTGTCGCCATCCTTCGGCTTACCCATCTGCATCGGCTTCAGCTTCAGACCACGACTGAAGTACTTGCGGTAGGGGTTGTTGTCGACAACACGGGCCAAATCCATCACCTTACTGTGATGCTCGCCGAGGTGAAACACGATCTGGATCCAGTTGTTGTTTTTCCAGTTGATGTACTCGACCAACTCCGGGGCGTCCGCAATCGACCGCCACAGTTCGACAAAAGCATTCTTCTTTTCGGTGAAGTCGGCTTTCTGGGCGTCGGACCAGTCGTCCTGCAGCTCCGTGAGCTCGGACGATCCGTCGTCCTTGGTTTGGTACTCCATCTTCTTGGGAGATGGCTGGGCACCCTGGAAGTGCGTACCCATCAGGCGGAGGAAGGTCTTCTTCTGCTCCTTGTCGAAGTTCGTCAAAAAGTCACCATTTGGGGAATTGTCTTTCCGCGGCCAGCGGATTTCCGGAGAGTTGAACTGCACCATCAAGCATCGTTCTTTCTCGATGCGTTCAACACGACGCTGCATCTTCGTACGGTGAGAAGACGATTTTTTGTGTCGTGCAGCGGTGGGGAATAGATACTTACAACAGCAGGTGAAGATACAGCAGTAATTTTAGCTAGGGTGCAGGAAAACGAGATTTGCAAGCGATCAACAAACAACATGCAGTAGGCCAGTGACAGAGAAGAAACAAGAGAAGAGCAGAACCATGGACGGACTACAGGGAGTGGGTATTTGCGCCACTATGTAGTCGTAGTGGGTGTGTGCGCCACTACAAGCGTGGGTGTGTGCGCCACGCGTCAGATCTTGCTTAAATGGGCGCACAAATTGGAATCATCAAACTAACATTTTCTTTGAACAACAACACACGCACCGGAGATTTTTTCTGAACAACTGAGAAAGCAAGTTTTTTCAAAAAAGTTGCATTAGCATCGTGTTTAGGAACTAGACAGCAATAGGGTTGACAGCATCAAACGCCTGCAAGTCAGCCATATACTGCAGGACCTCGTCCTGCCGCCTCCCCTTCTTTTGGGCGGGGTCACACGTCTGAGCATGCTGCGTCAACTTCAATGCACAATGAACGCCCTGCCCACTAGTAGCCTTGCCTTCAGTGCCAGTAGTGCCGCACTTTTTACAATGCCAACGGTTGCCCCATGGCAACTGGGTTCGTCCTGCTGCATAGGTCCTTATACAAATGACATTATCAAAATCTACACCACTATAATCGACCTTGGAGCACCTAGTCTTGTGTGACTTGAAGCCACTGCCCCCGTCTGGAAAACGCACAAAACAGTGCGGGCATCGGTACTGCGAGATAACAGCGTGGCTGGCGATCAACTCGCCCTCTTCGTGTACGTTCTTCCGCAGCCGTATCTCGCTCGCACCTGCGTTGACGCCATGACTAGCAAGCAGCTCGTCGCGCCGCTTCTCGACGTTTCCTGCTCCATCCGCAGCGTACGCCGCCAGGCGCTCTTGCTCCTCAATCTTGCGAATGTAGAGCGTAGCCGCCTCGTGCCACTGCTTGCGTGTCATGTCCGGCCGGAGTTGCGCGCGCGCCATGATTTCGAGCCACTGCTTGGCTAGTGTCCTGCGCTGCATCCGCCTGTTGCCTTGCGCACCCGCCGAGACCGTGAACAATCTGCCGTAGATCAGGTGGTGGTCGGTGCGCCCGTCTGGGAAGCGAGCCCGGTACGTGTTCCCTTTTTCTACTCCTTCGCCCGGCTCGTCTCGCCCCATCCGGATCTTGTGCCCTAGGTAGTCGATAGTGATTCTCTCGATTGCTGTTCGCGCACTTTGAATGCCGAACTTTCTCCGTAGCGTGTAGTTGTTCGCCACGCCAACCATTCCCGGAATCGCAGTGCCTGTGATGGTGCGCAACATCTTGTTGATGAAGACATTGATTTCCTGATAACTGCGCTCGTTCCACAGCCGCACTGCCGCGTTGTAGTAGACATGCGAAAGGACATTGGATTTGATCAGGCTGCCTCGCTTGAAGTAGTTGATCCGTCCGCGCGCCCGTAGTAGAATCGGCTTCCACTCCGCCCACGCTCCGCGCGCCTTCTTCAAGTGCCGCTCCAGGCACACTCCTGCGCTGTGGTACGTAGACAGTTCGCATCCTACAACTTTTACTTTTTCCTCGAATCCGGGTGGTATTGGTGGGGTCCCATCCTTCTGTCTTGGGCCGGGGTAGTGGAAGTGTGGTCCCTGCAGTAGAAGCCGCTCCGTCTTGTCCGGGTGCACCTCTTGGCCGAAAGTAGTCGCTACGTCCTTGATCGTGCTTTCAACCATTGGCGCCTCCCGCAGTGTCGTCGGGAGCGTTGCATCATCTGCAAAAAGCAAGGCGACCACCTTGCGCACCGCTGCGGGGTTGATGTTCTGCTCATCCGTAAAGGCCGCAAGCTTCGACAAAAAATCGCCCGTCGTTGCCAACTTGATGCCGTTTAGCCTGCGCGCCAGTTCCCGAAACATGATCTCGCTCAGAATTCCGTAACCGTCGGGGCTGGATGGTCCTCCTTCTTTCATCCCGCGCGTTGCTTTCCACTCTTCAGATGGCTCGCGGTCCACCATGATGTAAAACGTTGCCTTGTCGTGAAAGTGCGCCAGGAATTCCACGTTTGTGCCAGGAACGCCCGCACGCCGCAGGATACGGTATACAAGCTCCCGAATCACGCTTGGAAATGCCTTCTTGAAGTCGATCAACACTAGAACTAGCTCATCCAGTATCGACTCCCGCACTACTGTTCGCGTCTGGTCCGCTATGAACTGCAACATCATCACCAAATCCGCCGTCGAACAATCTGACCGAAATCCTCGCTGCGTCGCTGTCTCCCGGTAGAAACCGATCCGCTCGAGGTAGTGCTTGAGCCTCTTCTGCAAAATGGTCTCGCACAATTTCGAGAGAAAGGTCGCCACCGCAATGGCGCGGTAGTTGTCTAGCAGCCGCGGATTAAGGTTCTTCCCCTTGTGGAGGGCATTCATGCGCACCAAGTGCGCCGCGTCCGGAATCGTTCTCGTTCTGAAACAATCCTGCACCAAGTTCACTAAGAAATCCCATGAGTCGTCGCCGAGGTGCTTGATGTGGGCAATGTGAATCTGGTCCACTCCCAACGCGCAGTCTTTCATCTGTTTGACACAGTGAGCGATCTCGCCTTCGTCGGGTATGCCCCACATCGGGTCCACAGATTCCGGGAGTTGGTCCAGGTTTCTCTCCAGGGCCTCCTGAAATCCTTGCGGGACCTCTGCCGTTCGCAACATCAGCTTGCTGAAGTGCTTCTTCGCGTCTTCTACGGTGAACGGGATCGCCTTTCTCACCCTTGCTCCCGCCGTTGGTTCGAAGATTACACCTGTGCGCCGTAGTCTTGCGTAGTCAATTCTACCGCACTGACCATACTCCGCCTGGCACTCGTCTGCAATACGGTCGATGTAGTCCTCAAAGTCCAACTTCTCAACAGCACGGTAGTCTTTCTCGATCGCCCGCAGTCTCCTGTTGTACTGCTGCCGCTCGTTCGCGTCCGCTGCTAGAAATCGGGAGTACAGTAGGTCCTCTTTTTCGTTCTTGTATTCGCGGAATTTCCGTACATTCAGCCACGGGGGATACTGCTGCGCCCCCCTCTCCTGATTTGCCGGAACGACCGCCGTCGCGCTGTTCGCTACTACTGTCGTGAACTTTTCCCACCTGCTGGCAAGGCTGCTGCCTCCGTTCTGCTGCTCCTTCCGAAGGTTGGCATCCGTCTCCGCTGCAAAAGCCGTCTGCGCTGTCTCGTCGCGCCGAAGCGCTTCATACGGTGGGGACGGCGTAATTGTCATTACTCGGAGTCGGATTTCGCGCTTGTCCTTCTGCGAAAGCCCTAGCTTGACAGCCATGCGCTTGCCGCGGTGGTCGGTGAGAAATTTGGGCTGGATGGTCTTCACGTTTCCAAAATGAACCTGTCGCGATGTGTAGAAATAGTCAATCTCGTACCATCGCCCGGTCGCGGGATGCCTCCACGTGCCTCTTCTGTGGATGGACTTAAAGGTGTCCGGAATACACAACATGTTATCGATTGCAAAACGCATGTTGTTATGTCCCGGACGGGGGTTCGCGGGTGGTTCCAACAGCGGGGCCGAGCCGATCGCCGCTGCAGCGCCTGCCTCTTCATCCTCTGGACCTCGGGGCAACTGGGAAACTGCTGAGTTGAAGTCTCCGCCGAAGATGATGCTGCTGGTACCTGTCGCAAACAAAAGTTTTTCGCGCCAAAGCAAGAACTGGCCCAGTTCTGCGAAGTCCGCAACCGTGTCGCTTGGCTGGTATCCCACCGCAAACCACGTCCCGCGTATGAAGAGCGCCATAATGCGGGGGCCGAAGAATTTGACGACCGGTCTGATGAGAGATTTTCCATCCGCTGCGAACAGAATGGACTTGTGCAAGACGATGGCCACTCTACCTCCTCCATAAACGTAGTGCTGGCCGTGGGTGAACTCGTACCGCTTGATGTGTGCACCACGTGCGCCGCTCCACTGAACGTCGGAAAGGAGCGCGACCTTCGCCTTGTTAGCCGCGATGTGTTGGAACACACCGCGGACTTTCTCCGCCTGTTGCACCTGCTGGAGGGGTGCCGACTGGTCAACACCCTCCAAGTACCGAAAGTTTGCCCGTTGACAGTTCTGCGTCAGTACAAAGACCCAGTCGCCTGGTGCTACCGGTTGATTGCAGGCTCGGTGGGGTCTGCGGATCCTGGTCGGGTCTCTGCGACCGCCCATGACCCGCTGGTGCTGCACGAGAAGAAAGCAAAGAGAGATAACGACTAACAGCATGCTCGCGGACCTGACAATGAAGCGCCCGGTGGATCCGGAGTCTACTACGCCGGGACGCCCTCGGTAATCAGTCTATTTGAAGCTCCTCACATCGTTCGTCGCTCCGTCGTCGCGTAGGAGTTTGCAGCGGAAAAGACAAAGACGGCGCGCTTCCCTTTTACCCGCGAGGTGGTGATGTGAGGGGGGACGATGCGAAAACACTCATTCTGCCATTACACCCCAATCATTTTGTGACCCCCAAAAAGCAAAATAAAAAGATGCTTGAGCCAAAATGGCTACGGTGAGATGACCCTTGATCTTGATCTTCGATCTTCCATAAAACGATTTTTGATCCAGGTCTGGTTGTTCATCCAGGTACTACCACAGCCACTTCATTGATCTTCACGATCCAGAAGTCATTTGAAGAGGTAGCGTGATGATCCAGCATCTAAACAGTCGCGATAAAGTCATTTAAAGAGTAGTGTGATCTTCCATAAAAAGTCACTCATATATCATTTAAAGATCATGAAGGTTCTACTGCATCAAAAGAGGTGCGTGAACAACGCGGCTCCACCCGGTGGAGATGCCTAAACCACCTTTGAGATGGCAGCATCACCTTGACTTCAAGCTCCTTCGTGATCGTGTTGATTGATATGATCGAGAAGATGAGATTGATGCCACGGCACAACCTTCGACGCAGTTAATATGCTTTGCCAGCACGCTCGCTGCTGCGAGCTGACGGCGCACAACATCGCGCATCCTGCCCTGTCTGTGGCGGATAGATGCTGCTCCTGCTGCCAGGAGGCTGTGGTGGAAATAGTGTTTTATGTTCTACTTCTTCGCAACTACTACCGACCACGGGAGTTCGAGACCAGTTGCGCGCTGCATCATCATCATCATCATCATCATCATCATTTATCCTGCACTTCTAGGGGGGCACGTGCGGAAGGGGACGTGCCGTGCGATAAAATTAAAAATCATACAATAGTGACATCATTATCATTATACACGAGGAGGAGGAGGAGGAAACCTCTATAGTCAGCTTCTAACTACTAAGCTACTTCTGTCTTAAGCTTAACTATAGGACATAGTTCTGGAGACGACTAGCCGAGCTGGGGATAGGTTTTTATATCGTGGACAAATAGCCCTGCCAGGTGTACAAAACCTAGGACTTCAGTGCCACGACCCATGAAGATCTCCTTTTCTCCGCTCAAGGCCCGTCCCCGAGTCTGTACTGCAAACGCCCCCATGGTGTCGCTGGCCGCTTGAATGTAGTGGCTCGCTGGATCCGCGGTAGTTGTATCTGCCTGCTGTACGTCTTCACTTGATGTCGTAATTTCCCGGTGGAGAGACGACGCAACATACTAGCTACTACACCGTGATGCGTGTCAAACCACAGCGAGAGAGCTCGGGGCGCAAAGTTTGGATTTGTGGCGCTGGAGCGACAACAGGGTCGAGACCGAAGCCCGTAACCAGACTGCCCAACGCCACGCCTGCTCGACGAGAAGAAGTGAGCCACTACTGTCGAATGGTTGTGAGGGCGAAGCAACAGAGTTACCTGTCGGCTGAAGCCCGCAGTGGAGGACTCCCTATCCCTCCACCGTCGACATGAAGTGCTCCAGAATGATGATATTATGAAAACGCCGCCCGATCCGACGCTGTACAGAATGCTCCCCCGTCGTCGATCCTCGGTTACCCCTCCCCCGTCGTCGGCGGAGGTCCTTCGGTCGCGCGTGTAGGCGCGTCCACGTCCGACTTCGTTAAGAAGGGCGTTGCTCTCGAGCAAGCTGGCTGTGCTGATGCACAAAGAAAGATAGCCTGGGTGAAATCAAAGAAATAACCAGGGAAACGACAAAAGATCGATAAGGACAAGCCCGCGGGTTCCTCTCACTGACATGTCCTGCGCCCTCGTCCCTAAGAAAAACGCAGGCCCTTGTCGCGTCGCTCGATCACGGCACGAAGGTCACGACCACGGCGGGCGCGGAGGTGGAGTGTGTTATTTACTACTAGTCGTTATTTTGTAGGCCCGGTTACTAGTCTTCTGTTTTGGTTTTGGTAAAAGGAAAACGCGCAAAGTAAAGTAAATGCCTTCGAAACGCGCCTGCGCTGTGATCGCGGGCGGCAGTTTCCGTACCCGTGCCTGCAGTGTGCCGGGGCCATCGGAGGGGATCAATGCACTACGCAATTTCTCAAGCCTGAGAAGTCTCTTTTTCAAAGTTCTACCTGTGCAATCTAAGTGAGTATTTGTATCTATCCGCCCTTCCACTGCCTAGCGCAGTTGGCACCTCCGCTCACACATGACATCATGCCGACTCCTGTTGCGGCGGGCAAGCATGCCTTTTCGGTGCCTGGTGCACGACTCCCCCCTTCCGGTCCCCATCCGCGCCGGCCCTCATGGCACGCCGCGGCTAGTCTGCTGCTTGGGATCTATGCCTCTTTTCCACGATATCCCGCGGGGAGGGGCGTATCCCTGCGGGTCCGGAGTTGGCGGGCACGCCTCGCGTATCACCGAGCTTGTGTCTCCAGCCGCTAGTCTTACTGTTGCTTTCTATTTGCTACTCTATCCGGAGCCTTCTATCTAACTCCACGACGGGGCTATGCGTTGGCCCGTGCTGCGGCGGCGCTGTCAGTGAGGGGGGCGACGTCATTATTTTTGTTCTACTTTTGACCGACTTCGTATGTTCCTAAAGGGGCGAGGCTCACCGGGGTCATTAGGCTCGCTATGGCCAACCTGCAGCATCCAGGGACCCTCACGAGGCCCTCGCCCCCACGGTTTTTGGTTGAATTTCAAGTAGTATCCGTTCTCAACAACGACGAGGAACAACAACGACATTATCATTATACACGAGATTTCTAGAAGCTGCATTTTTGCGTCGTCTTTCGCCTTCCTGATCCTCTACTGATGCGTCGAAATAATTACACACGAAGATCGGATCTGCCACATGCAGCATCAAGTTCTTAAGAGCTTCTTTCTTTCTCTCCATGCCCGGGTATCGGTATGGCGTCAAAAGTTAAAGGCCCTAAAAGAACTTGCTTTTGGCGTCGGAAGTTAAAAGGCGTCAAAAGATAAAAGAGCTTCTTTTTGGGGTTGAGGTTGTTAATAAGTACTAGCCGGAGCTTCTTGAAGAAGCCTTTTTCAAAATCAACCCTTATGGCCTGCGAGTAACGGTCTGACATATACAGCTAATGAATCCTGAGAGTAAGTAGTCCTTCGCGAAAGCTCTAAGTACAAGTAGGGAGCTTAGGCACTACAACAAGACCAAGCACTGCCCTTGTTCAAAATCAAATCTTCCTGGTGCCTTGTAAAAAAATGATCCAATCATACATACGAAATCTCGATGAAAGAGTCGAAGACCAAGACGAAGATGCCATGAAGATCATCATCATCTTCCGCCTCGCCCTCGTCTTCTACGTCGCCCTAGACTTGGTTACAACAACAGCTACTCCTGCACCAAAACTTTGACTTTTCCACCCTGCACTCAGTGTAGAAAATTTAGGTTTCATCAACATGATGAGTAAATGTCTATATGATGTTACAAGTAGCTAAATCTTGTTCGAAGATAGAACATGATGAGTAGTGAAGCAGTTTGCCTTTTGTTTTTTCTTTGTACTTTGTGAATAAACATGAAGTGGAACAAGTGGAAATGCGGGTCCTCTAACAACTCTTTCAACCAATAGCACAAACTTTGTGCTGGCTACTTTGAAAGTAGCCCCAGTTGGACCACTCTGATGCTTCTCGTCACGCTGCTGGTGCTGCCCCCTGGCGATCCGCCTCGTAGTCAACCAGCGTCTTCCACTGCGCATACCACTGCGGCAGCCACGGCTGAATATCAGTGAGAAGATTCATGGCCAGCTTGGACTCCGGGGTATACCGTGGGTCTCGCGTCACAGAAAAGAAGCCCTGCATCAGGGCGTTTGCGTTCGCCAGCATCGCTTGTTTCAGGATCAAAACCTGTCCCGCGGGGGGAGTAGTGTTGGTGCTCAAGGTCAGCCGCTGCCCAGTAATCAGATTGGTCCCGATCTCTTCTCGATAGAGGTTTGGGTAGTGCGGCGAAAGTGTATTTAGCCGGACCTTTACGATCATTCGCAACCGCGCCTCCTCATCCTCTTCAAAACAGGTTATTTCCCTCAGTTGGAAGTTGACGAGCAACATGAGCTGCCCCGCATTCTCTCGTTGCCAGAACTGGGCTCCCGTGTTTGGGCCGACGCTCGTTGGCTCACAGTTCTGCGCCGTCCAACCCTGAGCGAGCTGCGGTACGGGGGGAGTGGTGGCAGGTGCGGGCGATGGTGCCGGCGCAGGAGTGGGGGGAGATCCGGGCCCACCCGGGGCAGGAAACTGGTCCCGCCAGCCCGTGTGCCATTCAATAATCCGATCTGCGATTGCGTTCAAGTCTTGTCCGTGACCCAGAATTCCCAGAGCGCGCAGATCGTCGCGACTGAAAGGGCTTGCGTCGTACCTGATGTCCCCCTCACCGCTGAAAATCGACCAGTGGCGGAAAATTTTTTTCGCGTTGCTGTGTTTATCCGAAAAGTACAGCTGTCTTCGCGGCGCCGTGGGGGACGTAGAAATATCCTTTTCCACGAGGAAAAAGTAGCGACCGCCCGGAATTGGAACATGGGAAACGGGGTTTATCGTGGGGGAAAAGCCCCCAAACGGAAACGGGAGTCGCCGGCTGAGAAGCTCGGGCAACTTGGTGGCCGAGTCTGCGTCGGTTGCTATCGTACGAAAAAAGTGTTTCACTGTAAGGATCTTGCAACTTTTGCATCACAAGTTTGTTCTACATGACAGAGAAAATTTGTCACGCGCGGTTCCTAAGGGAAAACACAGCTAGAAACTCACTGTCTTGCATGTGTAGCAACACAAACACTTCTCATATACATTTTCTGCATTACAAGTTTACAGTGAAACAGTTTTTTCTTGCGATATTGGCGTCCATGCAGGTAATCTGCTTGTTCAGGTAGTCCACCAGAAGCGCAATCCGGGTGTCCTATGCTCTGCAAAAGTATCGCACTCGTAGTAATTGCAGCCACGCATGACTCCTTTCTATGGTAACACAGCATGACAAATATCTTTTGTAATACTAGTAAAAAAATTTGTCATGCATCATCATCATCATCATCATCTATCATCATGCGATTTATACTAGTGCGATGCTTTTGCAATGCATATAACCGCGGGCCCGACGATTTCTTCCTGAGACAAGACATCCCGATCTCCCGGGTCACAGCCAAACGCCCTCCACAGCACGCGCAGCAGCTCATTGCTTGCCCTCGCCTGGAAGGGATTGGTGCTCGGCTTCGGCTTTGGCTGAGGAGCCTTCGGCTTGGGCTGAGGAGCCTTCGGCTTGGGCTGAGGAGCCTTCGGCTTGGGCTGAGGAGGCTTCGGCGTTGGCTTCGGTTTCGGCTGAGGAGGTGCCGGCGCGGGTGCAGGTGCCGGTGTTGGAGTCGGACCTGGACCAGGCGCCGGCGCTGGAGCCGGAACTGGGCTCGGTTGGGGTGCGGGCCCAGGCGGTGCAGGGACGGCCTCCGGGTAATCCACTCTGTACTGCGCGAGCCAGCCGGGCAGCCACTCCGCCACTGCCTCAACTAAGTCCGCGGGATCTAGGGCAGGCTTTAAGAGGGTCTGGCGCAATGTGTCTGGAGAGTCCAACATTGCCTCTTCGAGCCAGGTGTATGACGCAGCAGTCGAAGCGGGAAGTTTCTGCATGAATGAAAGCTGCTGAAGTCGCAACTCCGCTCGCCTGTCCTCGCTCGCGTGGAAGGGATAGCAGTAAGTCATTTCGTTTTCAAAATCCGCGAGCAACATGAGCGCCGAGCCGTCGGTAGGACAAGAGGAGTGCTGTCGTCCATCATGATCCACAGTAGTGAGGTATGCAATACAAATTTTTCGTACATGTACAAGATGCGTCACAAAAGCGTAAAACTTGTCATGCTAAACTAGGATCGAAGCCAAGTTCTGTCATGCAGCGACCGCATTTGTACGTGTACGGGAAATTTACTGTGGATACGAGGGTCACCCCGTTTTGCTCCATACGCGCAGCCTTGTGTCGCAAAACCTCACTGCGGGAAAGAACTGGCGCAGGGCCAGTCACCTGCTGCTGCTGGTTTGCGGCCCCGTCGTTATTTGCCCAAACGACGGTGTACATTATCGTGACCGGAATAACAACCGCGGCGATGATTACCACAACAACCAGCAACGTGATAAACCACCAAGAGCAGAACCAGGCAGTTTTGGTCGAAGTGGCGGCAGGCTCCGGCTCGGTCGTTGTACCATGCGCGGCGAAGTCGTTGCCAGAGTGCAGCAGGAGGGCGCTGTTGATATCTTCTTCTTCTTGCGAGGGTCCTCGACCTCGAGGGACCTCGGTGTCGACGAAAGCTGAGCTTGCCATTCTGATTTTGCTTCGGGTTTGTCTGAAACTTCGACGAAGTAAGAGGGTTTATGAATTAGAATGAATTGTCTCTGTTGTGCCACAAATAGAGTACTATATCCGCTCAAAACAAAAGAAAATCTCCAAAACTCGTAGTGCCAGGAAATACAAATAATTATGCCCAAAACTTTCCGCGACTGCTGCTTTCTTTCAAAACGTCTGTTTACGGGGATGCGGATTGCTGCTAGAAACTATGAAGAGAAAAACAGTGCTTGTTATTTGTAGGCGATCCAAAACAATAAAAACAAAGAGAGAGAGAGAGATAACCTACATAGTCGCTGAAAGTCGCTGAAAGCGCCACGCGGACGTGACCACCGGCGGCAGGGACGACCTGAAGGGTCTGGAGACTCCCCTTTTTTCGAGGGGGTAAGAAAGCTAAATCCGCACGCAAAATTTCGGCGGGCTTCAAACTACTGAAAGATCCTGGCTGTGCGTGAGGGATGCAAAAGGATCAAAACGTAGTAAGAAGTCGAATACTAAATAGCTCTCAAACACCGACGTCCTTATGTTCTCATGTTGTTACACTCCCGACGGTGATCGCAGCACCAGGAGCCCACACGAACTGAAAGAGTAACGCGCGGCTAGCAGACAAGAGCAGGCGCGAATCGCCGGTCATCCACAAGCGGAGACCAAACTGTAAAATATTTTTCCAAGCAGAGCTGTAGCAAGCGCACTAGCGCTGAGGAACAAGTAAGTTGTTTAGAGTTCCGGCGTCAAATGAATCTACATGCCAGGATTAGCAGACCTGACCCAAAGTTATCTACGATCGGACGCCATGATGGAACTCCGCAGACAACGAACAAGCCTCCGATCATCATATAAAGTCCTCATGTCCGCGGCGGGACCCGAGTGTGCAAGGGCAGGACAGGGAGGAAGACCGGGAGATTACCTCCATCGTGGCGCATTTTCCAGCACCGCCAGATCTCACGCGCATGTAAAAAGCCCTGACAAACAGCAGAGCACCCAAGAGGTGTCCAACCGAGAGGCAGCAGCGGGGGAAGCGTGTATCCGGGTCGGGGAAAATCTACACGAGCTTGGTAGTGCTGGGACGTATGAAAATTGTAGCACATATGGGAGGAATCAATTCCACGGAGGGAATAATAATAAGACTGGAGCGCATGAGCAGTGCGCATGACAAATCCATGAGTCTTTCTACTTATGTTTTCACTGTGCAATGCCATACGTAGAGGTCCGGAGAAGTCGGTAAAAGTACTACCGGCGCTGGTCGTTGTACAAATCGATGCGGTAGGGCCGGAAATGAAGATCGAAGGTGGGAAGCCGGTACTGGGTATCGAAAACTACCGGGCTGCGCGGCTTCCGCCGGTCAGTATGTAGAAATCGTCGCTACCGCCACTCCCTTAGCGATTGAATCCATCTTAGCCTCCTAGCACCCCGAATGTCCGAGTTGATGAGGGAGGAATAATAGCGGGAGCCGCGGCGGTGCTAATTCAAAATATGCATATGATGCAAAAGCGCGTAAAAATGCCGAGGGTTGCGATTGCTTCTCGTGGCGACTTCAAACTGCTTTTTTTTTTATTGGAATGCTGTGCGCCTACAATGCTAGCCCGGCAGAGCAGTATAAATAGTTACAGTTGGAATAGTGTTGAATTATCGTTGTCAGAATTTAAACACAAGGAGCTAGGAAGGCGAGGCCCATGTAGCCGCTTCACAGCAGTGGTGCATGAATTTTAAAGAATTTTACAGCAAAATCAACGAAAATGCGACAAATAAGCATTACAAACCACGTTTTTATTATCCATAGTGGTTTTAAAACTAACTGAAGGAACAGTGGTGCAAAGGCGCAGGGAGTATCAAAAGGACATCGAAAGGATATGAACTCACATCCAGCGTACCGTGGTAAGATCAATTGCGAAAGTGAATAAATATCAAAAAGACTACAAATCAACTCTTTTGGCCCGGCGGGATAAGTCTTTTTAGTCGGTTTGATCCTTCTGAAAATTTTCATTTTTTAATTGTTTTTCTAAAATTCGCTGTTTTAGCTCGGCGGGATTAGGACTTCAAAAAACGGGTCGATCTTTCGAACCATCTAACCCCCGGGGAAAAGACCTAAACAACTATTTAAGAAAACCGCACACGCGTCATCTTTTTCTTTTCGTCGGGACAAGACGAGAAGCGCAAGGTGATCATATCGCGCAAACCATGGAAAGCTGCAAGAGATCGAAAAAGCAAACACGCCTGAAAATGGGCGGAGCTAGTGATTATTTTTAAGAAAACCATACGCCTTCAATACGAAATGAACCTCGAATATCGCGTATACCATGCTAAGCGCTAAGTCACAAAACCCCAAATGAAAAAGCGTTAGACTTAAGGCGCAAGCGAGTATTAGCTCGGGAAAATAGTAACTTATGCTGGACAAGGCGAGACGTGCAGAAAGACATCTTAAGCAAAACACGCCTTGTAGCCGGAAAAAGGGCGTATGCCCCTTCAACACCCTCAAACCAACTACCGCTCGGGGAGATAAAAACTGTCTAACTTCTTCGAAAAGAGTGTAGATTGTATGAAAAAAGTACACCGGGCATTAGATCAAACGAGCACTACACCGGGGTGATAAATCATGTAAAAGACGGGAAATCAGCATTACAAACAGCGGCTCCAAAAAGAAAAAAAAAACTAAAACAAGAAGTATGCCACTTGAGCTTTTCGAGTTGTCAATGAGTTAGTTTTGCCATCAAATACAGTTATACAGCTTCCACCACATATAAGTGCTTTAGCAAAGAGCCAGAAAAAAAGACTACACGCAACCTGAAACGCCTGGGCTTTTACTTGCGCCCGTTCTTCAGTAAAGATCCAGAAAAATGGACTTTCCGCCCCTGTTTTGATTCATGATCATGCTTTCGGGATTATTACAACAAAACCCGCTAAAAGTCGACACATTAACACTACAGACCGTGGCATTACTTTCAAGTGCAGAGCCTGTAATGGGTCCACTATGTCTCATGGTCCACCCGAAGACAAGTAAAAGATATAAATGCGCCCTGCGCAGTGTGGCTTTAGGATCGTGCTGCGAATTGAATGAGCAAAAAACGCAACTAGGTGTTTCTATTAGTAAATTGTTGAAAATAGAGGCCGCCCTCTGTCAGACGGGATGAGCGAAAAAATCGTAAGTCGAACCCTGGCCCTTTGCTGGCGCCACGGTTCGACTAGTATAGGCAGGACAGTATACGACGAACATCACACAGCTGAACGCTGGCCTTCCTCTCGTTCCACTGCACGCGTGATGCCTCTCCGCCCACCTCGCAACGTCTTCTAAAAATGGTCCGGCTGACTACACTCGGGTCGGATGCCGCTCCTGTTGTACTATAGCTGGGACTTGCGTTTTTTCGAATGGTAGTGGAGACGATCTAGACCGTAGACTAGACCGCCCCCTTTCTACCGTCGCGGTTTTTTGTAGTCAGTTTCGTAAAGGCCGACCGGAAGACGCAGGGGTGATTTACCTGTGGCCTTGTAGCCCGATTCCGATCATGTTTCACTCTAGGGCCTGCGCTTGTGCTAACCGTTCTACACCATGGCAGCAGCTTATCATGTGCTTTTTCGCACGGATCTTCAAAGAGCAAGGCGGACCGGAGTGAATTAGCCAGAGATTTTTGAAAAAGATCGACCTGGTTCAAATCTGCAAGGTTGCTCTTCTGCAGTGGGTGGTAGGCAGACGAACACGAACATAAGGAAACTCCTCACCGGACGGGCTCTCGGCCGTCGTTCAGCGGGTCCCCTGGGTTGAGTGCGGCGCGCGGCTATTCTACTGTTTTACCACGTAAGCATTAGTAGTAGCTTAGGCGCCTTGTCTTGTTTTTTCTTCTTGCTGTTAGGAAACTAGTGTGGCGGACGAGCGACAGCCTCTGTATCACATTCACCGCTTGCTACATTCACCCGCCCCCGTTCGAGGACGGGTCGAGCCTCGCAGTGTCGTGCTCTCTAACTTCTTAACTATGCGCGGTGGCATCACGCTACTAGCTAGTTTTTCGCCTCAACAAGCGCCTCAACAAGTTCTCTACTCTGTCTCCATTCCCCTCTCCCCCACCTTCCACTTGGCGCACCCTCTTTGCCCTAGACCCACCTGCTTCGATGTGCCCTGGCCGACGCAGCTGGTCACCGGTTCCGCTCCTCCCGCGCTAACACCCCGGGACTGCTCCTGCAGCCAGAGGTGTCATGTACTCCAGATAGACCTAAAGCGAGGGGGGAAGGGTGGGGGGGTTTTTCTGGGTGCAGGTTTTTCGGAAAAGTTGCCCGGCTGCGCGTAGTCCCCTCCTGCTGTGGCGTTGTAGGGCTGGGCCTGCTTTTCAAAACAAACACGAAGGACTAAATATAAATTAAAACCGGTTTCAATAGGCGTTCGATGTCCAAAATAATTTTCAACAATTTTACACAGGCACTAGACAATTCCTGCCGAAAGTTTTTGCGTTATAGTGCAAGTTTTCCGTAGTTTCTTCGTGGTTTAACTTATCAGCATGCAAGAATGTAAATGATCCTGATCGCAACGGCACCACTTGGGCGACAAATAGCTTTTTCTGGATCAAATCGCGGAGGTTGTGGTCGAATACGTCGACCGACGCAGGAATTCTTTGTTCATTGGATTGGATCTCCATTTCAATTTCTTTCATTGAGTGCTGTAGGATCTTGTGGTGGTTGATTTTTTTGGGATCGTCTCCAAGTTGTAGAGCAACTAACTACAGACTTTTGTTCGTGAACATGATCGCTCTTGTGTCACGACCGGGAAAAATCTATCCTGTGCAAAAGTATCGCACTCGCACTCGTATAAATGCAAGTCCTGCATTACAAATCTTGTTTCCAAGGCAAATCTGCATTACAAATTTCATTTCTCATGCTGAGGAAATTTGTAATGCATTTATACGAGTACGATACTTTTGCAATGCATAAAATCCTGCCGGCGGTGAAAAAAACCACCAAAAGTTCATCATCTTCTACGCAGAACAGCGACGGCAGTAGCAACCTCGCAGACGACGAAAAGTCCGAATTTTTGCGTGCGCGGCAGCTGGGCAAGTCGAGTACTAGTTCAAGTGCAGCGACTGGGACTGCGTCCTCCGCCCGCCATTCCGCGTGGATGCTCTTTCTGCAGAAAATTGCCTTCGGGACGAACAAGTTAACAACCACAGCACGACGATCGTTGACGAAGTCAACTACATCCGGAGATAATGACAGCAGCAGCAACAATGACAATGACAAACCTATTTACTACCACACCCTCGTTTACTCCGTCCCGACGAACTGCGACAAATCTTTACCCCCTTCTGCGACGCGGGAGGAACAGGAATTTTGCTTCAACAAGTTTGTCGAGGAAACTTTGAAGCCGACTTTGGAACAGTATCCACAGTTAGTTTCCCGTACACGACGTACAAATGCGGTTTTTGGTGCATGGCAGAACTTGGCTTCGATCCTAGTTCAGCATGACAAGTCTCACACTCCAAATTGAGGAAATTTGTGATGCATCTTGTACATATTGTGCGGTTTTCAAGAATGAACAGGGTGGGGGGTTCCGAAAAGGGTCCGGAAACGGCAAACTGGCGCCGGAGCGGCCGGCGGCCCACCTCTAGGCGCCAGAGCGACAACTCCCGGCCTTTTCGGCCTTTTTTGCGCGGCCCTGGGACGACAAGGAGCATTGGGCAGATGACTCGGCTGCTTCTTTCCCCTCTCTGCTGGGTCTTGACTACAGACTTTTGTTCGCGAAGGTGATCGCTCTTGTGTCACGACCTGGGATCTTGATGACGCGCGTAGCTCTGGTGTTAGTAGTATTTAACTTCCAGTGTCACGTCGGTCGCACTCAGTAATAAGCACCCCTACAACGATACCACTTAAAACCGAGCTCTACAGTTGCGCCCCCATTGTCATTGTAGGACCGCACCCCCGCGGCCGAGGAGCAATTCGTAACCGGCAGAACGGCGGAGGAAAAGACAAAAAATCTTGCAACTTTTGGAAATTGGGCAGCGTCGGCTGCTTTTAAAAAGACCACAAAAACCAAAAAAAACGCCTCCCCACGGGTGAGGAGCGATTCGCACGCGGCAGAACGGCTGAGGCAAAGACAAAAAGTTTTGCAATTTCTGAAAATTGTGCAGCGTCTGCTGCTTGAGAAATGACCGCAAAAACCAAAAAAACCGCCTCCCCACGGGTGAGGAGCGATTCGTACGCGGCAGAACGGCTGAGGCAAAGACAAAAAGTCTTCCAATTTCTGAAAATTGGGCAGCGTCTGCTGCTTGAGAAATGACCGCAAAAACCAAAAAAACCGCCTCCCCACGGGTGAGGAGCGATTCGTACGCGGCAGAACGGCTGAGGCAAAGACAAAAAGTCTAGCAATTTCCGAAAATTGGGCAGCGTCGACTACTTGTGACATGACCGCAAAAACCAAAAAAACCGCCTCCCCACGGGTGAGGAGCGATTCGTACGCGGCAGAACGGCTGAGGCAAAGACAAAAAGTCTTGCAATTTCTGAAAATTGGGCAGCGTCTGCTGCTTGCGAAATGACCGCAAAAACCAAAAAAACCGCCTCCCCACGGGTGAGGAGCGATTCCCTCCTAGGCGGCAGAACGGCTGAGGCAAAGACAAAAAGTTCTGGTTGTTGATCCATGTATTTCTACCAGAGCCGCTTCATTGTCATTGACCCTTCATCTTCTCTCCTGTCAGAGCATAGCTTCCTCATCTCTAGTACTCCTGTCAGGTTATTACTAGGCGCCCGGCGCCGGACCATCATCTCTCCTGTCAGAGCATTTCATCACGCTAGTTAAATGCAGGATCTACTTTATTGTCATTTTTCAGGCGGTTGTCTTTTAGGCAACGATCTTTCAAACCGGATCTTTCGCTTGCAGGATCTTTCACTTGCAGGATCTTTCACTTGCAGGATCTTCAGGGGAGTGGACCTAAAAGTGGTAAAGTCTAAGTATATGAATAGCAGCTCCAAGAACTGCAGCACGACCCTATGCTTGTCCTGCTCCTGGGCATAGCTCGAGCTCGACACCGCAATCGATATCTAGGGAGGAGGCCGCGTTGTGCAATCGCTGCAATAATATTACAAAAAGATGAGGAAATAATTGTTGTAGAACAACATTCCTCGTATTCTTGCTCGAACTCGACATCAAGATTTGGTGCAAACGACGCTGCATATGTGTAGAGATGTCCAGTGCAACAACTTCTCCTACTCTCCGATGAATCGATACTCTTCATTCTTCATCCACGCCAGTCTTTCTAAATTATTTCAAGACGGTAATGAGCGGACTCTTGTAGAAAGTCGCGCTGCTTTCTGTGCGGCGACCAGTGGTCGTGCTTGTCGTGGGTAGATTTATTTCCGGGTTTCTATTCCTTAGTTCGATTTGTTCCACCTCCGAAGTAGTAGAGCAGCCTAGGTTATGTTTAATATTTCTTGACTCCGGCTTGTTGTTGCTGTTGTTCGAGAGGATCTTCGGCGGTACTGGATCATTATTACCAAGCACGTTCTTCGGATACTTTGGCAAACGCGTTCCCGTCCGAGGACCGGACTCATCTTGGCCAGCGTGTAGTTGTTCTGGACAAGTAGAAGCAAGAACAGCCTTTGCAGTTCCGAGTACTGCGGGAATTATCTTCGTGCCGCCCTTGTCCTTGTCGCTGGTATTTTCGCAGATAGTACTACTGCTGCCTTGACGTAGTTCACCGGTTTGTAGAAGTTGTTTTCCATGGCAAGAATTGTCCTCGTTTACGGCAGCACCACAGTGGTCAAAGTCACGCCGCTGCTCCACTTGCCGCTCGACGTGGTTGCTTCTAGTACGATTTATTTGAGCTACGTGGCCACAATTTGGTCCGGTTCCCGATGTTGCTTGCTGCGAAGATGGACTTTGATCCGTTTTGTAGACATCCCCCGCCGCCATCATGATACGACGACCTACTAGCTCAAGCTTTCCGTACTGAATTACCGCCCGATTATGCATTGCAAAAATGTCTGGGTCTGGAAGAGTCGGGGCTTGTCATGCACACTTTGCATGACCCGTGAGGTCGGTGATGCTGGTGCTAGCATCACAGATTTTTTGAGACGAGCTTCAGCTGCTTCTTGATGCTCATATACGAATACGCATGAGAAGTCCCCTCTTCGCGTGCCAAGAGCTGACTCCTCTTGCTGCTCATGCAACACAGACATTTTTAGAATCCGCAGACAGCATTACAAGTTCCACTCTTCCAGACCCAGGCATATTATTTGCAGTTGATACCGATGGTCGCTTTGCAAAACCTCCGCGTTTTCTACCGCACGGTACAGGAAGGGATTGTATTTGTAAAATCCACGATAATCATTTTTTGGCGAAATCAAATCACCCTTGCAGTAATACAGCACCCGATCGCACCAGCTCGGCGCCCTATGAAAGCCTCAGGTTGGAAATCCGCAAACTGAAAATAATTTGCAATGCAAAAAAACTACTCCAGTTGGAGCACCATTTATAGTCGGCGCGTGACAAATTTCGCGGGCACTCAAAACGTGTCTGTCGTGCTAGTTAGGCAAAGGGGCGCCCTTCTCTCATGCTACTTAATCAGCAGACCAATTCTGAACCCGTAGAAGCACAATAGTCGGCCTCCGTTGCGCTCTCTGCAATACAGTCTTTTTGGTGTCGCATTTCATGCATCACAAATTATTTCCACTTTGAGGATTTCCATTCTGAGGGTGTCATACGCCCGTTCGGTGCTGTACTGTTCGGTTTTCTTGTATGGGGGTGTCAGGATTGAAATCGTCAAAGTTGAAATGATTTGTCATGCATAAAATGCGACACAGAAAGCAACTCTATTGCAGAGGACGCACGGGAGGCAGATTATAGCCCTGGTAAGGGTTAAGGGTTGGACTGCTGAGTAGCATGGCAGAAGGCAGCTCTTTTGCCCTAAGCCGCATGACAGACTCGTTTCCAGGACCGGAAATATTTGTCATGCACCGACTACAGACTGTAGGTCTAACTGGTATCCGTTTTATGCATGGCAAACAATTTCAACTTTGACGATTTCAAACCTGACACATCCATATCTTGAACTTGTAGCTCGGAAGAAAGCATATCTCAGGCTCTTGAAATTGAAACTGTATCCAAGAAAAAAAAAGACTGTGACTGTAGGTGTAACTTTTTTATTGGTCGTGTGCCAGCATTTTTACAAATCTGGCAGTCTGGCATGAATCAGCAAAAAGCTCAAGCTGTCACGCGAGGATAGCGCGTGAAACTGAAATAAACGCAGAAGCTGAATTGACGCAACGCTACAATGCATGACGAGCATGACAGACGCAATCATCGTACATGTTCTTGCGCATCACAAACTTACACCTACAACAATCTTCTTCGTTGGATAAACTGTTTTCGAAAGATGCTGCTCGCGATCCGGAACTCGTCTCTTTTTCCGTACTCTTTCAGGATGAGCTGCTTACTCTTGTTCTTGAGTAGGTTGCGCGGACTGGGAGAGCCGCGACTTCCACCTACAGTTGTGGTTATAGTCGACACTGGTGCATGAGCAGAAACTGCTCCCGTCGCCGCGTCGTCTTGTTTCATCCCTTTCGTGTTCATCTTGGATGAGCTTGATCTAGAAGTTGTTGTAGCTGATGCTCCTCCTCCTGCAATAGACGTCGCTGTTTTCTGCAGCTGCTGAAAAATTTCCGCGCATTTTATGAAAGCCTCAGGTTGGAAATCCTCAAAGTGGAAATAATTTGCAATGCAAAAAAACAACTCCAGTTGAAGCGCCATTTCTAGTGGGCGCATCACAAATTTTCCGGGCACTCAAAGCATGTCTGTCATGCTAGGTAGGCAAAAGGGTGCCCTTCTCTCGTGCTAATCAGCAGCCCAATTCTGAACCCCTAGCAGGACAATAGTCGGTCTCCATTGTGTCCTCTGCAATACAGTCTTTTTTGCCTTGCATTTCATGCATCACAGATCATTTCCACTTTGAGGATTTCTATTCTGAGGGTGTCATACATTTCACCGCGGAGTTTTCCAGATCCCGGACGTAAAAAGCGCCTTGCTGGGCGGAAAGATAGAGGAAAATGTCGCGGCTGGTGGTCCTTCTGTTCAACATTTGGTGCCTGTTCTTGATATTTTCAGCACCTCGAGGTGGGAGGTTACTATTTTTCAAACCTGCGGTTCCGTTAGCTCGGCCCTCCCGCCGTTCAGTATCAAACCAGCGGTTCTTCTTTCCGTTGCTACACCGTGGGAGCTTGGGCTTCTTGCCAAAATCTATTACTTCCGCTGCTCTGCAGTTTCGCAACTCCTGGTCGTGGTCCCACCTGCCGCCACTTTTCGTTTTCTGTGGCGTGTTGCTCTTCGATGTGCGGCGCGGCTTCGGATACGACGTATTTTTGTGCGGATCATGTTGGTTCATCCCCTCAGCACCATCACGATGCGGATCGTTCTCTGTGCTGTCATTTGGCTCGTGGTGCACTACATCCCCGCTTGACGCCCAGCTGGACCGCCTGCTTCGGACGGGTCGGCACCGCCTGTCGCGTTCTTTACCACCTGCCCAAACGGTGGTCGTGCTGTCCTCTTTCAACATTTTTTCGTCATGCGTGTCATGATATATTCCACCTCCACTTCGTGGTCCTCCTGCGAAACAACTGTCTAAACCGGCGCAAGAATGATCCACGCTGCGGGTCGCTCGGCCAAAGTGGATCCCGTGGTCATCTGTTTCGACGGCCACCGGGTCGTCGTGGTTGTAAAAGTCCTCGTCGTCTTCGATTATCTCGATGACTTCTTCGTCGATTGCTAAGTTGTCTTCACGAGGACTTCTACCCGCTAGTTGATGTATTACCTGCTCATTTATTTGTTCATTGCGTGGATGCTCCTCTAGTGTGTAATATTCTTGCAGCACCTCCTGCTCGTCCGGTGCTGGCTGCTCCTGTAGCAGTGTAAAGTAGTTCTTTCCGAGTTTTCGCATCTTGTCCAGAGCAAAGTTCAAAAGAAATGCGTGCGGCACCCAGTATGCTGTGCAAAAGTATCGCGCTCGTATAAATTGTAGCCTTGCTGCATTACAGATCTAGTCTTTTATCTGAATCTGCATCTCAAATTCCGTTTTTCCTTCTGGAAAAATTTGTCATGCGATTTCTACTAGTATGCAATAACGCTACTTTTGCAATGCTTACCCAGTCTGGCACCACGATTTTCACCAGCGTCTCGTCTTCGGCTTCGAAGTTTTGCAACGCTTGCTCGTCGTGCATTGTGATTTTGTGGACAAGTTCTGCGCTCTTGTGATTGTCGTTAAAGCTGCTGCTCCCGTAGTTTTTGTGCCAGGAGCTCAAAACGGGGGTAATCACCGGCTCGCAGTGAAAAAGCTCGTGAAAAAATGCGAAATCAAAATCCTCCACTGCCCGGGGGTCTGCAGAAGATGGGTTGGCTGCGGCTGCCTCTGTTGAGTTCTTGGCACCTGCTACTCGTTATGAACTGCAAAAGTATCGTAGTACTCGTATAAATGCAATACAAATTTCGATTTCCATGAGAAACAAAATTTGTAATGCGGATTTAGCTTTCGGAAAAAAATTGTAATGCATAATTGCAATACGAATACGATACTTTTGCACAGGATACTCGTCCTGGCCGGTTTTCATCGTCGCGCAAGGACTGCTCGTGCTGGTGAGCTGGTGGTGGATCTGGATGCGTTTCGATTTCTTTATCATCGTCTTTGTAGTGCTTCTTCTGCACCACAGCCGCGAGAGGCGGGAGACGAGGTTGTTGTGCAGCATGATTCACCGCACCCGCAGAGTGTAGCTCTAGCTCCTGCTCCACATCACTGAGATTCTGGAGCGCTACAGATGAAAATCTCGGCTGCGATAAAAACTTTGCCGTGCTGTAATTCCGCAGTGTGAAACGAGAGCTGCAGCTGCTGTCGTTATCCTGAAGAGAGGGCTATGAGAGTGCACAACTCCCCTTCCCCCTCATTTGTTGAATGGCATAAGCTAGCAGCAACGCAAGTCGTGGCATACATACAGCTTTTGCATGACAAAAGGGGGACCGATTCTAGAGCTGTTTCGGCTTCCGGAATCTGTCATGCAAGCCGCGCAAAAGGGGAAAGGGTGGACTTGGTATTTTACATGACAAATGATGGGGAGAGGGAGTTGTGCATTGTCGTAAAGAGGAGGACTGTTCCTCGTCACACGACGATGTGACGTATCCTGAACTTATCACAGGAAAAAGTGGCAACATTAACGGTTTTCATAGATTGCAAAAATGCATGACAAATTTTGCCTAGTATGCATGCTATGCATGACAAAGGTTGGCACGTTTTGGGATGCGTTTCTGCATCACAAATTCCGTTAACGTTAACACTATTTCCTGTGATAGAACTTGAGGTCGTTGCGGCTCCACCTCCAGCTCCGCCTACCGCACAGAAGTCACTTACCGTCTCCTTTGATAACGTGCTTTCGGAGCAGCAATTACTGGTGTTCGAGCAGCAAAAATTACCGGCGGAGCCGCAAAGGGCCTCTTCCTGAAGATCTACCTGGTGGAGGTTTTTACTAGCATGGTGAATTTCGCTCCCCGGGCCGCTTGCGTGCACGTGCTCCTGGTGCCCTTCAAGATGTCCTTCTCCTTCAAAATTATGATCCTCCTGCAGCAAATAATCTTGATTAACCGGCATACAGCGGAAATTGAAATCCCCACTGAAAAACGCGAAGTCAGTATCAAACAGAAAAGTGCTAACGCTATTAACGGTCTTCAGCCTAAAGGACATGACATGATGATTTTCATTTTCTCTACTACATTACATGCTACGCAAAAATGGCGAATACAAGTTCCATTTTTTCCGGCAATGACAATGGCACGCATAGGCATGCGTGTTTGCATATACAAAAAATTCATCCGTTAACGTTAACGCTTTTTCCTGCGATAGTCACATGACCGCTCGTATTCAAACAACGGATTGCCAGTTGTTTGAGTACCCTCGCCGTTGTTTGAGCTCCCTGGTGCCCCTTGCTGGACCACACCAGAACTTCTACCTACAGTCCTGCCCGACGCTGACGTCACAGACGCTCGGTTGAGCACCAGCGACTCTTCGGCGTGTTCTTCGCCTCCCTCCTGGGTAGTGGAGATACAACTCTTGTCCCCGAACACCTCTTTCAAGCCGTTCAGCCTCTGTTTATACGCGTTCAAGCCATCCTATCGAGAAGAAAAAACCATCCGCATCCATTTTTTGCATGAAAATGAAAAACGCTGCAAATTATGCATGTTTTGCATGACAAATTGGATGGGGATGGGTGTTTTTTCCTGGATACTTCCCCGGCGTGGAGATGGAAACTGAAAAACGCGAGGCGGAGCGGTCTTAATACTTGTGTCCGTACCACTCCGGGCATCTGCAGCGTCAAGCGGACGCAAATGGCCCCTTTGTTCCCCAGTAAGCCGTTGAAGAAGCCTAATTTATGTTGGCAACTCGTGCAAGAGTGGATGGCAGAGGTCGGGATTTTTTTCGTGTTGATGAAAACGAGGGTGAACAAACCCACCATGCGGTGTGATTTGATCAGTCGTAAGTGGGGTTTGTTCATGTTGTTTATCAAGGGCTGGTGGCTGCTGTTTGATTCTTCCTGTTGTTCGGTCATGTGCTTTTTATCAGCTTGATGCGCAGGAGGAGGAACTTGTTCCGGGTCCTTGGTAGCGTAGTTGGGTGAGCAATCCAATACACCTTCTGACGAGACCTGCAAAGGTATTACCGCCGCGTCGTTTTGATGATGTGCTCCGCCCGTCGCTCCTGCTGTTGAAAAAGCCACGTTCTTCTGTTTGCTCCGCACATCAGCTGAAAGAACAGCTGCCCCAGGACCGCGGCCGGCAACACTCGTCGTCCCACTGCTGTTGGTGTGCGCTGACCCCGACGTCTTCGGCTGTATATAATTTTTCCGGCCGCCCGCACAACTCCGCAGCGGCCCAGGGGAGGAAGCGACTTTTGCAAGTTTTTTGGAGGAAGAGGACGTCGAGAAGGTGGTGCTATGAACTGCAAAAGTATCGCACTCGTATAAATGCATTACAAATTTCCTCAGCATGAGAATGAGAAATGAAATTTGTAATGCTGATTTACCTTGAGAAAAAAATTTGTGATGCATATCTGCAATTACCACGAGTACGATACTTCTGCACAGGATAGCTACACGTGCTTGGCAATGTGTTCAGAGAACTTTCCTGTCCTACCCGACCGGGGCTCAGGCAGCGTCGTGACTGGTGGATCATGTGCTTGAGAGGAGAATGCGAAGGCGAAGCACTTGCATTGCCTGCACCTCCTCCCGGATGAGCTGCTCCTACTTTCAGCAGCGCGGGCGGCTGCAAAAGTCCGGTTTTGGACGAGATGGAGCCTAGTTTCGGAGGCGTCGTCACCTGCTGCGACATAGGGGCGAACGCCAAGGAGTGATAACATTCCCCGGTGTGGGCGGCGGTCGTGGATGATGACGAACCACTGAATTTTGTCCGTGTGCTAGTGGTCTTTTGATGCAGCAGGAGTGATGATTTATTCTTCCTCTCCTCCCGTCTGATGGCCTTGCTTATGGAATTTCTTGCCGTCGCGCTCAAAATATCACAGGAAAAAGTGTTCTTGACGTTAACGGAATTTGCGATGCAGCAATGCATCACTAAACGTGCCAAAATTTGTCATGCATAACATGCGCATTGGGCTACATTTGTGATGCATGACTGCAATTATCGGTGAAAAGCGTTTAACGTTAACACTTTTACCTGTGATACAAAACGGTGCACCTTGGACTGTGCTCCACATCCGCAGCGAGGCTACTGTTGGTATTGACGGAAAAAAAATCCAACCCCAGCATCGATTTTTTGCATGACAAACACAGCATTATCTTCAGAAATTTTCTTTTTTTGATACGTGTTTCGCATGACAAATCGGATGTGGATGGGTGTTTCATTTTCCTGGATAGTCGGATGTTGTTTCGGATGTTGAAAAGTGGTCGTCGTCGATTCTACCGCCTGAGCAGCTGGGGCCTGCTTTACCACCTTGCTTGTTCACCTTTACTACTTTCGGCGTTTCGCATGAGAAGTTCTGCTGGCAACTGTGTGACGAGGGAGAGCGACAGGCTGCGTCTTCGTAGTCAGCAAGGTCGATGAAGGAGCCCCCAGTGCTACTGCTCTCTGTGCCGCGCCGTCGTCGGGATTTTTTACCAACTTTTGCAAGAACTTCTTTTATTATTATTTCGTCCTGTTTGCCCTCTGCAGCAGGCGTCTGAGTCTGAGCGCAGCTAGAAGTACTTCCAAACGACCCGCCCTGCAGCTCTTCCGGTAGCTGTGTCGGCCGGCGGTTATAATTTTTCTGCATCTTATTCGTAGTGATCGCGGTTGCCCGGCGGGACCCAAAGCCTCCACCTCCTGTTGTCATGCTGCCTGTCCTCGCAGAGGAAGACTCGGCGGTCAGCTGCCCAACAACTGCACGACCTCCCGCACTGCGCACCTTCGCACCCCCGGCTTGAGGAACTTGTAAAAAGCGACTGCCTGCTATGGAAGTGCCAGGATTGAAGTCGTTAATGGTTTGTCATGCATAAAATGGATGCCAGTTGTAACCCAGTTTCTAAGTGGTGCATGACAAACTTGGGTAGAACCGAAATCCAGTTTGTCATGCTGTTTGGGTAAGGAAGACCCCTTTTGTCATGCTACTTTAGCAGCTCAGTTTCTAGTTCTACCCCTCATCAGGCTTACAATCTGCCTACCTTGCCTACTCTGCAAGACAGGCATTCTGTGGATTGCATTTTATGCATCGCAAATTGATGTTTCAACTTTGTCGATTTCGATCCTGACACTACCATACCTGCGCCGCCGGGCGGGAGAAAGCTAGAACAAGAGGAATTCGAACTGGAATTCCCTGGCGTCACTGCGGTTGAAGATAACGCTGAAGCGCTGAAGCAGCTGCTAGATGAACCACAACTGTTTGTCGTAACTGTCTCGTCTTCCGCTCCGTTTGATGCGATTTGTGGTGCGTGTTTATTTACATCTTCCCCTCCCGATGTTGATAAGGCCGGTGGGAAGAACAGATCGCGGCGGCCTTTCTCGTTCACTAATGCGTCGGGCGACGGCGACACTGGTGGATCCTTCGGGCTTATTTCATCCCTTCTCTCGTCGGGTGGACTGGCTCTAGGTGCGGGGCTGATTTGCTCCGTCGTAGTCCAACACGGGGAAGATGTCGAAGAGGATGAAGCGCTACTCGATGATGTCGAGGCGCTCGAATTTGAACTGCAATTGCTATCCGGCGATGAGCATATTTGTCTTTCCCTTTCTAGCCTGGAAGAGCTCGAAGCGGAAGCTGCGAGTTGTTTCCAATCACCAGTGCTGCTTGCCGTAGAAACAAAACTAGAAGAAGACGAGGCCGCTGTGCTTACTGACGATTTTGAGGAGCACTTTTTGGAACAAGCTACGTCACTAGCAGCCGCAACGGCGCTCGCAGACGAGGACGAGGACGCGACATGAGCCCTAGAACAACTCGATACAACATGTTGATCACCGGCGGAATTTTCGCATTTTTCCTCTATATCGAGCTCTTGCGCAGGTGCAACGTCGGTTCCTGAAGCTCCCTTCCCGCCGTGCAACTGGGTGTAAAACCTGCAGGTCAATCGGTCTAATGGCCCGTAGCCCAGAGCCTCAATGAAAACGTCTCGCCATTTGTTTCCGTAGGAGTCCGAAGCGTTGTTGCCTAAAGCGGCCAGGGCTAGCGGGCAACATTCTTGCAGATTGATCACAACGATGTCCGGGGTAAAGCACACACTGTGGTCACCAGCGCTCCTCGTTGTGCCTCCAGTTGTGGATGGATTTGCGGCTTGTTGTTCGACGGTAATATAAGCAGAATGGGCCGCAGGCGCACCAGCAAAATCAACAAGATCATTTCCATCACTGTTGCGACTGCAATCAATCCTCTGCTGGAGCAGATTTTCCCGAATCTCTTCCTGTAGCTTCTGCTTTAAATTTTCCTCCTGCGGGGGCTCCACGCCACCGCAATTGTAGGTGAAAGAAACGACGTTGAGACCAGCAGCGACGGATGCTGGATCGTCACAACCGCGCATTTTTCAAAAAGCAGACTAGATCTAGAACAGAATAGACTTGAAGGTGAGCAGCTTGCAATCTTCAGTGATGCAGATGATAACTTTGTTGACTCTGCACAGGCAGGTATTGAGGCAGTTCCTTTTGTTGAGCGAAACATAAACAAGCAAGGCTTTGGAAAATCGTGGCGCGCCCTCTAGCCCATCTACTATTACAGACAGGTTACGCACACTAAACACAATGAGCAAGATGATCACAAAACAAGTGCACAAGTGTCAAGACGGTTATATTTTGAAAAAAAAACAAAAACGCACGAGACATTGTTCGAAAAAGCAGCAACACAAAAAAGATGTGGGTCCTAAGAATAAAAATCATCGTGCTGTTCCACAAAAGTAGGTACAGGCAGACGCACAGTGACTGCGAAGAAGCCATCCACTGCGTAACGCTATTTGCATTTCTTTTTCCGCCGCCGACTTTGAAAACTAAGCCTTGCACGATGTTGAAACGATCCTTAGATGAACAGAGCAAGGAGCTGCACCACTGACAGCAAGAACGACAGCAGCTGCAGATACCAAATTCTTCACGGCTGCTGCCCTGAAACCAAGACCAAGACGCACCATGGTCGTTGCCAAAAAATGCGCATGCAAACATCATGATATGATAATGAGAACGCGCTGCGATGAAAATTAATACCTTTCTGTCATCTTCTCCTTCTCGTAAAGAAGCCCCCAGTGACGCTGATCTAGACCTAGAGTTAGTCAGATACTCTATCACTTCAACTTCCTACAATCAACTTGAAGCTACCACGAAGTTTCTTGTCACAGTGCAAATTCAAATGGATGAAAGTGTGCCGCGAGGTGGATGATCATACAAGCTTTCGCTTGTGTAGTAGTTTTCGCTTATTGATGTTCTTGTGCTCAGGAGCCTCTGAATTATCCCCAGCGGCCCCGGGCGAGTTCAATCCATCCCAATGATCGTCATCGTCCTCCCCGCGAAGAAGATCCCAGTGGTCATCCAAATCGTGATCATCTTCGACATCATCATCACCCGCTTCGTCTGGCTCCTCCAGTGGCAGTTTGAGATATTTACTCTGCTGTTGATCCTTGGCGCTTGACGCCGCTCGTCCTGCAGAAGTGTTATTTACCGTCGTATCCTGCTGGTTCTTCGCGGTCACATCCGTGGGAGACTGCAATTCTGCTTCAAAATCGTAGTCGTCTTCTGCTGCTTTTTTATCGCGAGAACTAGGACGCCGCGCCCCTGGACAACTTCTCGTTTGTGCAGCTGGTGCACGGCCACCAGTTGTACTAGTTGTGGGGATAATATTTTCTTTGTCCTCTACTACTTTTGCAGCTTGAGCTTCAGCCTCCTCCTTCTCCTTTTTCATTTTTTCCTGCTCCTCCTTCTCCAAGCTCTCTGCCAACGAGACCAGCAATTCTGGCGATTCCAACACCAGAGCGCCGAGACCGTTTTCCAATTCCTTAGCGAGCTCCCGGGCCTCCGCCGCTTCGTCATACTCGTCCTCGTCCTCGTCCTGTTGGTGCTCTTCTAGGAGAGGATGATCCTCGCTGGCACGACGAGCGGTGCCTCCTGGTGTAGTCTCCGCGTTGATTCTCTGCGTCTCTCCTACTTCCAGAGGCAGCAAAAAGGATCCTTCGCTATTAAACGGAACAGGTTCCTCCACCGCGTCATGATGTTGATGATGTCGCGGCTCGTCTGGCAATATTTTTGAAGCTCGCTGGTTCGTCTCCTGCTGTTCGCCCCTAGTAGTTGTACCGTTGTCCTTCATCCTATCCCCTCCGTAGAAGCTGTACGGGAGTAAGTCGTTCAGGCGGTCTTCTAAATGTTCTTCCTCAGATAAGTATCTAGGAAAAGACTTCTACACCCATCCCCATCCATTTTTTGCATGACAACTAGCGGATTTTATGCATGTGAATCGGTTCGAGAGTGTACCCCAGTTCACGAACTACTTAGTTCGTGAAGGTTCCGGGCATACGAAAAAGAAGAGAACCATACGTAGTGCACGTGCCAAACCCCGAAAAAAAGAGCGGGCAACGGGAGAAAAGAATCCCGATGAGCTACAGAGCATATCTTGCGGGCGCCATATGTCGCAAAAAGAATGTGCACGCAACAAGCCCCAAAAGGTCCTGTATTTTGGCGCGCGCGCGCGCGATTTTGGTTTGTGAGGCGCGAAGCGCTGCGCGACTATTGTTTACGGTGGCACGGCTGCCGGCCGTAGGATTTAGGGACGCTGCTTCCGATCAATGGGCGCACGAAGACCGAAGCTGTGTGCGCGGCGCTGGTTTCAAACAGAAAGCGGTCGAACACTAGGGCCGATCGCAGTCATGGCTACCGTTTTCTGTAGCGACAGACTTGGGGCCTTTGGCGCCCATCAAGGTGCGCGCAGCTGTGCTGCAGCACCATCTAAAACGACTTCGCTGCAGCATTGCAGGCACAGACCCGAACCGGGGGTCAGGTAATACCTGGCCCCCCGGGTCGACTAAGTACCACTGAGATCAGGAGCGTACCTTTGGGTCAGGAACGCCCCCCCTACTCCTTCCTCCACCTGCATATGTTTTTGGCGCCGAGCATATCAAATGGCCTGCTTGTTCTAGGATATTTAGGCCCCGGGGCGGTATTGAACTGGTAGGTACATTGTTGAACCGCGGGCCCTGTTGAACTGATACACATGTTGTGCATGACAAATTGGATGGGGATGGGTGTTTTTTCCCGGTGGATAACAAGTCCTCCGAGCTCCTCTGCAACCGGGACAGACGCAGACTGTCATTGAACAAAGTGTTTTGGTTTCCTTCACAAGAACAGGGCGATGTAGCGGTAATATTATTCCACCCGACACGCTGCTGTTCCTCCGGCGAGCTCCACCACCCGTATTGCTCCTGAAGATGCTGATGCGCGCCCTCCAGTTGATGCGCTTGTTGCTGGTGCGCCTGCGGTTGTGAGAAATCACGATGCTGCTGCTGGTCCTCGTCCTCTTTGACATCAAAATTCGGAGATTGCAACTGGTACTCCTGAATTTGCTGTTGCACTTGCTGCTGAAATTGCAGTACAGATTCGTTGTAGAACAACTGCGGAGGAGGTCCGCCTCCATTTTCGTTATTTATCTCCTGCTGCTGTTCAAAAAGCTCCCGCTCCAGTGACCATCCTTGGTCTACTTCCTCGCCATACATTGTTCGTCCTGCCCCATGAAAATACCCGGCGTTATTCCCATCCAGCGCAGCAAACACGTCCTCAACAGCCGCGTCGTCCACGAGTATCACACGGAAAAATCCCCCCTCCCCATACACATATTGACGCGTGGTCACGTCTTCGACAATTTGCGTTGCTGATTTGTGGCCACAGATCGCGTCTGTCTTGCAAGAAGGCAGCTCCACAGTCTCCGCCGCATTTTGCAGGCGTTTTGTCATGCTGTTGGGCCTGCAGTGCGGACGTTCTTCATGCTAAGTGCCTATGCCAAAGCCGCTCTGCTCCGGATTACTATGCGTCTGTAGTCCTCTCCAGCAAGACAAATCTGATTTGTGTTCGCAAATCCAGCATCAGAAACTTCGTTTCGATAGGGGGAGGGTTTTTTTTTCACTTTGATAGCGAGAGTCTCTGGTTGTTCCCGTTTTTCGTGTCTCCAGTCGTCCATATCCACTTTCGCCAACTCCGGACTGGTAAAATCCTTGATACTCCTCTCGTGGCCGAACTTTCTCACTAGAAAAATCCCGTTTTGACTGACCAACCAATCCCTGGTCGACTGGTCTGCGGATTTAAACGGCAAATTCCAGTCCGTCACGTTCGCCGTGTAAAACCGATTTGCCTCCTGTTTCAGATAATTCGCCACGGCCTCTTCGGAAATCTCGTCTTTTTGCAGTTTCACGGCGAGAAGGTCCACGGAGGAGAGGGAATGTCCTGAGTAAAAACGTCCCCACGAGGACCCCATAGTCAAGTCTGCTAGACAAGTCTCCAAGTTTTGGGAGTTGCGCATGACAAGTTCTTTCCATCTGCAGCGTAGTGTGGTCAGCAAGGGAAGCTGCATGACAAAGCAATTCAGTCATCCTGTTTACAGCATTACAAATTTTAGAACACGATCTGAAATGCATTTCATGGAGATGCGCACGACAAATGTTCCTGTAATCGCAAATCTGCATGACAACTTCGGGGTTGGGACGTTTTTCTCACACAGGATAGCGAAGTGTTCTGTTTGATCGTCGAGTTTTTCAAGCTGAAAAAGTTCCGGTTGTCAAAGGTGTCCGTCGCTCTCAGCAACTCCTGCATGTCAGTCGGAATAACCGTGCTATTCGTCGTTTTCGCCGCGGAGGAGGAAGCGCCACTGCCTGTTATCAAACAAAAAAAATGTTAACATTAGGCTTTCCACAGTTGGCAGTCATGCATTACAAGTTTTGCCTTCCATGCATGCTATGCAATACAAATTTGCGCACCTTTTCTGATGCATCACTGCATCACAAATTCCGTTAACGTTAACACTTTTTCTTGTGATATCTGTACTGCCGCCGGTGGTGAACCTCTTGTCCAAAAACGAGTTCTCAAAGTACACGTCGTACCGCGACTTCGTGTATCCACTGCAAAAGTATCGCACTCGTGTACTAATTGCAGTTCAGCATTTCTCAGCTAAAACAGCATGACAAATTACATCAGTCATGCTAAGCTAATTTGTAATGCAATTAATCCACTAATACGATAAACTTTTGCGATGCATATCGTGTCCTCCGGATCGAGTAGTTTCCTCTGGTCCGGTTTCTTCTGGTTTTCCAGTTTCTGCAACCTACCAAACTCCACCGAATCTGGCATCTTCTTGAAACTCATTTCGTTTTTCCACACGTCAGAAGGAATTCTCGCTTGCCACCCAATGGGTGTTTTGTACAATTCCGTCCAAGAGTGAAATCGCATCTTGTCCGGATGCTGCGCTTTTAACGCATTCTTGTAGTGCTCGACTCTTGCTTGCTGCCTCTTCGAGGCGACATCCTCAGTGAGCTTCTTCTTCTCTTCTTCCAGTTTTGCCAATAGTTGCGGCTTCTCACGCTTTTGCCAATTCTGGATTTTCTCTTGCTTGAAGGTTGCGTGCTCGTAGTAGGACCGATTGCTGGAGCGGGAGTACCGCAAATGCCACCCGTAGGGCACTTGGAGAAGCTGGAAATACGGGGAGAAAGGGCTGATGGTGGAGTAGATCTTCGGGAGAGATTTGATTTTCTGCTGTTTTTGTTTGAACAAAGCGAGGACTTTCTGCTTTTCATCCAAGGTCTCGTCTACTTTCATCGCCGTTTCTGGTTCATCTTCTTTGCTAGTCGTGCCCTTCTTGTTGTCGCTCGGCGGGCGTTTCGATGGCGAGGACATCTTCTTCCCGGTTACAATGGCGGGGGCCTTTGACGACGTGGTTTATCGTACGAAAAAAGTGTTTCACTGTAAGTTATTTTGCAAAACAAGTTTGTTCTACATCACAGAGAAACTTTTCCATGCGAGATTCCTAGGGGAAAACACAGCTAAAAATCTAGTGTCTTGCATGTATAGCAAGACAAACACTTCTCAGATACAGTTTCTGCATTACAAATTTACAGCGAAACAGTTTTTTCTTGCGATATGGTTTCTACCTCGTCCAGTACTTCCTTGACTAACGTGTCAAACTGCAGCTGCATTGTCTCAATCGCAAAAATGTCTGGCGGTCTGGAAACTTGTGATGCAACTCCGTGAACAATAGAGTGCTCTGTACTGCGCCGCCAAGCATGACAACTCTTTTCGTGCTTCTGTGATGCGTATTTCGCATGAGAAACTGCGCTTTATTCGCATGAAAGGCAAGCGGGCCGCTTGGTGGCCACGCAATACAGAGTGCAGAGTCATTCCAGACTAGCATGACAAATGTCGCATTCTTCCAGACCCAGACCTATTTGCATTTCATACATTGTCTCGTTCGGCAGCAATCCCCCCGGGTGCTGACTGCCGAGACTCGGGGTCCTCTGCCACATAGCACCTATAGCGTTCTCAAACGTTACATAATGCAAGAACAGCAACAGTAAAAGTGGCAACGTTGCAGCATATTTCGCATCACAGATTTTTTGCCACAGATTACCATGCTGCTTAGCCCTTCGAAAATTTGTCATGCTAAAGCACCTTCATCAAGTGGAGGCTGTTGGCAACTTTGCATGACAAATGCATGTAACAGTTGAGAGTGTAACGTTTGAGAACTCCATAGCAGCCGCAGCGGAAGTCGGGGTGGTGGAAAGTCGTTGACCAGAAGATGAAGATATCCCCAGAAAAAACTGTTTCACTGTAAACTTGTAATGCAGAAAGTGTATCTCGCAAGCGTTTGTCTTGCTACACATGCAAGACTGTGGATTTTTCGCTGTGTTTTCCCTTTAGGAACCTCGCATGGCAAATTTTCTCGGTCATGTAGAACAAACTTGTGATGCAAAACCTGTAAGATCCTTACAGTGAAACACTTTTTTTGTACGATAGAAGAGGAGGCTGTTGTACTACTACCCACGTTTTTGTAGTTCTTCTTCAAATCACAGAACCCGCCGAAATAGTTCAAGCTCACTGGTGCTCGAGTCATTGGCTTCTGCTCATCGTATTTTAAACCGCGCAGGACCAGCATGTCGCACAGATCCGTCTCAATCGGCTGATATTCCCTGAAACATTAACCATCCCCATAATCTTCCAATTTGTCATGCAAAACATGTAGTAAATTCAGTGCCTGCCATGCAGAAAATGACCGGCTGGGGGTGGTTAAAAATTTTCAGGGAATAGCTGATCTGTCCTCGTAGAACTGCAGAAGAGTTTAAACCGCGTCCGCCACTGGCAACGCCCAGTGATCATGCCTGAATGAATCCAGGAGAATAGTTTGTCCACAAATTCGAACCCTCGGCACCGGCTCCAATTGTAATTTTTCCCGATGGTTATCATCCGTTCTTTTGTCAACTGCTTGAAATTATCAAACGTAAAAATGTCTGGGTCTGGAAGATTGCGAGATTTTGTCATGCATATTTTCCATGAGCCATGATGTCTGTAATGCATGGTCTGGCATCACATATTTGTAGAGGTCTTCCTGATGCCTATCCCGCATGACAAATGCCCTCCCTGCGTAGCACAAACTGGGCTCCTATTGCTGGTCATGCAATACAAATCTTTTTAGAGTCCAAAGTTAGCATCACAAGTTCCAACCTTCCAGACCCAGACATTTTTACATTTGATAGAAATCCGGGTGGAGATGGTCGTCGGGTGATGCAGGTTTATTGCTACTACCGCCAGAAGTTGTCCTCGGTATGACTTTCCCATCGTCGATAAAATAAACCAAGTGGCTGTGATTTTCCTCCATCCACTATCAAACAAAAAAGTGTTAACGTTAACGGTTTTCACAAATGGCAGTCATGCGTTACAAGTTTTGCCTTCTATGCATGCTATGCAATACAAATTTGCGCACCTTTTCTGATGCGTCACTGCATCACAAATTCCGTTAACGTTAACACTTTTTCCTGTGATATCCACATTGCTTCCCCCCAAATTTGCAGCAATTGCTTCCGATACAACTTCGGCTCCGGGTGCGCGCTAGTTGCATTCCCGACCTTTGGCGGCTTGTACCGCATACACTTCAAGCTGATCGGTTGCTGCTTGCCAAAGTCGAGCTTGTGCTGTAAATTCTGGACTTTGAAACACGCTTCGATGGGCTTTGCGAGCAGGATGTAATGGGTATTCAACGCGAACTCGTAATAGTGTATACTTGCCTCCTCTTTCGTCTTCCGTTGCCCGAAAGCGCACAGCTGCGAACCCCGACCGGCCTGGATGAGGCGGGACCGGCAAAGCTCCCAGGAAGGGGAGACTGTGTTATGGAGCGTCGTGCTGGAAGTTGATGTTTTATTTGCACCAGCTAGGGAATGCAGATGGTCCTCTTCGATCGCACAACTTCCACCGCCGCTGGCGCTGCTCGAGGTTCTTTCATCTTGCTGCCCAGCAAGAGCAATGTCGTCGCTGTCCTTGCGTTGTCTCTTCAGCGCCGGCGGAGATGTTGAACCCGCAAGAATCGCTGCGGCAGCGGATTCGTTCCCGCTCAACCTCAGCTCCTGCTGCGTATATCACGGGAAAAAGTGGTAACATTAACGGAATCTGTGACGCAGCAACGCATAACCAAAACGCGTCCAAGTTTGTCATGCTTAACATGCATACTAAGCTAAATTTGTGATGCATGGCTCCAATCTGTGAAAACCCTCAACCTTAACACTTTTGCTTGTGATAACGTAAAAGCTGTGATCAGACTCGCGTCCGGACCCTCCACTTCGCAATTCGCCAGGTCGGCTTTGGACGGGAACGAGAGCGAGTCCGTTCTTTCCTGATCAACGTCGTCCTCGACCTCTCCGCCATCTATTTCACTATCGTCCGCCGGATCGTGGATAGAAACGCACTTGAAGCAAATCGCCCCGTTGGGCAAAACCAAAACGTCGAACTCCAACTTCCTCCTGTCCTCTGCTTCCATGAACGGCAACGTCACTAACTGCGACAACGTGAACAGGTCCGCGTGAATGGTCGGCACGATAGTTTTCATCTGGTGTTTGATTCTGTCTACCTGATTCGAGATCTCCACCGTCTCCGGCCGATTTGCGGTCAGCCTCCCCTTCTGGTTGTGCCAGGTCTGCATGGGGGGAAGAGTCTATCACAAGAAAAAGTGTTAACGTTAACGGAATTTGTGACGCAGAAATGCATCACAAGACGTGTCAGAATTTGTCATGCATAGCATGCATATTGAACTACATTTGTGATGCATGACTGCAAGAATCTGTGAAAACCGTTAACGTATAACACTTTTTCCTGTGATAGAGTCGGGATCTTTTCGCAAACTTGAATCACCGCTTCCCTGTGGTGTTGCTGGTAGTACATTCTTGTGTTCGCTATGTCGCCCGGATTTCTATTTCCTGTACTATTCGCAGCTGCTGCAGCTCGGGGCGTTCCAGAGCCTCCTGTAGTCGTACCTGAGAAATTTTGGCTCGAGGAAAACTGCACGAAGTCGTTCACTATGGAATGCAAATATGTCTGGGTCTGGAAGGTTGTAACTTGTGATGCTGTCTTTGGAACAAGGTAAAAAATCTGTATTGCATGACCAGCAAGAGGAGTTCCATTCGTGCTACGCGGACAGGGCCGCATTTCTCACGCGGAATACGCATCAGAACCAGAAGGCCCTTTTAAAAATCTCTGATGCTAGGTCATTCATTACAGGCATCATGGGTTGTGCAAAATATGCACGACAAACCAGGCAATCTTCCAGACCGAGACATTTTTGCACTTGATATTCACCTCCGCTTCGCAATACACCGCTTTCCCCCGTTCGGCGCAACCGGCTTCGAACCTCAATTCGGGTAATATCCGTTTCAACTTCTGTTTCCTCAGCTTTATCTGCGACAGATATGCAGTGCAGAAGTATCGCATTCGTCTAAATGCATTACAAATTTCCTCAGCATGAGAAAAGAAATTTGTAGTGCTGATTTACCTTAAGAAAAAGATTTGTAATGCATGACTGCAATTACTACGAGTGCGATACCTTTGCAATGCATACCAGCTGGATTTCCACAATCTCGTTGCTGTACCCGGCTAAGATTTTCTTCACACTCGCTATCCACTGTAAATTTCCCACACACGACGACGTTCGCACAAATCCAAGTGCTGTTTCTGCATGACAAAACTTGCTTTCAATCATTGTCAGCATGACAAGTTGGACGTCGCTTCAAGTTCGCGCAGTTTGTCATGCATCTTGTACATGTGCAGCGGGACGAAATTAGTATTGCATACTCGCATCGCTCCGTCCGAGATTTTTCGCGCCGTTTTTTACCTCGTTGTAGTGCTTCTGGATTTATCCTGTGCAAAAGTATCGCACTCGTAGTAAAAATTGCAGCCATGCACTACAATTCTTTTCCTTAAGGTGAATCCGCATTACAAATTTTATTTCTCATGTCGAGAAAATTTGTAATGCATTTCTACGAATACGATACTTTTGCAATGCATAGGATTTCCTGGATTTTTTTCTCGATTTCCTGAATCTCCTGCTCTAAGTCGGGGTCGGCTTGTTGGTTCGGCTGCGGTGTTGACGTCGGTCCCCCGCCGCCAGAAGATGAAGCCGACGAGACGACATCGATTTTCTTGCACCAGGCGCCTGTAAAGGGCAAAAACTCGTCCACGAGGTCCAGCTCTTTCTGCCGAATTGTAGTAGAAACTACGTCACTGCTAGAAGTACAACTCGTCGTGAGGAAGTCACAAGCTCCGCAAGGCTCCGTTTCCAGAATGAAGAAAGGTTTATTTATATTTGTCGAGGCATCATTCTTCGTGCTACTTCCAGCAAGTGGCTTTTTCATGTCGCCGGTCGTGCCGAAAAAACGATCGACCGCTCCACTTTTCCTTTTGTTTGCAAGAGAACCACTTTCGTTCGGGTTTTTAACGCTTGGAGTTGAGGGATCGAAAACTTCGTCGTAGGAGAGCACTTCTTGTTGTCGGTCATTGGAGGTGTCCTGTAGGGCTAGTTGTGCCGGTTCTCCTTGTTTCTCGTTTCTTCCTACATCCTCCAGCATCCGTTTTAACCTCCCCGCTACCTCTTGTCGGAAATCCACGTCGTATTTGAAATTCCGCGCGTCAATCTTTTTCCTTGTGACGTTCTTCATCTCTTGGATGTACAGGGAAGATTTGCTCTTCCCGAGAACATCAAGCACTCCCGAGGACTGTGGTCCTGGGCTTTTCGCGGAGGTCGAAGTAGGCTTGGAATTATAATTCGGCAACACAGACGCCAAGAGCGCGCAGTCCCGGGCCTCTTCAAATTCGTCTCCGAAAGTTTTGAAGAACGAAGTTAAGTGCAGTTTCCTTACATTCGCACTCCCGCCGTCTGTGTCTTTCGAGTTTGCAAACGCAATCTTGTTCTGGCTGTTCTGCAACAATTTCTTCTTGTTTTCCGCGGCGGTTTTGGAGCTAAGTGAAGAAGATGTCTTGCTTGTTCCCTCCTTCAGTTTCTGGCATCAAATGCAAGTATGTCTGGGTCTGGAAGGTTGCAACTTGTTGTCATGCAGATTTTACATGACCCGTGACGTCTGTGATGTATTCCCTAGGTAGTAGCATCACAGATTTTATTCCGACTACGTCTTGATGCCTATAATTCCGCATCACAATCAAATGGCCTCCCCGCGTAGCACAAACTGGACTCCTCTTGCTGGTCATGCAATACAGATTTTTTTTAGAATCCACAGTTAGCATCACAAGTTCCAAGTTTCCAGACCCAGACATATTTGCATTTCATATCCGGACCGCGTAGTTGATTTCCCGGTCCAGCCAAACCACGGCTCGCTCTTCCTCGGACAAGCCCTTAAAACTGTCCATATCTTGCTTATTCACCGTCTTTACACCCGTTTGGAGGAACTGCGCAATCGCGAGGTTCTTGTTCAAGTTTGTAGAAGTTGCCGCACCTCCTGCTCCAGTGTTCATCTTTATTCCGAACGCTTTATCACGCATCTTCGTGTCGATTTTGATCGACAGATCCCGCAGCTTCTCGTTCACAAAATTCGTAATCCGATGCTGCTGCACTTGGCCCTCGGTTGGTTTCGAGATTCCAAAATAAAAATCCTTATCCTCGACTTTCTCCTTCGCTTCCTTCCACTTTTGCTCGAAAACTTCAAACGCGTCCTGGTCCTGTCGAAAGAGAATCTGACCTTTATCAAGTGCAAAAATATCTGGGTCTGGAAGGTTGCAACTTGTGATGCAAATTTCACACAACGCAAAGATCTGTGATGCATGAACAGCAAATGCGGCCCAAAACTCAGCACCATCAAAACTGGGCATTTGTCATGCGGATTAGGCATGGGGACAGCTTCCCAAGACGTGTGATGCTATGGCTTACATGCCAGATCTCCTAGATCATGCAAGAACAGTATGGCAAATATCTGGACCCATCCAGTTCCAGAGGACCCAGACATATTTGCGCTCCATAACCTTTCAACAAGTGCAACTTCTTCGCCTGCTATCAAATGTAAAAGTGTCTGGGTCTGGAAACTTGTGATGCTGGGTGGCGTCTCATAATGAGGCTACAGATGCTGGCTCAGCATGACAAGTTTCTGAGCTCCTAGGTGTTGCCTATTCCGCATGACAAACTGCGCTTCTGCATCACAGAAAAGCGGAGCTCTTGGGTAACGTGCATGACAGATTTAAGAGTTATGCCAGACAAGCATGACAAACATGAGTTCTTCCAGACCCAGACATTTTTACATTTGATACCTGCTTAAACCTTTCCGCCGCTGTTGGTACTACTTTTTGCTGCGTGGCAATGGCCAAAGCAAGGCTCTTTTTTTTCTTGATGTCAACATCGAGATTTTTAGAAGTACCCCCGTCGGCAGAGCCGATCGCTAGTTTATCTTTCGGATCCCCTCCACCGCTGCTCATCATTTTCCGTTCCTCAAATCGCTTCAACTCCAGCGTTTTTTTCGTCAACAGGTTCACCAAGAAATCCTCGGTCTGGAAGTTCGCCTCGACCCCCATCAGCTTTTCCGACTGCTTCTGCTCTTTCTTCCAATCGGCTTTGTCGAATAGCTATGCAATGCAAAAGTATCGCACTCGTACTAATTGCGTTTTATGCATTTAGAAATTTTCTACTTCTACTTCAGGCAAATCCGCATTACAAATTGAATTTGTAATGATAAGTCAATATCAAAAATTTGTCATGCAATTTCTAATTGCGCGATGCTTTTGCAGTTCATAATAACCGGAAATCGTCGGTCGATTTTAAGTGCCGGGCCTGCATGAAATCGTCAAAGAGTTTCGTTTTCTGCAGTTCCAAGGTCTTCAGAATGCACCAGTCCGCCATCGCGTCGATCAGCTCGGTCAATGTCGTCGCCAACTGCTATATGCAATACAAATTTTCCGTACATGTACAAGATGCATCACAAATTTCACCAATGTGGAGCGTTAAACTTGTCATGCTAAACTAGGATCGAAGCCAAGTTTTGTCATGCGGAGACCGCATTTGTACGTGTACGGAAAATGTACTGTGGATATGCTGCGCCCTTTCCTTGATCTTCTTGTGCGTGTTTATGGAAGCGTCAGGTTTGGAATCGTCAAAGTTGAAATGATTTGCCATGCATAAAATGCAAGGCATGAAGTGCCTGTCTTGCCGGGATGGCAAGGGAGGCCGCGTGTCAGCCTGTTTGGGGTTTGAAGTAGAGCTGCTAAAGGAGCATGACAAAAGCAGTCTTCTGTGCCCGAGCAGCATGACAAATTGAATTCCGGCGCTCGGAAAATTTGTCATGCGCCGCTTGAAAATTGGGTATCCGACTGGTATCCATTTTATGCATGGCAAATCATTTCAACTTTGTCGATTTCAAACCTGACGCTTCCATAGTGTTCTGCAGGTAGGCCGCGTCCTTCTGCACCTGCCGGCGGATCTCTTTCGTGAAGTCGGAAAAGTTCAGACAGTAGTCCGCCCAACCAATCAGTCGGGCGATCTCGGCCGGGCCACTAATGTCTTCCTGGTGTAGTTCCGGCTTGTTCCCCCGGATTACTACACCGCCCGACTTCGTACCATCCTGTATTCCGGGTACTAACCCTCCCCCGATTGATTTCCTCAACGCGGTGGTGGAGATCGTCTTGCTGGTTGTCGCGGTCTTCAGCTCCCAGTGGTTTTTCCACAGTCTGATCCAGTTGGACTTGGTCATACCCAAGTCGTTATCCTCCTTTCCGGCCTCCACTAGAACACCCCGCATCAAGCAAGCCTTGTGCTGTATGATTCCTCCTTCCACTTTGCTCTCCTCAGCGGAGCTCGTTTTGGGACTAGACTGCTCAACACCGCCGGACGGTGGTGTGGCCGAAACGAACTTTTGCTTCTCCGCAGCCTTCTCCTGCCTTTCTTCGTCCTGCCCCGAGAGGAAGCGAACGTAATTTTTGTACAGTGCCTCCGCAACCTCGTCCTGTCGGGCGTAATCGACAAACTTGCTGAAGTTGTGCTCTTTCAAATGCGCCGCGGTTAGTTTGTCGTATTCCGCCCGTTTCGTCTTGTCGGCTTCCAAAGTTTGGAAATTCGCCTTCGACAACTCATCCTGTTTCCGCTTCAACGCCTGCAACTCGCCGAAAATCGCCTCGCCGAAATCCGCGATGATCTTCAAGTCGCGTTTGTCCAAGTGTTGGCGCACGCGCGTCCGCGGCGGCTCGAAAATTTCCCGAAATTCTCGCTCCGAAGAGAATTCAAAGGTGACTGTTTTCTTGATTTCGCTTTTTCCGCCAGCCTGGCCGTACCGGACGGTGTTGCTCACGTGCAAAAATTATGAAATGCAAATATGGCTGGGCCTGGAAATGCAGGACTTGTCGTGCAGATTTTGCATGACCCATGACGCCTGTAATGCATAGCAGGTATATGCATAACCTAGCATCACAGATTTTTCGAAGCTTCCCTGATGCCTCTTCCGCATGAGAAATACCATCTCCAAGCAGCACAAACTGGGCCCCTCTTGCTGTTCATGCAATACAGATTTTTCTAGAATGAAGAGACAGCATCACAAGTTGCAACCTTCCAGACATCCAGGGATATTTGCAATGCATAAAAACTCCGGCTGCGTGTAGGTCAAATGCCGGTTTTTCGCGGAGCTCGCGTTTTGCGCGTCGAAAGAGCCCGGGACTCGTAACGGCTCCGGCTCGGGAAGATTCCTGTTTCTCTTTCTCCAAGCCTCGAACTCTTCGCTGCTTCTCCTTTGCTGCAATTCCGCGCCGGTAATTTCCACTTCAGATATGCAATACAAATTTATCCCCGTGATAGTACGTGTACAAAATGCATGACAAAAAATTTCGCTAACTTAGAGTCAACATCCCCACCTTGTCATGCTGACTAACATTGCCGGCAAGTTTTGTCATGCAGAAACAGCATCTGTACATTCTGCACGGGACGACGAATAAGCTTACTGTAGATACCGGCGAGGTTTTTCACACTGAACGCAATGTCGATTTCCACCGGCCCGCCGGGTGCGAGATCGGAATCCGCTACTTGGTCTTTCTATCAAGTGCAAATATGTAGTCTGGGTCTGGAAGGATGTACTTAACTTGTAATGCTGTGTTCTGATTCGTAAACAAATCTGTATTGGCAATAGAGATGTATTTCTTGCTACACGGAGGCGGGGGCGTTTCTCATACAGTATGGGCATCAGATGAAAGCCGTCAGAAAATAGCTGTGATCATGCTTGGGCATGCATCACAGACATGGCATGCATCACAGACATCACCGGTGATGCAAAATGTGCATGACAGACTTCCAGACTCAGACATATTTGCAGTTGATACCTTCCGGACGGCAACGACCTTCGCTGGAGTCCGGTATCCTATGTAAAAAACGCACCCTCCACCCCAGAAGTGTCATGCAAATCTGCATGCCAAAAAAGTTTCTCATGCGGAGCCCCATGCAAAACGTTCTCTAGTCGCGTTGCGAAATTTGTGATGCTACGATCAGCACGATGCGCTGGATCTGTGATGCTTCTGAGCACGCTAGTAAACAGGATCACGCTTCTACGAGGCCAGCAAACCTGTCATGCGCAACCATCAAAGCTGGCTGATTTGTCATCTAGCGGAGTACTACCCATCTACTTGACTCTGGGGTAGGGACGTGTTAATTGCTCAGGATATCCGGGCCGGAATCTTCACGTCCGTGCGCACCAGCTGGCTCCGCATTTGGAGACTCGCCTCGAGGTTGCTGAGCCAGTAGGGGTTGTCATCTAAATCGCGGCCCAGGTAGAAGACGTATGCTGTGCAAAAGTATCGCACTCGTATAAATGCAGGTCTTGCATTACAAATTTTTTTGTCAAAGCAAATCAGCATTACAAATTTTATTTCTCATGCTGAGAAAATTTGTAATGCATTTATACGAGTACGTCGATACTTTTGTAGTTCATAAGACGTGCCAGGACTTTGGGTTAGTGGTCTCACGGAACTCCAGTTCGTCGTTGACCCTTGGTGGGTATGGAATGCAAAAGTGTCTGGGTCTGGGAGGATGGAACTTGTGATGCTGCGTTTGGATTCCAAAAAAATTTGTATTGCATGAGCAGCAAAGGAAGTGTGATCTTTGCTACGCGGAGAGGGCATGTTTCATGCGGAATAGGCATGAAGAACCCCTGAAAAGATCTGTGATGCTACGGCATGCATCACAGACATCATGGCTCATGCAAAAGGTGCATGACAAGTCTCATAATCTTCCAGACCCACACATTTTTGCAATCCATAGCGGGTAGGGGAGACTTTCTCTCTCCGCGTTTTCCGTGCTGCCGTCGTCTCGTCTGCGTTTCTTGCCCTGCTTTTCGATCACCTTGAAATTGCCAAAAATGTGCCGCTCGAAATCCGGATCGTGCTGCACGGTGAAGTTGTAGGGTGCGTATGAGCCGTTGTTCCCCACTTTCCTCCGCTCGTTATCGTCTGGCTTCTCGTCGATAAAATTCGTCTCGTCGTCCATAAATTCCTCGAAATCTCGTCGAGAAACGACATTTTGCCTCGCCTTCCACCAGCCTTCCCCGAATCTTAGGTGGGTTTTGTCCCAATGAAGCCAAAAATTCTCACACTTCGACAATGCGGTTTGCAGTTGGGCGTTCGACTTCGTGTCCATGTTGCTATATGCTGTGCAAAAGCATCGTACTAGTTTACATCGCATTACAAATTAGCCGGCATTACAAATTGAATTTGTAGTGCTGATTTACCTTGAGAAAGAGATTTGTAATGCAGAAACGCAATTAATACTACAGGTGCGATACTTTTGCGCAGGATATGCTGCACTTGATCAAATTCTTCGCAAACAGTTCCCCGAGACACATCTTGTAGAAGCACAGTGCCATGTATCCATTGTAAATAATTTTCCGTACGCGTACAAAAGCAAATGCTGTTTCTGCATGACAAAACTTGCCTTCAATCGTGGTCAGCATGACAAGTAGTTTGACGCAACCCCGCGTTCTTACTCTTAGCGAAGTTTCAACTTGTGATGCATTTTGTAAATGTACGGGAAATTATTTGTGTTGCATATCATGATGACATTCGACTCCATTTGCTTCACCCCCTGCTTCCGCACCATACCGCTGGACTGGGAGAAATTGGTGAAATCCCCCTCGGAAGTCGCTGGCATGAACCGGTGCATTCTGTGCATGCAGGTGCTGTACCACTCCGAATCCCCCATCTGCTCGAGCCTTTGGAAATCCGACCCCTGTTTCGCGTCGTACTGGATCGAATTGAAAAGGAGTTTCTGCTTTGCGGTCAGACTCGTGTTTTCCCCGGTGATTAAATTCTCCAAATACCAGGTGATTGCTTTCGACTTCCAGTGCAGCAAGTCCTGATTGATCTCCCCGTACCAAAACCGGCAATAGGCCTGGTACCGCTTCTGCCCGGAACTTTGTTTCAGCCAGGTGTAGGTCCAGGGAATGGCCGCAAGAGAGGAATTTTTTCCTTTGCCCTTATTTGTAGAAGAAGTTCCTGCCGGGTTGTAACCTTTATTTCCGTTGGTGGTCCCTTTATTACTGATGCTGTTGTAGTGGTCTCCGTATTGATCGTGGTGTACAAATTTACCGCTCCCTTTATTGTTGTTGTAATAATTCTCTTTTTCGCCATGTTGTTGATGGTCGTGTTTTCTGCGCTTTGAAGATGGTTCCTCGTCATGAATATCCTTCCTCTTTTCGCCCCCGGGTTCACGATCACGTCCGTTACCTCGCTTTTTCTTTTTCTCTTTTTTCTTCTTTTTGGCTTTCGGCGCAGGTTGCTTTTCGTCACCACTGCTCTCGCGGGGAAGCAAACGCTCGCTTTTCTCCTCTTCAACATCTCCGTCCTCGCTGGACAGCGGAGCAGGTAGGCCGCCGCTGGAAGAGGATGCAGAAGAAGACGACGCGCCTTTATTGCCCTGTGCTTCTAGTTCGGGATGGTCTGGTGGCCCTTTCATCCCGTGGGCGGGCACATGAACTTCTCCCTTACCGGCGAAAGGATCTTTATTTCTGCCTCCTTTCACAAAGCCTTTGCCTTTGCCGCTTTGGCTCTCCTCACTGTCAGACCAGTCTTCGTTTCCATCTTTGCCTTTATTCCCAAATTTTCCCTTCTGCTTCCCGCCTTTAGTACCTCCGCCGGACGCAGGACTTTCCGGTGCGGCGTGTTGTTCCTTATTCTGGGGCTCAGGAGGCTCACGCTCGGCTTGGGCTTCTACATGATCTTGTTCTCCTTTGTTCAACATTCCTTTTCCTTTTCCTTCCTTATCCTTACCTTTTTGCTTCCCTTTCATGAAGATCAACTGCTTTAACATGTCAAAATCCTTTCCTTTTCCCTTTCCGTCCTTGTCCTTGCCAAATTTTCCTTTGAATTCCATCAGCACCGACTCGCTTAAACTATTGCTAGCGCGGCCCTCGCTGCTACCCTTGCTCTCCTCGCTGTGGCTCGGGCGGGGTGGTGGAAAAACCGCTTCGCTGCCGTTTCCTTTGCTGCCTTTCCCCGATCCACCTCCGGAGGGGCTGCTCGTCTTCCCGTTGCCGTGGGCTACTGGCGGCTGCTGCGCTCCGGCTTTGCCGCTTGAGGGGCTACTGCTACCTCCTCCACCGGCCATCTTTGCGTGGTTTTTTGCGTTCTATTTCTTTCGGTTGTAGCTAGTGTCTAGTAGTACCTCTTATCAGAATCGAAAGCGAAAAAGCCCGGGCGCGTAGCTTGAAAACGAAAAGAGCCTTAAACCCTTTGCTGCTGGCAAGGATCTTCCTTTTCGGGAGGGTCCACCTCAACAGGCGGAAATTCTGCTCAACAACATTAGCTTCACGGTTGAGGTTGTCACATCTACATTTATCAAAAGTCAAGACAGAGCTCTCAAGCTTCAGGAGAGGAGAGAGGGTCGTCGTGTTAGGGTATCCTACAGCTACACAAGTTCAAGAATAAAATCAGTGTCGTGGGCTGAATATGAATCTGTGGCAAGATGGAAGGAAATAAAATCCTAGTGGGGCGGGACGGAGGTGAGGTGCAGGCGAGACTACAACTAGGTCGTGGCCTAAGATATCATGATCAGCAACGAGCTCTCGTTTCTAGTACAAGAATCAACTTAAGAAGGGCAAGCCCGACTTCAAATAGATGCCCGCCAGAGATCATTATTTCTACGCGGATCTCGCAATAAGTAAACTTGCATGTTGCAACGACAGGACCAGGGTGGGGCAGGCATCAAGCAAAGGCGGTAAAGCGCCTTTGCTTCTATCGGTATTTCATTGAGCATCAACCTAGTTTTCGAAGTCAGCGTAGTTTCAAGTAGATCTCCTACGGTTCTTAAGCATAGACGTGGTGATGCCACGGACTACTTCTAGTGCTGCTAATTATTTCAAAACAAGACAACCACGAATCTCGTCCTTGATAAACAAGAAGAAGAACTTGAAGATGTTGACATGATCTACTACGCAGGCTCCACATCTCTCAACATCTCCCTTTCATCTGCAGTCCTGTCTCAGATCGACCACAAAGAACCGATGAAGAGCAGCTCTCACACAAAAATTTCTTGATTCATCTGAAGACACTAATCAATGTCAAACCGAGAAATCAAGACAACCACAACATTTTTCATGAACATGGGGCCTCTAGAAGTACTAGAACATGCCCCCCATCCGAGTCCGCACCCTTAGGGACTCGTCCTCCGGCGGTCGTAAGGAGCGCGCAGCTTTTTCACCAGATATCGAAAGATTCGTGTCGCGAGTTGCAATAGAATGCGAGTTTGTGCTTGAAGCGTGCGCGCGGAAGATTTCCACTCCAGCGGCAGCACGAGAAGTTGATGTGTGGGAAAGAACTACTTACTCGAAGAAATCGTCCCCCTCATCCTCGTCTTTACCAGCAGAAGATTTCCCCTTGTTCATCGGAACTTCCCACTTGATTTTTTTCAGCTCGTGGTCCTCCAAGTCCTGCAACCGCTTTTTGGAAGTCGTTATCGGCCTCAATTTCTTGTTCCCCGAAAAGGATGCGGACAGAGAGGCTCCTTTCGGGTCGCTCCGAGTCTTTTTATCCTCCGACAAGCCGGACGATGTCGTGGTCTTCCTGTAGTTCATCCAGGTGGAAGCAGTTGTACCGGAGGAGCTCGACCACCAATTATCTCCGTAGGTGTTCATCTTGTCACGCCACTCTCCAGTAGCAGTCGTGTTTGTGTTGCCGGCTTGGTTCCACGATGACCACCAGGAAGTAGAGTTGTCTGCGTCTACTTCATGTTCTTCCTCATTTGCGGCTGCGTCCTCTCCTTCCTCGTAGTACACGTTATCCCACTCGCTGTTTTCCTTCGCCAATTTCGCTTCTTCTCTCTTTTTCTTTTCCCCTTCCCAGTTCTCTACCTGTCTCTCCATGCAATCCACCAAATCTCCCTCCAGAAACTCGATCTTAGTATCGCGATTTGCACCATAGTCCGGCCGCTCCTTCCAGTATTCACACTCTTCGCGAAGAGTATCAAGGGAAAAAACTGCTTCACTGTGATGGCTTTGCAAGATCTGCATCACAAGTTTGTTACACATGACACATAAAATTTGCCATGCGCGCTTCCAAAAAAAAGACACGCCTAAAAGTAAAAATCCAATGTCTTGCAGGTGTAGCAAGACAAATCGTTCTGTGCTCCATTCTATGCATCACAAGTTCACAGTCACAGTGAAACAGTTTTTTCTTGCGATAAAGAGAGTCTCTGAAGTAGTAGTTCACCGCCGGCTCGGGTGTTTCTTTTTCATACTGTGTTCCGGCCGCGAGGAACCAGGGAAAATCGATTTCATCTTCCTTCCGATCGTACTTCTGCATCTCCCCATACGGTCCTTTCCGGAGCAACTGCCTCAATAACACTCGGCTGTGGTGGTGGAGGAGGTCTTTTTGCTTCTCGGTCTGCTGCTTGGCTTTGGAAGATTTTTTCTGCTTCTTTCCGTTGATCCGGATCTCGACCTGGGTTGTTTCCAAAGATGGAATATGGAGTGCAAAAATGTCTGGGTCTGGAAGAATGCAACTTGTGATGCTATCTTGGGACTCTACGTAAAATCTGTATTGCATGAACAGCAAAAGAGCTCCAGTTTTTGCTACGCGGAGAGGGCATTTCTCATGCGGTATGAGCATCAGAAAGCCGTCGCAGAAGCTGTGATGCTACGGCAAGCATCACAGACATCATGGGTCATTGAAAATATGCATCACAAACCTGGCACTTTTCCAGACCCAGACATATTTGCATTTGATATGGAACTGCTGAGGTATGTAGTTCTTTGTCGTCGTCGAACAACAACGACCCGCACTCGATCTCTCTTCTCCGCTCTTCGGCTGCTTTCCGAAACTTTTTCAACACTGTTTCATACCACTTTGTAGTTTGGAAAACAACTTTCTCCCTCCCGTCCGGGAGTCTACGGACCACCCTCACATGGCGCCCCGCGAGAGTGTGCTCCAGCACTTGCAACAACGCCCGCTGCAGGGACGTCGATAAGACGACCGTTATCCAGTGATAACTGCGCCATCGCAAAGCCCGCTCTGATGTACAAGAGGGAAAGTTTCTGTACCTCCCGAATTCATCTCCTTCGTCCCGATTGAAGCTGGCCCACAATTCCTTTTCTGTCTCCACGGCAGAGGAAAATTCGGCCAAAATATCTTCGTCGGTCAGCTGGTTCAGTGGGGTTTGGGTTTTCTTCTTTTTCTCCGACGTCAGAGATGAGAACTTGGTCAATTTGAACTCGAAGGTACACAGTCGGTCCGTTTTACTCACGATTTCGAACAACTTCGTGATCATCGAATCGGGCAAGGACGGAGGCAGAAACTTCACACTGCTAAAGAACACCACCTCCACCGCGCGTTTCAAGAAGGGGTGGAGAGGCGTCTTTGGGAGCTTGTTTTCCTCGAAGAGTTGCCGTATTCTCCTCGGTCTGTCTCTAATGTTGTCCTCTTCCTGCTCTTCGAACAGGTAGTTTCTTGCAAGTTTGCTGTAAGTCAGATTGGAACAGGAGGAAAAAACCGCTTCCTTCACCAGCGCCCGCAAGCACAGCTTCGTCCTTTGGAGCGTCTCCTCGAAGCTTTTCACATTGGGCTTCCGCCCCCGCTCTTCGCTCTCCAGGTAGTTGCGGTCGCTTGGTTCCATCCTATCAAAGAGCTTGATCGCGGCTTTGTTCAGTTGGTAGAGCGCAAGAGGCGTGGGTCCGACGTCCAATTCACTTGCACTTGTCGGGCCGTCGTCGAAACCGATGTAGTAGTTGAAGCCGAAAAATGGTCCGTAGAAATCGAATTTGTAACGAACGGGCTTGGTAAGCTTATTTTTCGAAAATAATTCTTCGGAGTTGCCGCTTTCGCTGGAAGGTTCTTTTTCGACGTTCGCGTGGTCGGCTTCCTCATCCTCAGGAGAGGGGTCCTCTGGTAGAAGAACCCCCTCAGGCGGCGAAAGCTTCTCCTCCTCCTGCAAGCTGCCCTCATGTGCGAGTTCCTCGCCCTTTTCAGAGCTGCTTTCCGCGGTCGCGCAGTATGGGCTCGCTGTGCCGCTTTCCTCCTCTTCTTCAGCTTCTACGGCATTTGTATTTGCCTCCTCCCACTCGGCCTCTATTTCCGCCTCTCCCTGTTCATATCGTGCAATTGCTTCGCGTTCAGAATCCGAGGCGTATCTTACTCTCCCATCATGTTCCTCGTCTGAACTCTCCTCATCGTCACTCGCCATACCGTCCTTGACTAACCTCTTTCTGCTCAGCCCGCCCTTCTGCTCGACGATTAAATCCGTGGTTTGGCAACTCGCGAAGTCGTTCCAGAGATTTTTCCTTCCACGGTAAATCCCCTCGACCATGGAAAATCTCTTCCAAGTTCTGCGCCAGCCGAGGAAAGCTAGGCTGTCGTCGATTTGCTTTTTCACGACGAATTCTTCACTTTCATCTTGGCAGTCTGGCAGCTTCGCGCCAGCGTGTTTCAGTTGCGAATGATTGGAAGCTGATGCAGCTGCTGCACCGTCGTAAGAGTTGGAGGCTGCCTTTCCACTCCTCCGCAGCGCCTCCTCGTACTTCCACTCTGGCACGATGTAGTTGTCGCGCGAAAGATCATTCTTACGGTTTTTGTCATGAAGTAAAACGTTATTCAGCGCTCCCTCGTTCTCCGTCACCATGACCTTCTCTTCTCGTCTGTACCCATGCCAGGACAACTGCCCCGTCCGCAATAATTTCTTATCGAATTTCGACAAACGAGAACTACCAGTACCCATCAAAGTTGTACCAGAATTAGATTTGTTCTTCTCATTCCTCAGCAGCCGGTCGACCAGAGAATTCTCCATCACAAATTGTCCCTTTTTGGTGATGATCTTATCCTCCGTTTCCTGCTTCTGCTTCTCTTTCTCGGAAACCACACCGAGCTCGCGCAGCCACTTGCGTCGGTTTTTTGTTTCTTCCTTTTTCGTCAAATTCAGCTGCTTCTTCACGCGCAGGCTGTCGAGGACAGCGTCGGGTTTTTGCTGCTCCTTCAGTTTTTTCAGCTTTTCCTTCGCCGAGGTTTTGTTCGCTTTATTTCGGCCCCGTTTATTGTTCAGGGGTTTTATTGAGTCGACGTCGGTGATGTCGGCATCCGCAAGATCGGCATCAGGTTTAGAGGAAGGAGGTGAAGAAGACCCGATCTCCACACGAACTGCGCCCGCCCCTTCAGATTGTTCTTGTGCTGGCGCAGTAGCGGCTTTCGTACCAGCAGTCGTAGTCGTTTTCTTCTTTTTCAATAATTTCTTCATGCTGGTGGTCGCGCCAGTAGCCACTTTGGAGTTCTTGTCGGCTAAGGAAGTGTGGTCGACGACGTCAACAGTGGCTGAAGGAGGTTGACCTGCGGGAGGTTTTGGTTCTGGAGACGAGGTTCCCTTCTTGCTTCTTTTGTCCGCGCTTTTCTTGACAGCGATTTTTTTCCCCGATTTTTTAGTCTTCGCACCACGAGCAGCAGCTCCAGCAGTCCCACGAGAACTACTGGCGCCATGCTTGCCTCTGCCTTTACTTGTTGTTTTCTCTATGAACTGGTTGTGGGATTTCAAACTGCCCAGGAATTCCGTCTTACCCAGCTTCTTATCGGAGTTCCTGCCATTGATCTTGGCTTTCGTCGCGGCCTGGCCGCCATGTTTCTCTTGCAGTTTCTCCCAACGCCGCCGGTTGTGCAGCCAACGCTTCGACCTTGTTGGGGCTGCGGAATCCATGATTTCTGTAGTTCTGTAAACGATATGACAACCTGAAAAATGTTGGTGAATCTACAAGATGATCACAAGAACGTAAAGAGCATACATTCTTGACATACACGTCCGAGCTTTCTGTTTCTTCAACATCCCTCTACTGTGCCGAATACTGAAAAAGAGCGCCACTTCAACTAGGAAGAGTTTCACTGTAATGATGTCAGCGCGTATTTTCATCGATTACGATCTGTCGCACCAAGAAATACGAATGCGATTTCTTTGTATCATTGCCAAAACAGGAGACGGATAGATTCATTGGATGGACACAACAGAGCAATTTGAAGATCTGCGTCGGAGGTAAAATGTAAAAGAGGATCTCGCTGCTCGCATATTTCCTGATCGCATCCAGCAGCGCGACTTATGTGAATTTCAGTATCGGTACTTATGATCATCGTGATTGATCATGTTGTTGGCTTGTATTTTCTTCTTTTCGATCCTCAACCTCGGGCTCGAAACTACATTCTCAATACCACGAACAAGATCTTCATCAATCAAAAATCTCACTTTAGTGGAGTAATTTCTACACCATAGAATCAGTGACAAATTTTTACTCATGGTCATGTCCTCGATCCGGACTTTTTATCCACATTGACAATTCGCATTTTCGGGACCCCACTTGACGGACGCAATACACGGAGGAACACGAAGATCGGCCAAGAAGCGGTCGACACATGCGAGACAGATAGATACTCGTCACACAAGGTGGAAAAACGGGCTTCGACAATCTAACTCTGTCACCCAACAACGGAGATAATTGATACGTGGAAGAGCGCCATCAAGTAATACTACCAAGACCTCGGCGGGGGACTCATTCCAGACTCCTGTGCAACGGCGACACATATCCGCCACACAGACACGGCGGGGTCTCCGGCCGGAGGCAGCGCGCCAGGCTGTACGGAGGTGCAACCCACGCGCGCCGGCCCAACAAGCCCCGGGCCGCGGACGCCTGTCACTTACTTACAACACGGGCGGGCGGCGAGAGGCCGGCCGGGCTTCCTTACAAAAAAGGGCCAGGCCTTAGCCGGGGGCGGGCGAGACAGGAGGCTGCACACCATCCCCCATTCGTTCCCCCCCCCGCCCCGGCGGAGCCGCCGGCGGAGGGGCCCACCGGGGTCCAAGGCGGGGGGGGGGCACAGCTGCAACAAAAAACCGCGGGACCACGGACCACGCGGACAGCTGCAACAAAAAACCGCGGGCGCGCGCGCCACGGCCCACACGACGCGCGCCGGCCGCCCGGCCGGCGGCGAGGGCGCGGGCGTGCCTGCGCGCGTGCGCCTGCATCCGCCCGGCCGCGCATAAGACGAACACACAGGAGACGGGGCGGCGCGCGCGCTGCTTGTCCTCACTTTCCCGGCTCGCGTTGACCTTGTTCCGCTTGTCCTTCCTTGCTGGACGCTCGTGGAGAATGTTTTTGGGGTGGCTATCCTTGCGCACGCTGCCACGCACGTTTCGCAGGCATAGGCCCGCGCGCTCGCAGACTGGGCGCCCGGCCCCCATGTTGCAAGTAGTCTTCCTGCGATCTGCCAACCGATGGCGACCGGATCGCCACGGCGCTGGTGGTGGTCGTCGCGCTTTGCCCCCTGCTGATGTTCCAAAGAATACCGCGCCCGCGCTACATGCTTCCTGAATCGAAGACACAACAGAAACACGCGGCGCCATAATGACACCGGGAACACCACGAAAGCGCCCGCGTGGTCCACAGAGAAGCTATCTTTCTGACGATTGCACAATAAGCTCAACAAAGCAGCTTCTACTAACTTAGATGCAGTCGCTTTGGTCTTTTTGACCCACGCTCCCTCCTTGTATTCACTTATCTACAACTCACCTCTTCAGGTCTGGCTCATCTCGTCCAACATGATCAAAAAACCTCCCATATGGAAAAACCATGAAAGAAAACAATAACGTAGCGTCGCACTCAATTACCCTGAGCTACAAGAAGAAGAACGCCGCACGCCAGCGACCGGCGCAGCTTTCCTCGCCTGCATGCTGGTGCTGCTTGTCTTCAGTAAGGTACTTCGTCTCCTGTAAGCCTGCTCGGATCTGCAAGCGGCGGCCGCAAAAAACGCGGCAACCCGCCAGGAATCACGCAACGAGCTTGGCTGCGGGCAAGGCCGACAGAAGATCGCGACCCCTGCCTGCGCGCCGACCGCTGACTCATGAAAGAGCGAGGCCCCCGCCCCGCCCCCACCCCCACGCTGGCCAATCGGTCCAACCCGAAAACGGAGGGGGCCGGAAAGTGAGTGCCAACGGCTGGGCCAGCCCGGCTGGCCAAAATGCCTGCGCCGGCAAACTGGTGCAACACGCGCGGGACGCTGCGCACAGCGCCAAAGCGAAGGCCGACAGCGCCGGACAGCAACACGCGGCGCGGCTACATGTTGCGGGCGAAGCCCTGCCGGCCCGGCCCCGCGTCTTCAGACACCACGGCCGCGCCCGGCACCGACGCCGGGGGCACAATGGGAAGGGGCCGAACCCAGCAGACACATCACGAAACAGGGGCGCGGCGGCCGGGCCTGCGGCGCGTCGCCTTCCTCGTCGGCTCTGCAACTCCTTCGCGGGCATCCATGGACTGCGTTCGCGGCTCCATGCACCCGGACGGCCACAGGAATATGGCGGGCACAAACCTTGCGAAACTACGGGCGCGCGCCAATCCATGATCCGTTCGGCGTCTGCGAACCCACGCAGGAATCTGCTCGCGGCCGCGCAAACATTGGGAACGACCCAACAAGCTGAATAGGGTGGCGCTGGCTCCTGTCAACGCCGTTTCTGAGAAAGAAAACAATGCTCGTCCCGGCAATACACGCGAATGAAATTTGAATGCTCAACACGCTCTCCATCAACACCAAGCAGCATCATCTTCTCCAATACAAAATCACTCGTCATCATCAGCAAGTCCTCGGCTCTCTCAGAGTCAGAGAGCACCATGATCTCTGTGACTGTGCTGTTTCTTTTAAACCACTTGCGCTCCTTGTTGTATCTTGCAGTCACTCTATCCCTCTTGAGCAGGTCTGGCACTCGTCTAACATGGAAATATACAGATTGCAAGAACAGAAAGTAACTTTTTACCACAGCGAGCCCGTGCCCGAGCGACAGATAAAGCACCGCTTGTCTGACTGAGACCACCGGTGCTGTGGACTGTTTGTTTTCAAGATGTTTCATCTCCTCCAAGATGGTCGTAATGGTGTACAAATGATCGTAGTTTCTCGGTTCATCGTCCCAAAAAAGCCAAAACAAATCCCAGCTCGCGTTCCACGCCTGGTAGACCGCGGCATGAGCACGCCCAAGCTTTGTCAAAGGGCTCTCTCAGGGCCAGGACAGAAGCTCTCAGACTGGCAGCCGGTCGGAAAGAAGCGCGCGGCCTCTGCCTGCGCCCCTCAGGCGAGCCTGCGTCTTCCAGGCTACCCTGCCCAACACTAGAACTGCCACAGGCAGGCACAAACGCCGGCCGCCTGGGCCGGCGTGCAAGGCACTGGCTTGATGCCCGCGCTAGGTAGGCCTTAGCCGTCCGGCCCGGCTCCATCGAACGATCCTGCTCTTCAAGTAGGTAGCAGGCCCGTGCAAGCCCGGCGCCAAAAGGAGGGGCCCAAACGAAAGAAAAGGCGCCCCGATTTTTGGCAAAGGAAGACAGGGCAAAACACTGGACGAGCAGGCGGCCCGCGGCGCGCGCCCAGTTTTTGCCTTTCCCGGCTTCAACCCGGGCCCCGTTGTTGACGTTGTGCGCGCGCCCCGGCATGTCCTCCAGCTTCATGGGCCCCGTCCGTCGGGCCCTCGCTCGGGGGCGCGCGTGCGGTGTGGGTTGGACATGTCTCGGAGAAATCGGGCGCCCGAGATAGAACGAGAGGCCGAAGGCTGGCGCGAGAGGGCAAAGGCGCGCGCCCGTCGTCGAAGGTAAGCACGGCGGCCGTGCGCACGAAACAGCGCGCGCCGGCCCAAACTGAGCAGGCGGGTCGGTTAGTAACAACCGGCCTCGGCCGTTTCTGCAAGAGAAACCAGGGCCCAAGCAGCACACCGACAAATTGCTAATGCGCTCCATCAACATCACACAACAAAGATTAAAATATCTATCGTCTTCTTCTCCAGCTGCACAACATCACTCATCTCCGACAGCAAGTCCTCGGCAGAGTCACAAGGCATCTGTGTGCTTTCCTTCAGATTTTTTTCGCTCCTTGTTCATGGGTCGCTCTGACCCTGCCTGGCACTCGTCCAACACCAAGATCGATACAAATTGCAAGAACAAAGAGTAACTTGCCACCCTGAGGAGCGACAATGACACCGCCTCTGACTGTCTGAGACCGGTGCAGCTGTCGATTATTTGTTTTCAAGATGTAGTTACATCTCCTCCAATTTGGTCGTAATGGTGTACAAAGGTACAAATGATCGCAATTTCATTCTCGATATATCATCCTCGTTCCAAAAAAGCCAAAGCAAATCCCAGCTCGCGTTCCACGCCTGGTAGACCGCAGCAACAGGGAAACTGACTGGCTCGTGCTTGTCCTATCGTGATGCATGACAATTTCGTTCTCGCCAGAGCAAGGTACGTATTTTGGGGAAAAAAGTGTGAATGTGATGTGTATACAGTGACAGTAGACTGAGCAAAGGCGCGCATCGTGTAGTGAAAGAAAAAACCTAACTAAGTGTAGAAGCATGTCGACGAAAAATGCCTTTGCACTCTATGAACGTCCACTAGTTACAGGAGTAAATCTTCCGCAACCGTTTTTCCCATTACTGTAGCTAGAAGTGGAATTACGATGTGCCAGCCGCTTTTTGTTTTCTTTATCTTTTCCCTTGAAAACCGCGGCACTATTGTTTCTATGTATGTTACCACATGCTTAACAACTCCAAGTCTACTTTTTTTGTCTAAAGTGTACTGTTGTTTAGAGAGTAAACATAAAAAGCGCCTACCCGTACCCGTGCGTAGTAGTTGTTTCTTCTTGTACAGACCCACAATTAAAAAAAAACCAGGCAGCGGCCGAATGCATCTGGTGACGCACATGATGGCGCTGTTCCTAAGTAGAAAAGTTGTGTCGTTACCCTCACCACGTGCACAAGTGCGCACTAAATGTGAGTCAGAACGAGCGTGAGTAGAAAGTCAAGACAGAGCTTTCGTTGCGGTCAGAAATGTCTTGTCTATGCATTTGATAGATAGCTACAAAATCTTTGCACAACTCCAACTGGTGTACAGAAGGAAAAGATCTACGGGATCTGTCTTGCAAATTTGTACAACGGAAAAACAAAAGGTAAAAAAGTATGTGACACTACATCAGAACCAAGCGATCCAAGAGTTGTAGCTCTTTGGATCACTTACTTCTGAAGCATGGGCTAAACTTGATTTCGTTTTCAAGAAATAGCATGCAATCGAATAATTAAGAACAAATTATGTACAGGAGTATTCTCACAAAAAACTAAACACAACTAGAAACACCTTCAGAGGTTCTGCGTTTTTCGTCCTACTGGAGCTACTTTTTCTTTTGCATCAACATCAGGATCATCAACTCAAATCAAACAGCAGCTTCCGCCTGAACCTCAGGCTGAGGTCGTCGAAGAACTGTTTTTCCTCTTTGTTCAACTATCAAATGTAAATATGTCTGGGCCTGGAAGAATGAAACGTTTGTCATGCACATTTTCCATGACCCCTGATGCCTGTGATGTTGGTCTAGCATCACAGATTTTTGGAGAGCTTTCTGATGCATATTCCAAAGGAGAAATGCCCACCCCGCGCAGCCCAGACTCGTCTCCTCTTTCTAGTCATGCATTTTTCTTTCGAATCCGAAGACAGCATCACAAGTTGCCACCTTCCAGACCCAGACATATTTGCAACGCATATCAACTTCCGCCACTCAACCGCCGCGTCTTCCACGTCTTCAAATTCCGAGAAAACAAAGTCGGTTTGAAACACGTTAAACCCGGTGATTTGGTATTTCCCTCTTGGGTACATTGTTTTCAGGCTCGGCCAGTTCTTGGGCCACTGCTTCGACGCGGTAATCCCGTTTTTGTGTGCCCCGAACGCGGGGAGTTGCAGGCCAATCCGGATCTTGATGAGTTCCTGAACGGAGGTTATGTTGATCTTCGGATGGCAGACGAAGGAAATCAGCTCCAGGGAATTGTCGGGAGGTCGCTTGGAGGGCTTTTTATTCTTGTGCTCTATGTCGGAATCGGACAGGGTAGTTGTTGGTGGTGCTGCTGGTGGTGGGCAATTGTCTAATGGTGTCCCCTGGGGACGAGGTTCTTCGCTGATCGTCTGAGGAAAACAAACTCCAGGTTCTTCGACCGCTGGTTGTAATTCACTATCACTGTCTGTTGAATCAAACACCAAATCCCTCGGCGTCAAAACACTCCCGACATTCTCCCCTCGTCCTCTCCCCGCCAACAAGCGCAAAACGTCAGCGGCTTCCTCCGGTAATAAGCACATTCGCTTCGTTTTAAACACCCGGAATTTTTCCAAATTCCCCTCCAGATCCAACCGTTCCAGCAGCTGCGCTATGCCGGTCACCCGCGGGAAATCGGAAATCAAGTCCCCGCGTATCTGGTTGTTCTCGAGGTTTAAATGGAAAACCTGCCTGGCAGAGACGTTTTCGAGCTGGAGATCCTGGATCTTCGGGGTTTCGAACAGATTGCTGTAGTTCCAAATGTAGGGTTTGTTGTTCGGCCGGTATTCCAGCATGAACTGAATGGACAATTTGAGCAACTCGGGTAAGAAAATTCTCGTCACACCGAGCAGCGACTCCGGCTTGATTTGGAAAAGCGTGAGCTGCTGCAGCTTCTGGCAGTTGTTGTTAACCCCGAGGGATTGGAGGAGACAGGCCGGAACGGTCACATCGTAATTCAGGGTCGCAGGTGGATTTGTGTTGCGGGAAGAGGAGCTGATGTTTTGCTTCTCATATTTGTCACTGTATCTCGAAGTCGTCTTTAGCAAGGTCTCCTCGTCAATCTGAATTTCGCCAGGAAATTGATTGATGCTTTCTTGCTGTCCTTCTACTTCCATGTTCTTAGGTTCCGAAAGGACAGCGCCGCCCAGCCGCTGCTTTAACTTTTTCTTCACGTCTTGGTAACTCGGGACGTGCTTCAGAAGCGAATTACCACTGGTAGCGGATTTCAATGGTGAATGCTGTTGCTGCAACAAATCGCCGTAGGAGTGTGGCGCCATCGTGCTCTTCGTTTGGTTCAAGGTGGATTGCTCATTGCTTCCTCGTGCGAAAGGGGAGAAGGCAAACGCACTGTAACTGCCGGAGTTACAGTAGTTGTTGGAAGGGCCGTCGCTCCCGAGCGATTCCTTGGACCCAGTTCCGGAAGAAGCTTTTTCCAGGGTGCGCTTCACGAGGTAATTCAGCTTGCTTCCGGATAAACTACTTGAGGCTGTGGCTGTGTTCATTGTCGGAATGCTGCGGGTGAGCTTGTGAAAGGCTGCAGAAGTTGTCGACAAGTTGTCAACATCCTCCACGCAAATCACTTGGTCGACGTTCTTCTTGTTCTCAAACGATAGCAGAGACGATTTCGATTTGTCTTCCACGACCATGTCGGCGCTATCTTCCCACAGCAGCTCCTCATCTTCGCCATCTTCTCTCGTGTTCATCACGAAGATACACTGTGTTGTCACCACCTCCTCATCTGAACTCGCCGAAGTATCGAAATACCGCTCCGAAGCCGTGTTGTTCAGATGCAGCGAGTTGTTTTCCTCCCCCGTCGCCGTAGACGCGTACGCGGCAGCCGACGTGTGGAGATCGGCTAACGAGGAGAAGTGCGAAGAAGGGTTTTTGCTTCGGGAGAGATGAGCTGCACCAGTGGTTGACGTCATTTGACCGTTGTAAAAGTTGTGTTGGTCAAGAGCATGATCATCATCCACAGGAGAAAGAGAATCATGATCACTCGGCGAATTTTTATTATTGCCCGCCTGAACTACAGGATGGTCTCCTGTTATTTCGCGGGACACGGTCCGAGACAACGCTGAAAACGCAGCCTGGGCTTTGATTTCCTCCTTTTTGAGCTCAATCGACCTTTCAAAATTCCTCTCGAACCAGGTACGCAGCTTTGCGAGACGCTCCATCAGCAAGGATTGGGTCGTCGTCGTGGTAGTTGTAGAGTTGTTATTTTGTTCTACTTTGGAGGCCGCCGCGCTTGCTGGCGAACAATTCTTGACAGCAGCAGCAGGAGCAGTTTCGTCTTTCTTCTCGCTGGAAGAACAATCCGAACTGTTCACCGCCCGCAGAAATTCCAATTGTCCGCCGATTTTGATCTCTGTCAAGTACGAATTCTCTTCAATATGCATTGCAAAAGTATCGCACTCGTACTAATTGCAGGCATGCATGACAAATTTCCGTTCCAAGGTAAAACAGCATTACAAAGTCAACTTTTCATGCTGAGACAACTTGTAATGCAGTTTATGCTAGTGCGATGCTTTTGCAATTCATATTCAATCAGCCACTGCAACTCGTCCAGATCCTGATTCTCATCCAGCAGAGAAATTTCCGATATGTGCAACGACTTCAGCAGCGGCAATTTCGCTGGCACCGGCACAATCCCCGTTTCGAAATGGGACAGCGGTAGAGTGATCGTCGCCTTCATCGTGGTCGTCCCGGAGGTCGACGAGGTCGTGGATGCTTGTTTTATTGCCGATGGAGTTGTTGCACTTGCGGAAGCGGGCTCCAACTCCGGTGAGAGCTCCATGACACTGCTAATCGGACTTTTCGCGGACATTGGACTCATCGTGGAACAAAGGTGAAGATGAAAGGACGACATCGAAGATGATGATCCACTGGCACCAGAACAAGTCGTCGAGATGGAGTTTGTCGTCGTGACAGCTGCGGATGTGGATACCGTACTTGCGGTTGACTTAGCGTTGTCTTCCAGGGAACTTGCACTTGCTCCGAAGAACCCGGTCTGCAAATTCTCTGCTGCTGTCTGGACTGCTGTTCTTTGACCGTGCTGGTGCACCAGCTGCACCAGGTCTGCCGCCGTCGGAGCAACACTCAAATTCACCACGTCGCCGTTCGAGAGGCACCTTTGGAGCGACGAGATATTGTTCGTGGTCACGAAGTTGATGCCGAAGTTGGGCAGGAGTTTATTGCCGTTTGGTGTCCCCCCGCCAGGAACATCCTGAAGACCTTCCTGTTCTCGTCCTCTCTCCGGCGATAAAAACGAGCCAAAACCGCCGGTGCTACTGGTGCAATTCGCCTGGAGAAAGTACAAACTCGACAAAGGGTCGAGAAACTCGAAAATCTCGACCAGAACGCCGTCTGGGAGATTCGTAGTCCAGAGGAGGTTATCAAATGTAAAAGTGTCTGGGTCTGGAAGAGTCATGCTGTTTCTGCATGACACAGAAGGCCCGGCATGGAAGCTCTAGCGTCACAGGTTTCGAGAAGCTTCCGCAATGCCGAATCCGCATGACATCAAATCCGCCATGTTGGTGACAGAAAGTGAGCAGCTTTTGCTGCCTATGCATCAGAGATTTTTGTGTGTTCTGAAATGCGCATCACAAGTTACATCCTTCCAGACCCAGACACTTTTGCACTTGATAGAGGTCGAGGCCCTGCTTGATATTCTGTGGTGTCGATGTCGCTATCGCAGGTGGTGTCAACAGGGTTTGTTTCGTCGTCGTCGTGGTGCTCATTTTTGATATTGCAGACGGAGGAGCTCCTGTAGAGGATGATGCTGACCGGCACGACTCCTCTACTTCTTCCCGACGAGAGTCTCCAGATGTTGTCTGCAGCTGCATAATATCCTGTCGTTCAACATCGACATCGCGAAGCCCTAGATCTTGCGTTGTAGTGCTCCTTATGCTGTCCACGACTGCAGCACCAGTTCCAGTGCCCACGTTGTAATTGTCGCTGCTACTGGTGCAACTACTCTCCGCCATGATGTTTTTTTTTTCCAATTCCACCACGGGCTACTTATTCTTATGAGAAATGTTACTACGACCTCTGTTTGTTTACCACCTCCGCCAGTGGCCTCCGAGGTTTAAAAAGACTACGATGATGAAATTTATGTTGGTAAACACCTAATATGCCGCTTCGGTAACTACACACGGTGGGGGGGTCGTGCTTCAAAGCGGTTTTTTATTTCCAGGTCCAGTTTGTGTTGCAGCAATTAATAGTGTAAAAAGAAAAAGTAAAACTTTAGTATACACGGGATGGCAATGATCTACATGCACATGGAAAATTAGAAACACGATGGTGCGTCCTCTTCCGGCGGCGCGGCCTACCGCCAGCGACCTGTCCTCGCACTACTATCGCCTCTAGTATAATGGGGGAAAGGTGGTAGGTCTATAGGGCGGGAGGTAGAAAAACGACACCACCTGTAGTCGAGGTTTCGATTTTTCTGTGACGAAACTAACGCTGTCTCGCTATTTTTATGTGGTACTGCACACTTCTTGCTTCAACCGATTTGGAAAAGTCGAGTTGTTTTTGTACCCTAGCACGAATTTCTTTGCTCTTCCGTCCACGAGAAAAAAGTACCGACTGACACTCTTTTCTTCTCTTAACGATGACATGGCACCAGCTGCTGCCTTCTTGTTGTTCTTCTTGTGCACTATAATTTACGATGTATTAAATAATTTGTCAGGACGAGGTTTTCGTTTTTATGTCAGGACAACTCGCTTTGCACGAAAAAAAGATGACCGATAGTGCCTTTCTTGTTGATGTTGAAATGCTAGAGTTACAGACAGCTCCAGATGGCTACACGCGGTGGTCGGCTCCATGGCTATCGTCCTTACTGCCAAAGCTTCCAGCAGTAGAAGCGCAGCAGGCAACATTCGGTTTTTTTGTTTTCTTCTACTCTACCGCATGCGCTTCACAACATTGATGTGATATGTCATTGTCTATTGCACGTAGTACATGATTTGTTTGGTGCATGCTCATCAATAAATGTGATCTTCTCCTGAAGCACGAAGAAGTATCTATTTAGTATTCATTCAAACACAAGTCACAACTCCAACATCGCCTTCACACACCCGTCCTTCCCCGTCCTACAATGCTCCATCGCGTTTTCCACGCCCTCCTGACTGAACGGAAACTTGTGCGTGATCAGCTTTGACACGTCGATTTTTTTCTCCGCGAGCATTTGAATGCACGTCGCGTAGGTGTAGCGGTACCGGAAAACGCCCACCAGATCCACCTCCCGGATACTTGCGTCGATCAAGGGTATGTTCGACATGTTCCCGCCCATCCCGACCAAAACCACCCTTTTTCCCGGTTTTGTGCTGTGGATCGCGCAGCTAATCGCACTTGCCACGCCACAGCAGTCGATGGCGCAGTCGTAGAGCTGGCCGTGGTTGAATTTCTCCATTGCCTCCGTGGAGGAATCCCGAGCGGTGGCGCCATTACCGATGAAGTGCGTGGCAAGTCGGTCTTGGGGGGTATGGAAGGGGAAAATGTGATGAAAAAAAAATATCCTGTCGTTCAACACCGACATCGCGAAGACCTAGATCTTGCGTTGTACTAGTACTGCTGATTCTCTCCACGAATGCAGTGCTGCCCACGTTGTAGTTGTCGCTGCTACTGGTACTGGTGCAGCTACTCTCTGCCATGATGTTTTTTTCCACGACGGGCTACTTATGCGAAATGTTACTACTAGCTAGTACCTCTGTTTGTTTACCACCTCCACCAGTGGCCCCCGAGGTTCAACAAGGACACAAAGGCGCTGATGAGATGCAGTGAGTTACAGATTCAAAGAAGCTAAAAGTTTTTCTTGGGTTGCAAAAATTCTTCCCCAGTCAGGATTTTTTTTGTAATTTGTTCCTTTACGTACAAGTCGTTCTACAGAATCGAATGCAGGACGTCGCCCTGAAATTACGGGTACAAAACTACTACGGGGGACTACAATGATGAAATTTATGTTGGGAAACACCTATGCCGCTTCGGTAACTACACACGGTGGGGTCGTGCTTCAGAGCGGTTTTTTACTTCCAGGTCCAGTTTGTGTTGCAGCAAGTAATAGTGTAAAAAGAAAATGTAAAACTTAAACTTTAGTATACACGGGATATGAACTACATGAAAATAAATTAGAAACACGATGGTGCGTCCACCTCTTTCGGCGGCGCGGCCTAGCGCCAGCGACCTCTCCTCGCACTACTATCGCCTCTAGTATGGGGAATGGTCATCTATGGGGGAGGTAGAAAAACATCACCACCTGTTGAGGTTTCCATTTGTAACCAAACTCTGTCTACTAGATATGTCGTGCTGACAACTTCTTCTTTCAACCGATTTGGAAAGAGCTTCGAGTTTTTGTACGCTACCACGAATTTCCTTGTTACGTCCACGAATAAACGTACCGAATGACAGTTTTTTCTTCCCTTGACGATGACGTGACAGCTGCCTTCTTGTTGTTCTTGCGCACGATTTATTTCGTACGATGTAAAATATAAATAATTTCTCAGGTTTTTGAGTCAGGACAATTATCTACGGTTTGCACGGAAAAAAAGATGACCGATAGTGCCTTTTTTGCGGCCCACAAGTCCGTCGGCGCGCAGACGAACGAATGCTCTCGGCAAAGTGCTGGTCAGAAACATCACGTATATTTGGCACAGAATTTACCGGGAGCACGCGCATGGCAATTCTCGTCTTCATCTTCCAAAGTTTTTCTCTAGTACGTTAACAAATGGTGCTTCACATAACGATTCTTTTTCTTGTGTTGCAGCGACACTACACAATGAAATCTCTGGGTCTGGAAAGTTGTTTGAAGAAGATTACTCTATTTATAGCCATCTGCAGGAGCATGATTTATTATGAAGTAAACGAACATCACAACTCCAACATCGCTTTCACACACCCGTCCTTCCCCGTCCTACATATCCACAGAAAAAAACCCATCCAGTTCCAGCATCCATTTTTTGCATGACAAGCGCAGGACTTTATGTACTTATGTTTTGCATGACAAATTGGATGTGGAAGGGTGTTTTTCCCTGGATACTACAATGCTCCATCGCGTTTTCCACGCCCTCCTGACTGAATGGAAATTATCACAAGAAAGAAGGTTAGAGATTGCAGTAGTGCATCACAAAAACAAGCTAGCACGCAGGCTAGGCATGACAAATTTGGGTACTTACGCTTTGCGATGCATTGCTGCATCGCAAATTCCGTTACCGTTAATTTTTTTTTCCTGTGATAGAAATTTGTGCGTGATCAGCTTCGACACGTCGATCTTTTTCTCCGCGAGCATTTGAATGCACGTCGAGTAGGTGTAGCGGTACCGAAAAACCCCCACCAAATCCACCTCCCGGATACTTGCGTCGATTAGCGGTATATTGGAAAAATTTCCGCCCATCCCGACCAATACCACCCTTTTTCCCGGTTTTGTGCTGTAGATCGCACAGCTAATCGCGGTGGCCACGCCACAGCAGTCGATGGCGCAGTCGTAGAGCTGTCCGTTGTTGAATTTCTCCATTGCCTCCGTGGATGAATCCCGGGCGGTGGCGCCATTACCGGTGAAGTGCGTGGAGAGCCGGTCTTGGGGGGTATGGAAGGCGAAAAAGTGATGAAAAATTGCCGTCGGGGTTGAACAGATGCAGATTTATGTAGTTTTGTCAAGAACTAGTGCTCTAAATCGATGCAACCATAAAATTTTGATTTTCAACCATGCAGCAGATGACTTCCTCTGACAGAATTTTCATTTTTCACCTTCATACTCGTCGTTGAAAGTGTCTTGTAAAAATTTTAATCGGTTTACATCCACGTCGCAGACCACCACCTTCTTTGCCCCGAGGCCCATTGCGACAAGGGCACAAAGGGTGCCGACCGGTCCGGCGCCAAAGATGATGACCTGATAGTGGAACACGGAGGATGAACATGATAGAGCATTTTCAGCAGCATAGCTCAAACGGAAGTTATTGTGTTGCTGCGTCTCGGAGGCCCAAGTTTTATTTGAGTTTAGCATTTACATTTTTCAATCGCAGCATGGGTTCTTTTCTTGACTCTACATTTGGCTCAGAAGGCATGTTGTTGAAAACTTGATCTTACCTGTTTTATCACATTCCCAAACTTTCTCGCAAGTGCCACGCACTACACGTGTGCACGGTGGGCAGCGCGCGCTCATCATGTTACCAGCAGCTACCTCCTCGCACTTGTGCTGACCCGCAAAGCCCCAGGAAGAAATCTCCTGCGTTCTTATTAGAGGTAGAGTCGCGGGCGGCGGCGCATCAGAAGCAGAACGCAACGTGGGCAGCAACGGCGAATAGCTGCGACAGTTTTGCGCGGGCGGCGTACAGCTCGCGCGTCGGTGTTGTGATGCGACTAGGCTGCTTTTGTTAAATTGAGCTGGTATCTTCATCCCTATTCCAGCTGCACGAGGATTTTGTGCACACAGCTACAGTTTTCCTTTCTGCTTGCAAATGCAAGAGCATATGATCACAAACGATGAACAATTCTGAAAAATAAATTCTTTCCAATACTTACCGAGTCCCCCTCCTTTACCTGCCCCTTGTCCGGTCCACACGCGTACACCCCCACACTCAACGGCTCGCACAGCGCCCCCTCCGCCAAGCTGACCGTGTCTGGGAGCTTGAAACAAAATTTCGCCGGGTGGGTAACTACTGTTCGCAGAGACCCGTCTATCCCAGGAAAAAAGATTGTAGGTGTAACTTTTTTGGAGGAACAGCATTGTCTGGCATGACAGCAAAAACCTGTCATGCGCAGATAGCACGCGAAAACGCCCTTTAGTGGGCGCTACGATGCATGCTAAGCATGACAGACGCAATCATCTTGCATGTTGCGCATCACAAATTTACACTAACAACGTTTTTTTCTTGGATACCGTCAATCGGTGGCGTCGCGAAGAATTTTACCCTGGGGCAGAGGTTTATGGATGTGTCAAGATTGAAATCGACAAAGTTAAGTAGATAACTTGTAATGCATAAAATGGGTGAAAGTTGTAATCCAGCTCCCAAGTAGCGCATGACAAATTTGGGTAGGGCCGAAATCCAGTTTGTCATGCTGTTTGGGTAAGGAAGACGCCTTTTGTCATGCTACTTTAGCAGCTCAGTTTTTACCTCTCAACAGGCTTACAATCTGCCTCACTTGCCTACTCTGCACGACAGGCACTCTGTGGGCTGCATTTTATACATGACAAACTATCTCGACTCTGAAGGCGCTTGCAATCCTGACACCCCCATAAGGTTGTATTTGAACTTCATCTCTTTGCCGTACTCCGCCGGCGCTGCGACTGTGGACTTTGTCATGCAGATCTCGCAATCCGGCTGCTCGCAGGGAATTCCGGGCTCCAGCGCCACTCGGTCGCCGACTTGGAGGAGAGTTGTGGAGGGAGCGGCAGTATCCTGTGCAAAAGTATCGCACACGTACTAAACATCGCAGTTGTGCATGACAAATGTTGTCCTTAAGGTAAAACAGCATGACAAATTCCAGCTCTCACGCTGAGGAAATTTGTATGCATTTATACGAGTACGATACTTTTGCACAGGATAGCCAGCACTTGTTGTTCCGCTGCTCGGTCCGACCCCTACCACCACCCCAGTGCACTCGTATGAGAATGCACAACTCCCCCTCCCTCTCCTTTGTCATGCAAAATCCGAAATCCTATCGTGGCGTTGCGGCACGGTCTGCATGACAGATTCCGGGATCTGAAACAGTACTACAGTAGGCTCAGGAAGTTGTCATGCACTGGCTCCACGTGTGGTGCTGTTTGTATTGCTGTTCATGGAATACAAATGAGGGGGAGGGGGAGGGAAGGTTGTGCACTCTCATAACTCGTGGCCCAGAATCATCGGTTGTTCCACGACAAAGTCGGCAATCCGCCCATGCTTCCAGTAGTGGACGTCGGACCCGTATCCAGGAAAAACCACCCATCCCCATCCATGTTTTGCATGACACACACTACAAATTAAAATTATGCATGGTCTGCATGACAAATTGGATGGGGATGGGTAATTTTTCCTGGATAACCCGCAAATTCCGACATTCTTCACCGCGATCAGGAGTTGGCCGGGTGGGATTTTGTCTTTGTTATGCAATACAAATTTCCCTTACATGCACAAGATGCAACACAATTTTCACCAACTTGGAGTGTACTAAAACTTGCCATGCTAAACCAGGATGGAAGCCAAGTTTTGCCATGCAGGGGCCGCATTTGTACGTGTACGAGAAATTTGCTGTGGATATTTGTCACACTGGTCGTATTGCTCGGCGGTGAACTCGCGAAAGGAAATTTTGTCCAACTCCTCGAGAGTGGCAGTGAAGAGGGGAGGTTCGGGTGGGACGATGAAGGTGGCCATTTTTTTGGAGTCTGCTTTATCAGTTGTGCGTTGCCGTTGCAAGAGAAACTTTTTTTGTTGTCGTATGTAAGAGTAAGACGCACCAGACCGGCTGGGGTGCAAATAGCGGGAAAGGGCCTGCCAGAAATGACTGCCTTTGCTCTTCAGTTCAACCGACTTTCCGTAATCAAACTACACGTAGTAATTCTCAACATCGGACTCACAATCAACTCATTGCTGCGTGCCGGTGCTCCTCGTGCTGGTGCTCCTGACTAATACTACAAGTCTGGTTCTACCCTCATAGCAGTATCGTTAACTCCAACTTTTCTCTCTTTTGCTGCTGTGAAGCGACGACGCTGAACGCGGGCGGAGACAGCGACGTGCCCCGGTAGGTGCACATAGGCTGGAAACACAAAAAACCTGGCAACGACGATGCCGGCCAGCCTGCCAGCCACCCTTCGACCACGGCGAGTGTTCTCGTTGTTCAATTACTTAAGCAACCCAACACACAAACAGCGACCAAGCACGTGCAGTGGTCTACGCGGCCTCATACAGGGTGCATCGCGGCTGGGTGGAAATTCGCAACGGGCATTCGGGCACGTGCCACCGACAACAAACCCAAATCAGCGCCGCGCGCCATAAGGAAGCGCGCGCCCGGAACCACAAGGCCAGGGGGTCCACCGGCCAATATCAATGACCTAGCAGCGCTTGCTACTACTCAAAGAAGCCCGGCTAGCCCCCAGAGGCTTACGCGGAGGGGGAATGGAAGGGCCACCGAACCAGGTGGGCGGGCCAACACCCATAGCGACCAGGCCGGCGCCACACCACGGGCCACCGCGTCCGCCCGCTGGCGCCCTCTGGCAAAATAACCCGCCCGGGAATTGGGGCGCCCGGTGGCCCGCTGCGGATGCCACCCGCCCCGCCCCCCGAAAATGCGCCAGGCGGGCCGGCCTTGCGGGCCTGCTTGCCCACCAGGCGGCAGCCCCCTTCGGCTCCGAAGGCGCGGCGCACGTCTGAGCTCGGTTTTCAGGTGCCCGGCTGCTGCTTGCAGGATGGCCAGCGATTGCGATCGAGGCGTCGGCCGCGTCGAAAGCGACGGAGCGAAGCGCGGAGCATTGGTCGCTCTCACGCCGGCCGCCATTGGTGCGCCACGTGGTCGGCCGCTCAATCCGATAAGTACGGGCACGGCCGCGACCAGACCCATCGGGGCGCTGCGACTATCATCCGGCGGCGCCTTTTGCGGCCGCGGTTTACTGCAAGCACCGCCCGGAGCGCCGCGCCCGATGCCTCCACGCCCGCGCTATGCGGCTGGGCGCTTCTGGGCAGCCTTGGCGCGCTGTGCATCCTCGTGCGCAAGTCAACATCCGAAAAGGAAAGAGTCAACAAGCATGAAGCCACAACAAAGATTAAGATGCCTAACTCCTCCCCCTCTGCGTGCTCTCAGCTCATGGGCTCTGCGGAAATTCTAGCTACACACGTTTCTCTGTCGCTCACTCGAGTACTAGTTCTCTACCTCAATTGCAGTCGCCTCTCCACACGCTCGCTCGTCAACAAGAACGCAATCACGCACAATAGAAAAAAGCTGATGAATTTCTGCTCGTTCACCCGTTCTTCCAAAAGAAAAGCAGACTGCTTGTGTAACACTTCTGCAGTTCCGAATTCTCTTTAAGTGCCTGACAATAAAATTTCGCGGCCTTATCGCACACACAATGGCGCTCATCTCTTTGAGTCACACAAGTCTACTACTTTGGGTTTCGACGAAGTTCATGTAGGCCGCAGGTAAGGTCTTCAAAGCCCGTAATTCGTAATCACGCACTTTCATACAAATCCTGTACGAGCGCATAGGGATTCTGCCATGCCACTTTCCTGAAGACGTCTCCAAAATTCCCCTGCTCTCCGGCGTAGTCCTCACTGAAGAGCCACGAGAGGAAAAGCAAATCGTCGTGATTTTCATCATCTTCCTCTTCCTGTCCGTGATGCTGACCAGAGCTGTCCGCCGCTCCTGTTGAAGTTGTAGATGCTGGTGCTCCTGCTGCTCCATTTTGGCCAGAACTTGTAGTTGCTGCACGACCCATCTCCGCCTTCTCCTGCGCCTTTTCCAACCTCTCCTTCAATCTACTCGTGAAAAATTGTTGTATCAAGGTGGGACTACTCAATTCCGCCGCGGTCAGAATGTGCGCGTGCGGAGAGGAAGAATTATTCTGCTGCCCATTTGTACCTCCGACCCCTCTGACCATCCGTGCCATTCTGCTCGCAACGGAAGTTGCACCACCAGCAGGTCGGTTTCTGCCCGGGCTGGGGTTCGGCGTGCCCGTTGGTGTCGCGTTGGTCGAGTTGGACGTTGTGCGAATGGCGTTGACCAAGGACGTGATATCCTGAGTAAAAACGTACCCGCACCAGAGTCAGGATGGGGATTTTGCAACACAAACCTAGGAGCTTTGTGAGTCACGCATCACAAGTTGCAGTCCGTAGTGTAGTGCAGGTTCGCAAGGCCAGCTGCATCAGAAACCCATCTGCTCATCCTGTTCACAGCATCACAAATTCCAAAACACGACTGAAAATGGCTCTCATGCGAATGCGCATTACAAGTCTTCCTGTCTTTGCAAATCTGCATTACAACTCTGGTATGGGTACGTTTTTCCTCAGGATACGTAAAAATCCCGGGGGTGGGAATGGCGGGTTGCTGGTTTCTTGTGGTTTGGTTATTTTGATGCAAAGCTCCTGAAGTCGTCGGGGGGGCATTGCTGCTGGTCAAGGGTGGAACAGCTGTCGTACTAGATGTTGCGCTAGTACCACTTGTGGTCGCCGCGCGAGTTGAATTTCCAGCGGTACTACTGGCTTTGTTTTTCTTCTTGCCAGTCGGATCAGTTTGATGTCCTCCTCCAGAATTACCACTTCCCGGCAGCGCAATCTTTTTCACCTCCACTTTTACCACGCCCTGGGCGCAGTTCACACGTTTAGTCACGCGAAAGAAACAGTTTGAAATTATACCGGATGACGAAGAGGTCGGCTTCCCTCCTGCTGTTTTCGAAGCTGCAGCCGAAGCAGCACTACTTTTTGCTCCATTTACAACCGCATCCGTCCCCGCGCCGCGCTCTTTACTTGGCGACCGCTTGTTTCCCGTGGCACCAGCACTGGCAGATGTTGACGAGGAGACTACACCAATATGTGGAGCTCCACCACCTCCACTACTACTTTTCGCCGTCCCCGCCCGCCGCAGCAACTGCGACGAAAACGCAAATGAAAATCGGTGCGAGCCGAAGGCGTCTAAATTGTCCTGCAGGTGAACGTCTAGGAGTTCGGAGAGTTCGTTTTGATTTTCTCCGACAAAGGAAGTAGATCTAGTCGCAGCAGGTGCAGATTGATGCTCGCCTAGAATGTCATCTTCCATGATAAAATTGTCGTCTTCATCCGGGATAATCGGCGGGAAAAATTCGTCGAAATCAGCCGGCCGTGGTGCGGCCGCTGTCGTGGAAACTGCTGCTGCAACCGCACTTGGGGTAGTTCTTGTGTTGGAGGATCCACCAACTGTGCCCGCATGGGAAGAGGTGGATGCTGCGGTAGTTGTAGTTGCTCCTCCGTGGTCCCCAGTTCCGGACCCAGTACTAGCCGTATTCGCATTCATGTTCGACCCACCAGACGCGATGTTGTTGTTCGCGTCCTCTGTCATGATCGTGAAGCCAAACAAATTGGAGAAAGCAAAGCTAAACATGCTACGCCCCGGAGCTGCAGCACTTCCGGTTGTATTCGTCCCTCCACCTGGTCCCACCATAGTGCCTAAACTGCGAGAAAGCGTGTTACCAGCAGTGGCTGTGGTACTTCCCGTCGTGTTTGGCGTGGCCGCTCCACCAGCACTGGTAGTGGTCCTACTTCCCGCAGGCGCCCGTGCAGGAGGAGGTGCTGCACCCACTGCTCCCGGTCTCTTACCACTCGCGTTGGAACTCTTACTATTGCTCTGCCCCCTTCTACTCGGCCCGCCGCTGCCGCTCCGAGCCGACAGTGGAACAGTATTTCCCTCTCTACTCTTCGCCGTCGCAGCCAGCCCTCTCCATTGCGGATCGAAGATGCGCAACACGACGTTGCCCCAGAATTTCGGGAAGAATTGCAATAATTGATTCCGTATGAACTGCAAAAGTATCGGACTCGTATAAATGCATTACAAATTTCCTCAGCATGAGAAATAAAATTTGTAAATTGTAATGCGGATTTGACTAAACAATAAAAATTTGTAATGCATGACTGCAATATGAGTACGATACTTTTGCACAGGATATTCCGTTCCTGAAAAAACGGCTGTTTCAAATCCTCAAAGCTGTTTTGAATAATCACTTGGTCCGATACCGTCTGGTCTTCCAGTTTCCGTAGCTGTTCCTGCGCGCGCTTCACCGCGTCAAATTCCTTTGCGGAGAGGGAAAGCGGTTTTACTGGTTTTACAAACGTGGTCGCATGGGTGGGAAGGGATACGGACGCGGCAGTGTTGATCGCAGCTGCGGGTGTAGAAGTGGAAGTGGGGGCGTGGTGATTCGTCGTGGAAGTTGTTGTAACTAACGAAGCAGCTCCTTTTCCGGGAGTACAATTCGCGGACAGAGAAGTAAACGGTGCTCCTGCCACAACTGTAGGTGGCGCTATATTCGCTCCTGAAGCAGGGTTGGCAGCTTGCTTCGCAGGATCTGCTGCTGCTGGTGGAAGGGTAAACGAACCCGATGTAGTGGTTCCTTTTGCAGCAGCCGCTGCTCCTGGCAACGCCTGCGCACCACGCTGCGGGTCCTCTTGTTCCACTGCGGGGGCGCTGCTGTTCTTACTGTTCCTGCGGGAGGGCGAGTGGACAGCGGGAGACCCGCTATTTCCACCGTCCTTCTTCGTGCGTTTTGCTCCCGGCGATTCCTTGCCCTTTTCCCGTTTCATACTAGTGGTTGCTTTCGGTAAAGCGGGTACGGCAGCAGCAGCGGCTTTCGCCTTACCGTTCGCAGTTGCTGTGGAAGAGGACATTTTGAGCTGCGACGCTACGGCGCTTTTAGCTTGGGTAGGTAAATTGACAAGAAATACGGACAGGGTGTCACTAGCTAAGAACAAGAGCTCTCTTGCCTCTCATCGCTATGGTACTGAATGAAGTTGGACGAAGGAAGGACGGATTCGATCTCGAGCAAGCCGTGTCTTTCCATGCAGAATTCCGACAGACCCCTACGTGAGGATCGACTATACGAAGATCTTTTAACTCCTCTCGGGTGGTCTAGCAGTCGAAAGAAAAAATGGTCGTGCCGAACTTCAAAAAATTTCACAGCATTTCTTGGCCTGAAGCAAGTGAAATCAGGTCAGTTCGATTTGTGAATCTTCGATAACAAGATTTTGGAGTAAATAGTCACGATCCGAAATAGGCGTTTTTGATCGAGATCCTCTGCGCGACATGATTGATTTGCAGGTGTCAAAAAACCCTTGTGCATTACGAGAACAAGGACGAACGAACAAGCGACCGGCCGCGGGCAACGGAAGGAACACTGCGGCTATCTTTAGTTCGTCCAAAGAACAGGTCGGACTAGTGCGATTCGAAGCGCAACCCAAGCAACCAGTCAGAAGCTCTGCCTTCTGAGCTGGTGCTGCGCCTCCTCGCTTCGGAGGAAATTTTTTTTTCTGTGTCGAGCTCTGCCGAAATCTTAAATCATCTATCCATGTGCTGTCCAAAGGTTCACCATTAGCGGATGATGCGACCTTGCATCACAATTCCAGTTCAGTTTTCCTGTCTACCAAATCTCACTGGTAGCCCGTCGAGAAGAAAAACGTAGTAGATGATCGACTTTAGAAGTGCACAATTTGAATAGAGTAATAGCTTTAAGATCATGAAAAGAAAATATTTCAAGTACATGTAAATTACAAATTTGCGGAGCGTCAGCTGCACCTGAATCAGCAAGTTTTTAGTGCAGAGACGTCGTCAAAACGCAAATCATTATAAGTACTTGATTTTCAAAATCAAACCGTCAAGTTTTTTTTTGTGTCTTTAGAAGTAGTAGTAATATTGTTCCGTAAAACCGTTTTTCAGTTCTGAAAAATATGTGTAGACTTCATCTGGATAATGTGATCTTTCAGAACGCCCCCTGGAAGACGTCCTCTTAAATCTCAGTATCCGCAAACAAAGTTTCGTTCTCCGTGGTACACAGCTAGTAATGCCCTAAACTGCGCAGTGGGAAGAACGAGAACTGGTTCATCATTTCTGTATTGCATTATGAAATGCACAGAATTGCTTACCAGCCCTCGGCGGTGTTGGTCGCACCCCAGTCACCATCCTGGTTGGCGTTGGTGGTTTCCCAGTTGTCATCCCAGTTTCCTCCAGTCTGCGCCTGGAAGTTGTCACCGAATTGGCCCTGAGCGGCGGTCTCCTCTTGCCTGTAGTTTGGGTAGTTTTGATCATGTTGACGACTGTTTATCTTGATCTTCACGCATTTGTTCTTGACAGAAACAAACAAGACAACTCAGACCAGTGTGAAGAACTCGTGCACCAGGACATATGACAGATTGAATGCTAACAGGACTCAAAACCGAGATTACAAACGGCTATGAAATTTGTAATGCGGATCTACCTTACGAAAAAGATTTGTAATGCAATTCTAGCTATACCACTTGGTCGTCTCCTCTTCCTTCTCGGCAATCTCATCCGGGTCACGCCAGAAGAAGGAGTCCACCATAACGTCCCACTCCTATCAAGTGCAAATATGTCTGGGTCTGGAAGAGTGACAGGTTTCCCATGCATATTCTGCATGACACGTTACGTCTGTAATGCATGGCCTAGCATCACAGATTTTGAGATGGCTTTCTGGTGCGTATTCCGCATGAGAAATGCCCTCTCCGCGTAGCACAAACTGGACTCCTTTTGCTGGTCATGCAATACAGACTTTTTTGGAATTATCCAGAGACAGCATCACAAGTTGCAATCTTCCAGACTCAGACATTCTTGCAATTCATAACTCCTGTCCACGGTTCAGGGCGCCGCGACGCAGGTACAAGACCTCACGGGCGAGGAGGTAGAAGATGAGGGCGATGGATTCCTTACCCTTGTTGTTGCACGGAATGGCCAGGTCGATGTGCTCCAGCGGGGAGTCCGTGTCACACAGCGCGATGACCTGTTGTTTTTTTTTGACGGAAAGATGATATAAAATTTGTATTGCGTAGCATGCATGGAAGGCAAGACTTGTAATGCATGACTGCCATCTGTGGAAACCGTTAACGTTAACACTTTTTCAGATGATGGCTGTGAGTCAGTCACTGTGACTTCCGCCACACAGAGTGTCTTTCCTGTGACTTCATGATGAGAACTGGAACAGACAGTCTTTCCTGTTCAGTCAGGATGAGCAGTCTTTCCTGTTCGCTGACTGGCCTGTTCGCTGACTGGCCTGTTCGCTGACTGGCCTGTTCCGGACATGTTCCAACTGGCCTGTTCCAGTTTCAGCAGTCTTTCCTGTTCAGTCAGGATGACTTCCAGCGGAGAGTCAGTGTCACAAGCGTGTCTTTCCAGCGGAGAGTCAGTGTTTCCGTTTTGTTGTTTTTGACGGAAAGATGATATTGTGTGTTGGACACAGAAGTGCAGCTCTGTATGACATACCGGGAAGTTGTAGCGATCGCCTAGGTACTACTGTTGTAGTCACGCGGCAAGAGAAGTCAAACTCAAAGACCAAGACAGAGGAGAGCTGCTGCCCACGCTTGTCATGATGAAATAACCGAGCACGTCTTTTTTGACATCGAGTTGGAATAAAGATTGTGCTTTTAGAAGAGTCAGACTGGGGCGGTCACGTAGTTGTTCACATTACTAAACTTCTTGCTTGCGAAAGCTTAGTTCAGAAGGTGTCCCAAGTGATCCAATCATCATGATAAGGAGACATGCTTTGAAACAAGAGTATTTGCAGTAGGAATTATCTAAATCTGCAGATGACAGCACGCGCATGAAATTGTGATCGCGAGAATTTATCAGCGTCACAAGATCAGACTGGGGCGGTCACAATAGTTTTCACATTACCCCCGGATTCAACAAGTAGACCCGGGGGTTCAGAAGGTGTCCCAAGTGATCCAATCATCATAACGCGTGCGCTGCTATTGTCCGCCTCCTCACGCTGATGTCGAGCAATACAAATGCACCAGCATACAACTACACCGACTTCTAAATTTCTCTTCTTGCACAGATTCTTCCCTACTCAGCGGCCACTCGCTCTGTCATGCAATACTTCTTCTTACACAGAGAAAGAAAAACAAACCAATCCAAAAAAAAATCTCTATAGCATCAAAATACCGGGATGTTGGCATAGGAAGCCTCCAAGACAGCCTGGGAATCGGTGCGCGGATCGGTGACGATCAGGAGACGCGGCTCGGCGAACTTTTTGGTGATGTAGTTCGTCAGCGTACCCGGGGTCCAGCGACCGGGGTGGGCAACGGAGCCAACGTGCTGGGAGAACTTCAACACCGCGCGGGAACCTGTGTATTATTATATGCGATTTGGCATTACAAATGTCCTTTTTCCTGCCTTGTTTAGCATCACAAATTCATTTTCTCTTTAAACTCTTCGAACTTGTCATGCGATTTCTGCTACGAAAAATAATCCTGTAATGCGTATTATTACGAGTAAAAAGAAAACCCAAATAAAATCCTATACCATAGGGACGCTGGGAGATGACCATGATGTCCTCGGGGTTCTCGATGGCGACGATGACGCGGGCCGCCACCATCACCTTCTCCCAGGTTTTTCCCAGGTCCAACAAGTGTATGAAAGCCTCAGAATGGAAATCCTCAAAGTGGAAATAATTTGTGATGCATGAAATGCAAGGCAGAAATGAGTGCATTGCAGAGGACACAATGGAGACCGACTATTGTCCTGCTAGGGGTTCATAATTGGGCTGCTGATTAGCACGAGAGAAGGGCACCCCTTTGCCTGTCTAGCATGACAGACATGCTTTGAGTGCCCGGAAAATTTGTCATGCGCCGACTAGAAATGGCACTTCAACTGGATTCGTTCTTTTGCATTACAAATTATTTCCACTTTGAGGATTTCCAACCTGAGGCTCTCATAAAGTGGATGCCGTCCTGGGTGCGGCGGAAGACGTAGCGCTTCATGCGGTGGTCCACGTTCAGTGTTCCCAGCTATGCAATACAAATTTTCCGTACATTGTACAAAATGCATCACAGAATTTACCAATTTGCAGCCTGATACTTGTCATGCTAAACCATAATCCGGAGTCGAGTTTTGTCATGCAGGGACAGCATTTGTACGAGTGTACGGGAAATTTACTGTGGATACCAGATGGGTGCGGCACACCAACATCTTCTGGATGTCTTCGAACTTACGGTTTTGCTGATCCATTTTGACGGTTTGTTTTTTTTTCCTTTCGGCGGAATGAGCTGACTTCGTCCAGTTTCTGATGGAAACTTTTACGAGACAAAAGCTTACATTGAGCTGGAGCGGACCCTGGTTTGGTTGTGGTTTGAGTTGAATGGAGAATTGGGTGAGAATTTCGATTTCTGGGTGAGAGAGAAAGAATCTTCACAATTATACTAGGTTTATTTTAGCAGAATCTGCTTCACATGTTTGTAGTTGCGACCTTATTTTCCGCAACGCTTCCTTGCTCTTCGTGTTAAAAAGCTCGAAATTTTTCACGAACCTTTGTTCATGCGGCCGCAGAAACACAATTTTCGATTTAGATCTAGATCTGCTTCATTTCAGGTTCTGATGACGAGCCTCACATTCTTGTTGATTCTATTAGTTGGATCCATCCGGTGGAGGAGCACGTGAAAATTTCGAGCTGGTCCTTCTTCTTCATATTTTCTTGCACGATTTAGGATCGTGTCCAGCACATTTAGATTTTTCATTTTTCGGACAGCGCAGAGGACACGCCTTTTTTAATAACCTCAAACCGACAGCGAGTTCTTTTTATCTCTCTCTTTTTACTCCTCAAGAGCAGGGGAACAGAACCGCTTAATTTTTTCAGGCCTGTGCCTAAGCCGATTGTAGCGATCATGTTGACTTCATGATCTCTTTCTCCGTGATGGATCACTTCTATCACTGTGTCATACTGCTTTGAAGAACCACGGGCAACATTTCTTCATGAGCACGGAAATTATCGAGGATCTTCTTCGTGTCGCTTCGAGCGGGACTAGTTGATCTGAGGAGAGGTCATCGACATCCTCTTCGTCCAGATTTATAGATAGACTAAAGTCAGAGGGACATCATGCCGACGTCCTCCCTGAATCATCTTCATCGATCGTTTTTACTTCGTACTACGGATCCTTTCTTGTTTATTCGGTAGAAGAAAACAAAACCTGCCCGTGTTTCGCGAGTAGAAGGGCTGATTTTGTCACGAAAGACCAACAAAACCTAAATTTTTTGCACAAGAACCTCCGAGGCAACATCACATATCGTCGTGAAAACCCGTGCGTCGACATGTGAAATCGAGAAACACGGTGATCGAGGATGAACAATTCCGTCCGGCGTGGTCATCCGAAGAAGGATTCGGATGTCGTTGTTGAAGCCAACTGCAACAAATTTTCTTACAGTGCGGCCATGGATTTGGATTGGTAGCGCGGCATGATCATCAACTTCATCTGGTAGTACATTTGGATTTGGCAACAGGAAATTATAACAATCGTCGAATAAGAGCCAACTATCACGAAGATAAATCACACACGGCCCCCGCACCAACATGGTCAGACTGCAATAAGGTGCGTTTTTCAGATGAAAGGAGACGGTAGACTCGGTTCCAGCATTCAAATATCGGTCATCTGCTCCGTCTTGATGCGCTATATCCTTCTGATGTAGGAAAGCCACCTTGGTGGCTACACCTGTACATCGCTCACGTTCCATGTCATTCGTCTTGTCTTGTTCTTCCTCATCTGTCGCGCATGATACACGTCATCGCGTGGCATTCTTCTATGGATCTACCCCGCCCGCACCTAGAACATCGCACTCGATCGATCTTCTGTGTGCAACAAGCCGCCTCTCTGCCCTTAGGGAGACGGAGAGCAGTCTGTCATGACGCAGCTTCTGGTCAGTTGATGTAGAGCCTTGGCGGGCTCAAAAACTTCATCTGCAGTATACGCGACAAAAACAATATAAGGAGCCAAAATCCGCATATGGTCGGGCTGCAACACGGCGCACGCTTTTCAGATGAAATAAAGCTGCAGGCTTCGACATCCCGAGGTCGTGTTGTTCTCCGCAACGGTAACAAAATCGGATGCTCTTCTCCCCGAGTTGCACAGCACGGCTTGATGTTGAAGAAGCGGAGCGACCGCTGATCTTCTATGAGAGTGCACAACTACTCCCCCGCGTTCTCATTTCTCATGCAAAAACCCAAATCCTCCAGTTGTTGCCTTGTATCACTATGATGCATGACAAATATATTCGGAAAGCCAAACCGCATTACCTTCGGCCGGTGGACTTGTCACGCACAAGCCCCAGGAGTGCTGGCGCTTGGTTTGCTGCTCATGCCATACAAAAGAGGGGAAGGGGGAGCAGTTTTGCACTCTGATATGATCTTCCTGCTGCTTACGATCAACGAACCCGCCAAGGAAAACCTGGCTGCGTCCTCCTGTCCTCTCTCCTCACTTCGTGCAGAAATCGCAGTCCCAGCTCGAAGAAACGCACACCGTCACCGTGGAATTATGCTTCGCAAATACTTATCATGGATGCTGTCTGCTGGTGGGGGAGGAATCATGATGGGCTAGTACAATCAAAAGAGCCTTAATTCCAGACGTAACCATCATCAAAAGCGCCTTGATCGCAGACGCGGCCAAGCATGGCAGCTTGGCTGCGTCTGCTCAGTACAAGCTCGCATCAGACGCTGCACGATTCTTGCATGACAATAAAGGGAGGCGGAAAAATCAAAAGTGCTTTTTTATCATAATCTAGCATCTAGTACAGCAGCAGTGCGTGATAAGATTATATTTACGTTCAATATATCAACTTGTAGTTGTCGTGAAAGGAACTCTCCCGCTATTGCAAAAGCATCACAACCCGCTGGCCGTTGATCGCTCATGATCGTCGCTATGAGAGCGCGCATTTTTTCGTCCCCCTCCCCCTCATTTGTCTGTTGTGTTGGTATAAGTCATCATCATCATCTTTGTGTTTGTCCGTGACATTTGAATTCTGTCTTTTCTCATCGTTCCTCTTGAGTGGACGTACACTCGAGCGCATTTGTTGTGACATCCGATGTCACTCCGCAACCCATGTCCCTTCGGGGCTGCGGTAGAAGGACTGGCAGGAATTAAGCAGGAATTATATATACAAACACCAGCACACGTGGACCCTGTGCATGACAAGCTCAGGCACTGGGTGTAGTAGTAGCACTGTTTGGGCTTCCGGAATTACGATTTGTCACGCACGTAGTGCTACGAGGCAGTAACTTTTGGCACTGGATTAGTTGGGATTTCACATGACAAATAAAAGGGGGCGGACCCGGGCGGGAGTTCGGGTTGTGCACTCTCATAGATGCCCGCGTTGTCTCAAAAGGGATCGAATTAACCCGGTCAACACCAGGTGCGCGCGGGTCTGCAGTTATTTTGAACTGCTCCAAAATCCAATTTATCAGCTAGCAACAAAACTATGTCTGGGTCTAGAAGAAGTACTTAGAGTGCAGTGGCCTTGCAGTATATTCGCAGACTTCGAACTGCGTACGCAGCAAAAAACTGTGATGCATGAACATGAAGCGCACCATCATCATGAGTGCCCGATAGAAGTTTGTGGTCGTGCACAAACAACGCAAGCTATTTGTGCATGGAGGTTGGGCCGCCAGCTGCTTCAAGAACAGTCACATGCCTGGGCGTACCGCTGTCCGTTTGTCTTCGTGGAGAGACTACGACGGTCGCGCCTGGAGGGCGATATTGGTAACTAAAAGCGTGCGAACCACCCCAGTCAGTGCGAAGGCTGCCACGTATCCCTTGACGTCCTGGATAGGGCCGCGGTCCATAAGTGGTGCCCACAAGGGCCGCGGTCTCATCCTCTATACCAGGAAGCAAGGGCGCGCAAAAGAGTGAGTGCGTTTTTGCCGAGAAGCACTCCGTCGCGCATAAAGTTATACTGGGCGGCATGCTAGCCGACAAAAATAAAGCAAGTTTCAAATAAAAGCTACACAATTTGCGGCATTTCTGGCAGCCCTTTCGGGCCACCCAAGTCGGGGAATTTCAAGCGGGACAGGGTCTCAATTTGCGACCCTCAGAAAGGCCGAAAACCGTGAGGGGCGGACACACCTCCACAGACTTGATGCCTGGTTTTTGTTGTACAATCCCGGCGGTCTGGGCCCTGTGACAATTTTAAAAACCGCTTTTGCGCGGCAATTTCCAAGCGCCCTCTGCTTTTTCAGCAAAAGTTCTCACTTTCAATTTTCAAGCAGCTTCCGGGTTCTGGACAAAGTCGGCCAGTTTTGTATGCAGCTTCCACGCCTTTTCCATGCGAAAAAGTACACTTTTTCCGCATTTTTTGCAATTTCGAAGCGGGCGGAGCCGCCTGGAGGTGACGCATTTTCCGCTATAAAACGCTTCATACCATCAGCCGTAGCCGAAAGTAGCGCGGTCTTTTTTCAGAATCAGAGGACTGCTGTCCGTTTCTCTTCGTGGAGGGACTACCACTCCAAAAAAGTTTATTTCCTGACCCAGACATGTTTAGTACATTTCGTAAAGCCATCTACTGCATCTCCTTGTTGATCAGGAAGTCGTATAATGGTCAATGTCACGCTAATCGCTCCGACATCCTCAGGATGTTCCTGGCTTGGAATGTGCTATCACGACTACAGAAGCAACATCGCACTACTACTGATATACTAATACTATACAACTTCGACGCATTATAAAAAAATGACGCGTCGTGTAGTTACAAAATTCATTTTCGATTATAAGCAGATGCAGCTTGTTGCGGTAAATTGGCGTGATTGTTGTCGACTTGTTTTCAACAGCACACTGCAACGGTTAGAAAATGAGATTTGTCGCGCAATGCCACAATTAGTATGCGTACGATGCTTGTTTTGCAGAGGATATGTAAGCTATCAGGACTGTGAGTGCCTGAAATACCGTTTGCGCAGTTTTATGACAGTGCAGCACAACTCCCCCTCCCCCTCATTTGTCTTCATGCAAAATACCAAATCCAGGCTGTGCCTCTGCCTCTTGGCACTGTTTGCGTGACAAACTCCGAAAGCCCAGTTAGTACTACACTGCTGTGCAAATCTGTCACGCAAACCGGCACTCTTGCTGACGCTTGTATTGCCGCCCATGCTATACAAATGACGGGGAGGGGGAGCTGCGCACTCCCATAGTGTTTTCGTACTAGGACCCGCTTGCGCCAGTTCTGTAGACCGCCACCGGAGCTATGGTTTTCGTCCCTGCTCACCTTGTTCATGATTGCTGCGCGAAATGCTCGCTCCACTTTGTGCCATATCAATCGCAAATATCGATCTGGGCCGTGTAGAAAAACTTGTAGCTCTGATAACTCCAATAGCAATCCCGAACTGTCGTGTCGCGCATCCTCGCGCAGCTCAAAAATAGCGCTACTCATTTGCGCACTATTAACACGCGCTGAGATGTAGAGATCGCGTAAGAATGTGTCGCTCCTCGCTACGTACTCTAGTTAACATCTTTCTCGATAAAAACTTCGATTTACAGATCATGTACTAGCATGAAAACTTTAATTTTTTTCCCGACCCTAATCTAAATATTTGCATCGGATACGCCAGTTTCCACCTCCTGCTTTGGACTCGACTGTATATGCGGCCCAACCCGGAGGTAGGTTTCGATTCCAGAGTAAAACTTGGTTGTGGAAGGAACTGGCACTGACTTGGGGAGCAAGATCGTCGGACGAGTAGGTCTATCCTGTGCAAAAGTATGGCACTCGTATTGCAGTCATGCATTACAAATCTTTTTCTTAAGGTAAATTTGCATATACAAATTTCATTTCTCTTGCTGAGAAAATTTGTAATGCATTTATACGAGTACGATACTTTTGCAGTGCATAAGGTCTCCGCGAAGTCTCCGGAAGTTGAAGATGTACCCCCGTGAAGATTGATTAAGTCGTTACGAAACGAGGCCCATCAAATGCAAATGTGTCTGGGTCTGGAGGGATGCAAGGTCTGTCATGCTTGTATCACATGACAGTTGAATCTGTAAAGCGTGAGCAGGAGAATATCCTCTTGCCTGTCATGCAAAAGTGCAGTTTGCCATGCGGAAAGCGAAACACAAAGGAGCGCAGAAACCTGTCATGCGTGGCTGCGTATTTTTGCAGCACGCCCACCATTCACAAACTAGCGCCACAAGTTTCCAGACCCAGACACATTTGCATTTGATAAGGCCAGCTGGCTATCCAGAAACTCCTCCAAAAGCGCGACCAGGCCACCTGATCCAACCCTTTCCAGTGGGTGTGGGATATGGCCTTCTCAATTATCACATTCTCAAGCGCTCCACGAATTTGTGATGCAAAAATCGAAAAAGTGAAAGGAGCGAGGAAGACTGCGCCTTTTGCATGACAGATTTCGGGCGGATTCTCTTGCTATTCAGCGCGTCGAGAAGTTGTCATGCGAAGAAGGCTTGTTGATTGTGTGAAGAGTGATAGCGTTTTTGCATGACAAATCGCGTCAACAGTTGAGAATGTAACGTTTGAGAACGCCATATGGGAAGTCGCGAAATCGCGGACCGTTGCCCGCCACCTCGTCCTCTCCTACCATGGCAAGCCACTTCCCAAGTAGCCCGCGGCCTACCAGGACATCCGCGTCCACAACATTTTTCGTCAGCGACGTTAACAGCTCCGCCAGCGGGAGCCTGCGTGCGGGTTTGACAACCAGGGTAAGGCTCACGACGCTGCTCTTGTGGCAGCTGCTCGGCGGA